TGTCTGTTTTCGACATAGAACTTTGCACAAATGTGCGGAAGTTCAAGTCGCCACATTCCGTGTAGCACGCGAAGCAAGAGAAGAAAGTACAAGAAAAGCAAATAGAAACAGTGAGCAGAGGTGTGAGACAAAGGAGTAATAAAGAAATACAAAACAGTTTCATTGGAGATCATAAGTCACAGGGAGTGGATGCATCTGCGCCACTGAGAACGATTTTGAGCCATGTCACCAATTGTTTCCAACCATAGATTTTTGCCGTCCCGAGGACCCCAGCCTGGAAGTCTACACCTTCCTACGTGGCTAAGACCAACTGTTGTGGATTTCATTGACTGATGCCAAGTTTTTGTTTGACCGCCGCTAGCTTTTTTCCAGCCTGACCCTATATCCGCTAACATTGCTCGTCGAGGGAGGCGATGGCTTGGCATACGTAACACATGTCCTAACCATCTCAGTCGATGTAGCTTCACGACTTCGTCGATTGATTTCCCCTGTTTACCTAGAACTCTACGCCTAACCTCCATGTTGCTCACCTTATTATGCCACTTTACACGGGATATAGAACGCAGGCACCTATGATCAAAGACAGCTAGTCTTTTCATGTCTTCCACTCTGAGTGGCCAGGTCTCACAACCATAAAGGAGGACGGAGCGGACTGATGAGCAGTACACCCGCCCTTTGGTCGATAGTCGAACATCTCGTCTACGCCAGAGTCGGCGTAAACTAACAAATGCGAAACGAGCCCCTTGTATTCGTGCTGAGATTTCGTCAGAGATCAGCCCGTTGGGGCTGATGGTACTTCCCAAATAAGTGAAGCGGTCAACGTGCTCTACCACTTCACTTCCTATTTCTAAACTAGGAGCCAGCGTAGTCCAGTCCTGTAACATCATCTTGCATTTGGCGGGAGCGAATCGCATGCCAAACATTCGTAGATTGCTGTTCAAGGTGTTTAGAAGACTCTGCATTTCGTCAGCGTCTTCGCCTAGAAGGACTATATCGTCTGCATATTCCAAGTCAACGAGATTATTCCCAGGTAGCAAGTCAATCCCTGAATCGCTGAAGTCACCTAGGGTTAAGTCCATTAACACATCTATGATGAAGTTGAATAGAAAAGGAGATAATGGGCATCCTTGACGGACACCACTGGTCGTCACCAGTTCAGATGACAGCTCGCCGTAAGCCCTCACCTGGCTGTATGAGTACGAATAGAGTGCCTTAATCAGTGCAATATATTTTCTCGGAATTCCCTTGACAGCCAAGCATCTCCAGAGAACTTCCCGATCGACAGAGTCGAATGCTGCCTTTAGGTCAAGAAATATAATGACTGTTGGACGCCGGTAGGAATGCCTATGTTCTAGAATCTGTCGGAGGGTGAAGATATGATCAATACACCCTCTTCCTGGTCTAAAGCCTGCCTGGCTCTCTCGTGTTTGTGCTTCCCGAGCACCACTCAGTCTACGCATGATTATTGAGCCTAAGACTTTAGATACTATATTAGTCAAGCTAATCCCTCTGTGATTATCACAGGAAGACTTGTCTCCCTTCTTGTATATGGGGATAATCAGTGACTTACACCAACCCGATGGGACTTCTTCTGATTCCCAAACGTTGCCTAGTACCTCAGTTAATCCGGACAGTAAGCTGTCTCCACCGTACCTAAATACCTCTGGAGTCATTCCATCAGGTCCCGCTGCTTTGCCTAGTTTCAGATTGGTGACAGCTTTAGTAACCTCAGTTAGTGACGGAGGACCTGTATCTATATCCCATTCAGGGAGGTGTTGGATGCTCGGAAGGTTGAGCGTGGCTGTGGGCAAATTAAACTGCTCCTCATAATGCTCTTTCCAACGATCCAGTCGTCTATCCTGTGAGCTAATTATAGTGCCATTTTTTTCCGAGATTGTCTCACTAATGATTTGTCTTCTCCCATCCGTTTCCCTGATGAGTCCAAAGAGTTTATTTGTTTGTTTCGTCTGACTCGGCCGCCTCTCCAGTATTGCTATTGAGGGACGGTATACCACTGCTAGTTTTAGTCCTGCGTTTGATATACGAGTACAGTCTTTTTGGATAATGCACACAATCCAGTGCCAACTGTCTCTCATACTCTATACGACTTTTGTCAATCTTATACTTGCAAAGGTTCCGAATTTTGCGGTATTCTATCCGAAACTCATCCCTCCCAGTCACAGTAAATCGGTCCCATCAGTTCTTCCGTTTTCTTAATAACCTCCTTATTTCATTACTAATCCAAGGTGGTTTATGCCATAGTTTTCGAGGCGTAGACCAAGGTACAAAGGGTGCAGTGACGCAATCTAGTGTATTCCTAAATCCCATCCACGTCTCCTCAACAGTCTGGTGTGTATTAACAGACCAGTCAGCTAGAGTTGCTGCATTTCGGATTGCAGGTATATTCGCTTTTCAAACGTTTGGATGAGCACCTATTCACCTAAGTATGACAGCCTGAATCCTAAACATGAGAGTGATAACTACATGGTCACTACTGCATAGCGGCGCCGGACACCTAATGTCACCGACATCCTCCTTCTGGTGTGTTAGTGCCAAGTCTAGAGTGGACGGATCATGTCTTGCCTAACATCCTGGAGACGCTAAGAAACAAGGGCTGGAGACTGTCGGTGACATGACTCGAAATTGTTGTCAGTGGTGAAGATGTATTCACCCTTTATGAAGTTCACTTGTTTCACACTTTATGAACTTCTGGTGTGAGCATTTCCCTTGACTTCTCTGGGTGCATTTCCATGGCTTCTGGTGGAGGCGGATGGGATTGCATCTAGTCTTGCTGCTTTCGCCACTGGCTTTCAGTAAGTAAGCTTTCGGCCTTCAAGACTTCTCCTTCCCTCGGTTGCTTGTTGTTCACTCGTAGTTCTGTGTGTCTGTCTCTTCGTCTTGGTGATGTTTGTGAGCGAGTTGCAGGTGATAGTCGATTGGAGAGTGGTTTGAGGTGATCAGCTCAGCGTTTCCTCTGTTCCACTCCTTTGCTGATTGGATTTGCTTCATTATCTCTCACTGGCTTCATCTGCGTCCATCTCTACCCGGGTGGTCATCCTGTTATTCATGTGATTAGGAATAATTCATTGTTTCAGAATTGCATGGAGGTGATCCTAATCTACAGATGATTGTCGGAAAAATGAATGGTCTTCTTGAGAGGATACTAACTAACGAAGGGTATGAGTGTGTATCACTAGATGCAGCACAATGATGCTTCAGACACTAGTGTTTCACAGAGTACTGTTCGATGAAACGCTAGAAACATTTTCAAGTGAGTCTGAAGAGATTCTGAACAACTACACTAGCAAATTTAATACATGACGGTGAACATATACAGGTATGTTAATATTTCATTAACAATACATATTTGAAAGGACAGAAATCAATAGAACGTTACTATGTAGTACAAGATGGAGTAAAGTACAGAATTGTATGAATCTGTTTTGGAACAGGTAGCTACAAGAATATCTTACACGCAGAAAGAAGATCTAATCTTGGCTATCAATACTGACGCCTGTGGCCGAAAGCTGTAGTTAAACAGGTGCTTTCTAACCAATACAGCTAAATAAGTAGACCACCTTTAAAGAGGCATCAAGAGAGGTCTAAGAAATGTCTGTTTGTAAGAAAAGACAAATTATTTGTGTACTTCGGAGATGAGACGATGATTAAGTAGTCGTGTCACATAATGTTAACTTCAACAGATAAACATCGAAACAGGATCAGTCATCATTTGTCTCTCGTCAACTATGCTGTCACACACTTAGTGGTCATTCTTATACAAATGCCTACCGCTCAGGGCAATGTGGGTTTTCTTCTTATATCTATGAGGTGTGACTTATTAGACATTCTAGTTCCCACGCTGACACTGTCCTCAGTATGCTTCTGCTTGAAGTATGAACTACGTTGTATTTATTGTCTTTATACAAACTATAACTTTTACTATTTAGCAAAAGATAAAACTTTGGGGCAGGTTATCTGCATTTATCAGTATTGCCATCTGTATATCCATCATAGTGAGTCGGTGGCACAGGGGTATAAAGGTCGCCGACTATGCATGTGGTCCGTGGTTCGACCCCCGGCAGTCTTTTACTTCGCCAAGCCAGTAATAAAGCTGGTAAAGAGGAAAGGTTGGCCCTGAGGCTAGCAACCCCATCCTGTAAAAATAAACGCCACTACAGAAACTTCAAGTCTCTAGCTTGAAAGCCTATGTTCCACTGGGAACGTGAAGGAATGAGAAAAAAAACATTACACCAAAAGAGATGTGCTGAGAAATCAATAAATTACCATTATTTAAACACCTTTGAAAAAAAGAAAAATTCTGATTCTTCAGTTAAAGCATATCAATTGTTTCTGCTATTTCTTATGCTAACTTGTTCCAACTGAATATAGCTCTTTTTGCTGTCAAATTCTACATATCCTGCCTGAGTGAGATGTTGATTTCAATGTTTTCTAACCTTTTAGGGTAACGTGCAGTGGACTAGTCGACCATGTCAGGTCCTAAGGCGTCTATATTCAAATTACAAACAGATTACTCGTACAGAGTTATTTATAATCTGGATTTTTAAAGCTGCATACAGCCTGAACGGTTAAAAAAACCTGCATCGTAATGAGAATCCATCTTTTCACATTCGCCAAGAATATCTTATAAAGAGGTGATACCGAACATGGTAAATTAGTGCAACTGATGCTTATTTTATACTTTAATTTTGTGTTGGATATTAGCTAACAGAGAACCTTGTGTTTAGAGTATGTGTATACATGGAGTTGTGGTCATTTGCCTAATTGAATTTTATAACGTAGCAACCCCATCCAACCTAACTGTTCAATAAGTCCAGCTAGTTCGAACACTATTCATGTTTCAATGCTATCTATGAAGGATCAAAAAGTCACCTATACTGAAACGAATTACATATTATCACACAATTAACAGAAGACACTTTTTAAACAAATAGAAATCATAGTTAATATCCGATAAATGGAACTTCTGTGACTTTGAAGTCGTCAGGCGTTGCTACAATTCGTTATGTGAGGATCGATGCCAAAAGTAAATAAAATTTTAGGTTTCAATATCTCAATTTATCATACAATGCAGTCAACAGTTTGACATTTAAAAGAAATTCTGATAAACAAAGCTCCCTCTTCCTAATGCATCGCCTGTCAACATCAATTAACAATCTACTGTGAAAAACCAGCGGTACATCTTGTCGTAAGACACTGGTAACTTTTTGTCTATCATCCACAGTCGACAAAACAGAAAGAAAACAATAGTGCAGAGATTTAGTGACCTTTGACAAAACTGAAGCAACAACTATTATAAGAAGACGAAGAAACCAACGTCGACAGAAAACTCTACGATTTCAGACTGAATAGAAGCAAGCACACCACTAACCATCAGTCTTCTTCCAAAATCTATCTCATTAGTCTGTTAGTTAATCAGATAAAACAACAAGTCACATTTTGTCATATAGTGAAAGCGTCAATCAATCAGAATTCAATATGCTGTAGATATCGACTATTCAAGGCCTTATTACTTACTGGATGCAATGTATGCCATATATAACTGTGTGGTTTCCTCTTGATTGTTTTGAACATACACGTTTTCAACCCTACTATGTGAGAATGCTTTTTGCAATTTACTAGCTCAGATCTAAGAAATTGTCAAGTGTTTAGTTCAGTATTATCAATCAACATTCGTATTTACATTAGGCGACATCTCATAACAGTAAGATGAAATTTTATTTATTAATAACAGATGCCAGGAGTAAAGAAGAGCAAGAGAGTGACAAAAAGAGATTGATCGTATGAATAAATACGAAATATTAACAGTCAATTATTATTATTATTATAATTGTTATTTTTAATAATCACAGATAAACTTCATTATAATTTCATTTTAATGTGCATTGCACAGATTTTGATTACATGTAGTAGTAGTAGTGGTAGTAGTATGATTACATCAACTGGATTAAATGCTTCATTTGTTTATACTGCTTATTTCACTTTCCTCTTCATTGAATATTAATAATTCCGTATACCTTTTATGCAGTAATTGATTGTGATTGACTATGACTGGAATGTTGATGAAGGGAATCAGTGAATTCCGATGTTGACGATTCCATCATTTCCATTGGTTTCATCATATAAGAATTATGACGAAGTTTCAACAAGACCTATTATAATATGGGAAATAATCAATGAAATTGTAATAATTACTTGATAAATTAATTACTGTGATAAATTATGCAGAAGATAATTAAAATAAAGTACTAAAAGTTTATAAAAATGAAATCGTCGTTTTGTCCAGTTGTTTACCACCCTACAAGAAATCAGATTTCCTGCAACTTTGTGTGCCTAAGTGAAATACAACATGTTACAACGTTTGTTTAGACAACCAGTTTGCTCTACATGTTGAAGTTCACTGCCACTTTAAAATTCATGATTATGTAAGGTGGAATTAAAATGGAAAATAGAAAACAATTGCAACTAATACAACTTGGATAAGAATTTATGAGTATGCAGTAGCCATATAATAAAAGAAAACAACTGCAATCATTATTTATTATAGTTGTGGTGGTAATTCAAATATTAGCGCATACTATTATTAAATGACAGTTACATTGAAATTAGTTGACTTCTACTTCATGTGAACATTCAGTTACACAGAATATGAAGTATAGAACTTGGAGAACGGTGTCTTACCTACAGCATTGAGTGCACTGTAAAACACTGAAACTCTTACAGTATTGACAAGTGAAGACGCTGAGAAAATGCAGTCTCCTTCTATGAATGTTTTGCACGCGATCCGGTTCCGCCAATTGTAAGATGATGCTAGAGGACAGGACTGGACTACAATGACTCCTAGCTTGGAAATAGGGAATGAATTAGTAGGACACATCGACCTATTCACTTATTTGGGACGTCGCATCAGCCTGCGCCAACGGTTTGATCCTTGACGAAATTTTAGTACGGATACCAAGAGTTACTTCCATACATGCCAGTTTACTCCGTCTCTGGCGTAGACGTGATCTCCGACTATCGACCAAAAGGCGGGTGTGCTGCTCAGCAGTTCGCTCCGCCCACCGCCATGGTTGTGAGAACTGGCCACTGAGGATGGGAGACGTGAAAAGATTAGCTGTCTTTAATCATATGTGTCTGCGTTCTATTTCCCATGTGAAGTGGTATAATAAGGTGAGCAATATTGAGGTTAGGCGTTGGTCGAGTTCTGGGTAAACAGGGGAAATCAATCGACGAGGTTGTGAAATCACATCGACTGAGATGGTTAGGACATGTGTTACGTATGCCTCGACGGGCAATGTTAGCTGACATAGGGTCATGGCTGGAAAAGAGCTAGTGGCTGTCAAACCAAAACATGGCTTCATCAGTCAATGAAATCCATAACAAATAGTTTAAGCCAGCCAAGTAGGAAGGTGTAGACTTCCTGACGGGTTGGGGTCCTCGAGACGGTAAAAACCAATGGTTGGAAACAATTGGTGACAAGGCCCAAAATCGTTCTCAATGGCTGGCTGGCTCAGATGCATCCACACCTTGTGACTTATGATTTCCAATAAAACTATATTGTTCTTCGTTACTACTACTCCTTTGTCTCACACCTCTGTTTACTATCTCTGTTATGCATTTCTTCTACTTTCTTCTCTTGGTTTGTGTGGTACATGGAGTGTGGCGACTTGAACTGCCGCACATCGGTGGAAAGTTCTATGTCGAAAACAGACAGATCATCAGTTGGAGACTACCTGAAATTATAATTTTCATATAGATGATAATAACATACTTTAAAGTTTGAGTGGTAGTAGAGAAGAGATACTATCAAGCTGACTCCTCCAAAATGAAAACATTACAATTTTTAGTTTAAGATTTCATCATCAATTTATACGCTTTTAATGTTGAAAAGAGGGGGATGGGTAAGATAGAAAACAGAAAAAGATAATTAACAGAACAGTGTTAGCTTGTAGGTTCACATTGCAACACAAATAAACAAAAGTAGTTACACTTTATGACATTAAGATTTGTTCAGTGAGTTGAGATCACTGAATTAGTCATCTAGAATAATTAATGTAATCAAACTCCTTGGTAACTGAATTTTGATTTTGATTACATTAATTAGTCTAGATGAGTAATTCAGTGATCTCAACTCACTGAACAAATCTTAATGTCATAAAGTGTAACTACTTTTGTTTATTTGTGTTGCAATGTGAACCTGCAAGCTAACACTGTTCTGTTATTCAAGTGTTGGTTTGTAGGGATTTGATTGGTTTCAGGTTTTCATCATGAGCTGACATTAGTTAGAGAACCATTGGAAAACCTGGGAGTACTGGGCAGCTGTTTCGTCCTAGTTTGGGACTCTTCAGCAGTACGCACCCACCGGGATTCGAACCCAGGACCTTCCGGTTACAAGGCGAGCTTGTATACCATTAAGCCACTGGGACCCGATCCAATGGTCCTTGAATTCTAACTTCTGCCAATTCATGACATAGCACGACCGCTAGCCAATGTCTTCGGCGAGTATTTGTCCTCACACCCGACCAGCTGCACCCTACTGGTCACGACTTCCCACTGGAACCCAGGTAACTACCTACCTGAATAGGGCCAGTCGCCAGTGAGCATCTCATTGGTATTCAAGTGTTGGTTTGTAGGGATTTGATTGGTTTCAGGATTTCATCATGAGCTGACATTAGTCCCAAACTAGGACGAAACAGCTGTCCAGTACTTCCTGGTTTTCCAATGGTTCTCTAACTAATGTCAGCTCATGATGAAATCCTGAAACTGTTCTGTTAATTATCTTTTTCTGTTTTCTATCTTACTCATCCCCCCTCTTTTCAACATTAAAAGCGTATAAATTGATGATGAAAACTTAAACTAAAAAAATTGTAATGTTTTCATTTTGGAGGAGTCAGCTTGATAGTATCTCTTCTCTACTACCACTCAAACTTTAAAGTATGTTATTATCATCTATATGAAAATTATAATTTCAGGTAGTCTGCAACTGATGAGAACCTTTGAAATAGAATGATATCATCTTATACTGCAAATTTCGTCTTTCTTTCTTTGCCACAACAGTGAGTTTAAGACAGCCACATAGGAAGGTGTAGACTTCCTGGCTGGGGTCCTGGGGAGGATAAACACCAATGGCTGCAAACTATTGGTGATATGGCTGAAAATCGTTCTCAATGGCGCAGATGCATCCACTCATTGTTACTTATATTTTCCACAAAAATACATTTTTCTTCAATATTACTGTTCTTTATGCCTCATATCTCTCTCTGTTAACTGTCTCTATTTTGCGTTTATTTTTACTTTCTTCCCTGGCTTTGGGTGTTGATTGAAGTGTGGCGACTTGAACTGTTTCACATTGGTGCAAAGTTCTATGTCGAAAACACACAGAGACAGAGAAACGAACAGTTCTATGACTATGAATTACATGTATGCACCTGTTTCGCGGTAGAAAATACTTTAAATGAACAGTTGTTTAGTCCTATTACTTTAGGGTCTGAGCAAAAAATCAAACGTAAAATGTAGACAGATATTAGTCATAATGTCTTCGTGTTACAAGGCTAATTACTTTATCTTTTGTTGAGGTGTGTACTCATGGGTTTTGGCATTTGACTTTCTGACAGTCAGTCCTGAGTTTGAATGCCACCCTACTGTCTGGAGAAATGCTACAGAGCACTTATAGCTTGATTATATGATCTCGGTGCGTTTTATAGCTAACTGATCACTCGATTCCGAAATTTGCGGAACCTACATCTAATTATCAAGCCGACAGTTAATAACTTCATGAACTGCTGTTACATTTTGGTTCAAACCGGATGAAAGTAGTTCGAAAGTGTGAAATCACTTAGGATACAGACTTTGAAATGTCACCATACACACCGATGAAGTATTAAATAACTTGCTAACAAGTGAAAATAAAATTCTATACATTATTAAAGGTCGATTATGTTGAGAAACACAAAACATGCATACTTTTAAATCTGCACAACGATCTCTTTCAGCTTGTATAGCTTCTAATGAACGTGCATTCAGTTGTTCTAGACGTGCATTATCTAGTGTAAGTTGATGAAGTGTTGTAGCCAATTCCAATTCACATTCATCGTCGTCGTCATCATCATCTTCTTCATCATCCCCCTCCTCTTTATCGTCTTGTGTAATTGCCTGATTTTCATTGTCAGAATTTATCGACTCTTCACACTTTTTGTCTACAAGATGCTTTAAATCATTTTCATCGTCTTCGCCTTCTTCCGTAAGTCGTGAATAAGCAACTGAATCAGGCGATGAATTTCTATTCAATAGAATTGGTTCTTCAAGTGAGTCCTCGTCACCATCTTCATTGTCATTATCGTCGTCGTCATCCTCATCCTCATCAGAATGACGATGATGTTGGCTATCTGAATCACTTGAATCTTCTTCGTCAAGTAGACATTTTTCTTTCTGCTTATTTACACCGTTATATTGTCTGGGATTTTTATAACGATTAATATTAACATTAACATCATCATCATCGTCATCATCATGAAGATTGGGATTAACAGAAAGATTTGTTAAATTCTCTGCAATTTTCGTCCATGGTTGTGAAATATGCCAGTTTAATTTTTTCTCGTCATTCTTTCCTTCTTCATCTTCTTCTTCACCACTCATCATATTATGCTGTGATGATGTCGAGATAATTGGATTTTGATTATACAACCATGGCGGACATAAGTGTTTCGCTGTTACATATGTACGGTATATTCGTCTAGCACGCCGGCCACCAGACTCCAGAAGATGATTAATGCATAACTGTAATTAAAAAAGGAGGATTAGTAAGAGGAATTATAAATGTTGACTTCAACTGTCAGTAAAGTAATTATTCCTTCATTCAAGGAACTGAACAGCCCTCAAATGAATCCAAGAAAGGCGTCAACAAGATACTAAACAGTTATTTGCAATGCTTAATCAATTACAAATCACAGAACGCATGTTTATATAATACCTTGCATACTTTTAGGCACCATTAGTCTGATTTTAGCTAGCAGGACACATCTTCCCATAATTTCTGGCGTAGACACGATATCTAGCTATAAACCAAAGGTGTGCAGTTTGCTCCATGGAAAGTGGAAGACATGAAGAGGCTAGCTGTCTTTGATTATAGGGGCTTGTGGTCTATCACTTGTGTTTAGCGGTATTTTAAGGTGAGCACTATTGAAGGTAGACATCGGGCGAGTACTAGGTAAAGAGGGGAAATCGCCCGGCGAGACTGAAGTTACTCTGATTGAGATGGTTAGGATGTGTTAGGCATGCCTTATCATCGCGTTCCCAGACGTGGTGAAATCCACAACAATTAATTTAAGTCAGCAACGTAGGGAGGTGTAGACTTTGTGCTTGGGGTCTTCAGGAGACAATTGGTGATTGATATGTATCCACATGATGTGTGTGTTTGTTTTGACAGTCTGTTATATTTTGCTATCTGTATATGGATCGATATTCCATTATAACTGACGATATGCTTTTGTCTGTCCACTAACTAAATAAACATGCATGATCTTGTTGTCACATGACATTACAACCAATCATGTTAAGACTGGCTATTTATTGGTTCATGTGTATTAGCCATTTTCATATATACTCTTGCTTTGTACACTTTTAGATTATTCTGGTTCACACACTTTTTCGTACACTAAGTACCATTCACTCACACTCTTGTGTGACATTTATTTTCCTTGTCTGGAAAATACGAGTATCATCGTAAACCTGGTGGTCTTCTGATTTCCCTCTCCGCGTCAGGACTATTAATAATCATGGATAAGTTGACTCCCAAGCTCAAATTTGGCAAGAAAAACTTTCGATATTTCTGCAGACTTGTTACAATGATCATGAATATAATTTGAAATGTTTTGAAGGGAATATTGATGCAGAACTCCCCAGGCTTTCGACAGTATATCTACATAGGATTTACTTGTCTATAGGCTTGCTTTCCTTCATCTTTGGTAGTTACCTTTGTTTAGATATTCGGTTGAACGTTGTTAACTGCACAAGAAGAAAATTGGGAAATCGTTTTCAACTAAACACGGTGATAACTGGATTAATCATGCAATTTAAAAGTGATGTGATGCGGTAGAATGCTCGCATGTAGTCCGGGATTCGATCGCCGGCAGACGCATTCCTTTGCCCTGCTAGAGCTGGCAGTAAGGTCACTAGACAGGAAAAGTTGAAGATGAAGCTAGCTTGGAGCCAGACGTTCCCCTAGGAGCGTGAGCAATATTAAACAAAATACACCTCAACAACATAATCCAAAGTTAGATAAAAATTATCCGACAAAGAAGGCGACGTGTCATAGCCATCTCAATCGATGCAGCTTCAAACTCATCGACTGACCTTCCCTCGTTACCTATCTTGCCTCTAACACTTTACGCTAATCCTTATTATTACAGATCATAATATAGCACGTTACAAGGTGCACTGACGATCAGAATTTAAGTCCATAATGTGTGGCCTAAAGTTAAAAACACGAAGTTGGAAATACCGTGACTAATTAGCTGAATATGTAATTCTTCTAAAGGATTTGAACTCAGAATAGATTCCGTAGCTGTTCATCAATATTGTTCATAATAATCACTTTTACACCAGTTAACTGAACGTAGGCGCTAAATTGTTCACATTGTACAAATCGCCTAATCACATTTCTAGTTTAATAAAGAAACACAAAGAAATATGCATACCTTTGTGATTTATACAAAAGGAAAAGAATTAGCTCACCTGAAGTCGATTAATTTCTGCATTTTCAGATCGAATTCGTGCTTTTAAATCCGCTTGTATAGCGATTAATTCTTGTTTCCGTGCTTTGTAATACATCATCTGACGTTGATTAGGATCCTGTATAAAGGTAGAGGTGGTCGTCATCATTGTAGTATTAGTATTAGTAAACATAATAGCACTAGGCTCTATGAACTCTGTCAACTTTGGTGCTAAATCAGGTGGTGGTGGTAGAGATGGAGAATCCGTCATTAGATAATGTGAGAGTAAAGTGTTGGGAGCTGTGGTTTTTATAGAATTTCGACTGAAAACTTCATCATAATCTCTAGGTGAAGCATACGTTTGGTGAATAAACTCTGGATGTACTTCCCTGTCAATGGCCTAAATAATAACAAAACAATGAAGCAGAGAATACAATTTAATTAAATAATGATGTCTGTGATAAGACTAAACCACTCATCACACAACATTGAACTGCTTACTTTAAGCGGCAGAGGGATAAAAGTCAAACGAAGCACACAAAAGTATCATTTGAAGTTCTCAGTCTTTGAAAAACCATACAAAACAGGAGAATTGAAACCAAATGGCACTGCAATAAGTAAATATGGTTACAACAGAGGGGATCATTAAATGAAGATTAGTGAAGATGTTCGAAATTCGAAAGGAGGGGAATGCATTCAGAATATAGTGAACAGTATTGTTTTATCTCGTTTAGAATTTAAAATCACTGACTGGTGTCACGTAAAGGTTGGTTACAACTCAGCTACAGTTATTATGTCAAGGTTAATAATACCACCAAATTTTACAAATGAGAAATGCAGGCCTAAAGATTCTCAGAATTCGACTCACATCTTTGTAAAACCCTATCATCTCTTACTGATGTTGCGCAAACCCTATATATATACAAAATCCTCAAACTGTTCCTTCTGCAACACAGTCGGATTATTAATGATTTACATCAATTTGATACAACTGTTTAAAATATACATCAGTTAACTTAGGCAATACTTTACTATTCCCTTCCTAAAAGCGTAGGAGATTGAGGGACGAAATATTCACCAATCACCCACGTGACCGGCGGTTCGATCACCAGTAGACGCTCTCCCAAGCCTCGCTTGGCAAGTAGTAAGCCTGGTAAAGAGGGGAGATTGAATGTGAGACTGGTATCATCACCCCGTAAAAAGTAAATACCACTGCACGTGAAACATCAAAGGTTAAGCTTGAAGCCTTGTAATGTACAAAGGAATAAGAAATAATTTCAAAAGCATTTCTGAAATCAAGCCATCAAATTTTACCGCTCTATCTCGCTTGGGATTTACAGATAGCTTGCAAGCTAGGCTAAAGTTGTAGCACTGGTGTTTATATTCTATTCAGAGTAGAACTGTATGCTGGGTATCTCTATAGACCATGTAAACCAATTCTCTAGGTGTTTGATTCAACTTTTCAACTGTCTCATTTGGGGACTTTACCAGTTTCTTGTTGTTGTAGCTTTCAAGGACCGACTTCTCTAATGAACCTAAACAGTTGATGAGTAACATCAACTGTTGATGCTTGTCATTTCTACTTCTTTCAACCAAGACTTCTCACAGCAGGTACGATAGCTTTAAGTCAGTTTACGTTTGAGCAGCTTCCAATCCTCATCATATGGTTGTTCTCCATGAGTCAGTGTCTCTGTCTTGATTACTTTGAACAAAATTACAGAAATCCAAAGGCTTTCAGTAACTTAAATGAAATTATTTCATTATTTCAAGTAGCAGACTATGCACAAAAACACATCGAACCGATAAGAAGACTCTAGAAGATCTAGATTTCGGGGAAAATTCATTTCTAGTGTAACCTAAATTCGAATACTTACAAGCGAAAAACAGCAAGTTGACAGAAAAAGCAGAGAAGAGAGGACTACAAGTGAGCATAGAGACAACGGGAGAGATGAAGATAATCAACCAGCAACAGCAAGCACCAATCACCATCAGCGGAAGAAAATTGAAGGTCACTTTCTTCACTCATAGGAGAAGCATCCTCGCAATTACAGGCAACATAATGGATAAGGATGTACCAAACAGAATCAGAAAGGCTAAACAGATTGTCATCACTCTGGAATCAATTTGAAAATCTACCTCACATTCAACACAAAGAACAAAATTCAATTCTTTTATATAGATCACGAAAAGCATTTCCAACAGGTTGTAGACTTTTATCAACAGCTGCTGCCGCTCCATACTGAAAATGGCCAGGAAGAATCAGCAGCAAGAAACTCTGGGAACGAATCAATCAAAAGCTTGTTGCTCAACAAATGTGCAGAAGAAAGTGGAGATGGATCAGACACACGCTAAGAAGATCACTGGGTGCTCCAGGTCCTCCAGTGGAACCATAATAGGAAACAACGAGTGGGTCGTCCGAAAGTAACACTGTGGAGATGGTGTGAGCAGGAGATGAGATGCTATGGGCAATCATGCAGCCCGCTTCAAAGGATTGTGGGGAACAGGATGAAGTGGAGGTGTGCTGTTGAAGCTTATCGTTCCGCTCGGAACCCAAGAGAACAGAATAATAATAATAGTAATAATCTTCCTAGTTGCTTTTACAGAAGACTGGGTATAAAATGCATAATATACATACGAAATTGATAAAAACGCTAAAATTTATATGATTATGAGTAAATATTAGAAATATGATTCACCTGAATAATTGAATTTTTCTGCTGAGTTTCAGAAGCCGCACACGATATCAAGTTCTCATCAAATTGATTTTCATTATTATTATGCGGTAACTGTTCACTAGAAGGAATAGTAGTAACACTGGCTGGCGCATCAGTATCATGAATTGACATGACAGTATTATTTAGAGATTCTTTATTATTTTGACTTTTACTAGTACTGCTTTTAAAATCCAAAGAAGCATTATTAGTTTCGGAGAGATTTGTCATACACACATTGGTTTCATCTCGTTGATTTATTACCGTTGACGAGGATATGGGCGTTGCTTCTTTTACTAGTGTTGTATTATCATTCTCTGATGAAGCAGTTGTCTGTGATGAGTAGACTATTGTATTTCCATCACCGTTTCTCGTATTGTTGTTTACTGTTGTCGAACAATTTAATTCATCAATTGTACTTGTTATTGTTGCTGTTGTCGTCGTCATCGTCGTCGTTATTGATGGTTCAATTGCCAATTTTCTGAAAATACAGCATTATATCATTCGATATTCAGTTGATCCACATTTAAAAGAATAACATTATAACTAAAAAAGATCACATTAATTCCGCCAAGAAAAGGAAGACATATTCGCACAAATTTATTAGAAACCAAATTACCACTATATATATATATATATGAATTCTATTTATATTTATTCAGTGAATGTAAATAAGCAGAAAAATATCGACAAAAACAAACAAAAGTCCAGAAAACAAAAATTGTTTGTTCTTTGAAAAACTTTTACACTGTATATTATACTTCTTCAGCGTTAGAGACATAGTACTAAATGCTTGAATTAGATTTTTTAAGAATTGATAAACATCATTTGATTGTATGGGTGACCTTTAATCTATCAAGTGCCACCTACTATGAATGGTTACTAGGAAAGCTAGGAAATGTTCAACAAGAGTTAATACCATATGGTCTAAAAGACTTTTTCCACCTCCTCAAATAGGGATGTACTTAAATCAACTCAAGAAATCGAATGATATAAAATCTTTGTTTACAAGCGCATTCCTCATCTGGAAACTACAGCTTACTGAAAGGACACGAAGTACCCCTCTCTTCTTCCAAAGAGGTTCAATTCGAATTAAACAGAGCGGTTTAAAGAAACAAGAAAACTTAGTGATAATGAGAAACTCCACTTAGTCTATTGGTGTCTAATATCTTTATACCCAACCTAAGACGTATCACAATTAATTTATCCAGGCACTCATATGACACACATTTTGTGTATGATGACGCTCAATGAGCCCTATATATTACCATCAAGGTTCAGTATTGTTCATCGACAAATGGAGAATCATTTAAGCTTTCTCAACTTATGCATGAAAAGAAAGCTGAGATAACATAATAGAAAGGGGTGGCTAATATCTAAACTTCAGCATATATTTTTAGTTGTAAGCTAAAAGTGAGATTCATCCCTTCCTGTCAATCGCCTTAATAATCTAAAATATACAAGCGAAATACAGTATACTTTTCTCACCTTAACGTTAGATTGAGTACTTCTTCTTGATCCAGTTCTGAGACAGAGGGTATAATTAATGGAGCACCAGACATGTATAATACCGACGGTGAATGACAGGTTGTTGTTGATGATGACGACGGAAGTGGAGATATTGATGATGCTTCTTGTACTGCTGTTGCCATTGTTGTCCCCATCATTTCCGAATTTGTAATTGCCGTCAAAGATGACTGTGGTTGTTGTTGCTGTTCATTCAATTTTTCATGTTGTTTCAATTTACGCTTAAGCATTGTTATTTGACGTTGTACTTCCCATAATTCATCTGAATAAGGGATCTTTTTATCTGTTAACTGATGTAGATGATCAGTATTATGATGACGATGACTGTGATGGTGATGATGACTTTTTGACGACTTATCACTTCCAGTTATCCTATTTATGTAAATATATATATATATATATATATATATATATATATATGCAAGTGTGTTATCAGCAAACAAACAAACACTACAAGATAATTTAGAATAAGCTATTAATTGATAAAAATGATACAAAACATAGAATGAGAACAGTTTTATTGGCCTACTTAGTCAAGATATAAAGTTATAAAGTCTACAGTCTTAAGCAGATATGTGTCCTAGAGATTTACAAGAAATACTGCCTAATTAGTTGGAATTTATAAATATTTAAATACCACGCTACATATACAAACAATTTACAACTATATAGAGAATGACATAAGTTTACAAAATAAGTAAGTGAAAAACATTTATATTACAAATTCACACATGATAAACACAATTAGTTTAAAACTTTCAGTGCATTGAGCACTAACTGAATGAAAATGGCCAGGTTATCAATGGAAATGTTTTCTTTGAATTTCCAGTTGGTTATAGTACGGAAGTTTTGACAATGACTTCAGATGTTACTTGTTTGAATGTGGGCTGGTATTGGATAACAGTGCGTGCAGATTGGGATGGATAGTTGGTTAGATATGTCTGTAACTAATGTTCTATTGGGGAGTGAGAAACACCACACTACCGCTACGACTAGCTTGCGAGTCTCAAATGGACAGAGACGCGTTCTTTGAATTCCATCATCAATCAAATCAACACTACAGCTGACAGGATGAAATCTACGTCCACAGTCTACTTTGTTAAACTCCTGACAATATGTTGTAGTATGCCTATAGTATCCTGTCTTATCCTCAAGGTTAAACTGGTCGACCTCAAACAACAGTTAAACTGAAAAAAGTGAAAAAGTTGAAAACGTGCTCAATGCAACACAGATGGATCATAGAATGGATTATGGATGAGAATTAAACAGCTGTCAAGTTCACCCTGATGTTTTAGTATCTCTGTGGTTTCTCATACGGCGTTATTTTGACATCTGTAAATTATTGTTTACTAGTTGAACAGAATCAGAAAGACTACTTCCACTTACATTAAACCACTTACAGATATTTTATTCCAGATAAATCGAAGGAATACCTTTATTTCAAGTGTGACTTAATACAGGAGTGAAAGACTGGATTGTTTTGTTGCATGTAACCAAAGACAAGATTTATAGGCAGAATAAATTAAGAACTGAATGTATAAATTATAACTTATATTAGAAAGTAGAAGAAACAAGATATACCTTCTACGTTGGCCAGATGTGGAAGTATCTTTCAATTGTGATAATCCACTGGATGTATCTGAATGTGCATCGATCGTTGCACACTGGGCTATTGCTAAATGCAATCTATCCAACTGTGTTTGTTGTTTAATTATCTCTTGTCTTATAGCCTCTGGATCAGTTAAAGCTTTACGTCGTTTTATTTCAGTGATAATATGTTGTACCTATAAATCCAAGAAATAAATACATAAGTATAACAACTACATTGAAAAATCCAGTTAATGTAGTGTTTGTTTGTTTGTCCAAAAAGAGGAGAATTACTTGAATACATCCATCATCACTTTGTTAACCTTGAAGATTACAACAAGTGCATTCCTCGATAATGGATGGATCAATGCATCTTCACCGAGAGAATGTGAAACAATTTGAAATACTATACACGCATTTTCCTATTATATACTTGCGAAACAAGAACAGTAAAACTGGAGAATTTGATGTCACATTATTATTATTATTACTGAGTGTGACCAAACCACTTTATGAAAAAAATTGATGTTAAGTATAAAATACATGACATTTGATGACTTTTTAAACATTCACCAATTGATGTAATTAAGACATATGTTATACATACACGACTGTGTCTCAATGTTAGATGTGGTTGGTTCAATGTATAAGAATAGAAATATAGCGCTACTCCAAGGAGTTACAGGCTGATAATGTCAGTAAAGCAAAGGGAATATGGTTAAAGTCAGTAAAATAACATAAATAAACACCTAGAGATTTCTCATCAAATGCTTCGCAGTCAGCCTAGAGGGAGCAAATGAATACGCAGTTTACCTCTGTCAAAACGATACAACTCTTGATATCATACAAGTTTTGTCAGTTGATTTTTTATTTCGCCTTCTGTCCTGTGTGAATTCAAAAACAGAGTAGAACTAATTGACATAAAAAGCGGATCTGTTCAAGCTATCAACATTTGTCAGCAGCAGGTTTACAAGAGAAGGAAAAATATAGTGATTTACAAAAGACAAACATGAATGATGTAAGCATAATAGGGAGAACTTTTCAGAACTCGAAAGTTGACAAATTTTGTAAATATCCGCATCATAATAAAGAGACATATTGTTTTCAAAATTCGAGTTGGTCTGGAATGACAACCCAATGCGGAGACGAACATAGCTAGTTGGCGGCAACTGGCTCAAAGGAAGAGCAAATCATGGCGTTAAATAGGTAAATGACTTGATACTATTCATATCGCTTTTCGAAGCAGGAGACTTAAATCTTGTTGATCATGTAGAAGGAATATGAAACTTGCTTGCCATTATAAGATATCTAGCAAATTGCATTATCTGACAACAGAATAAACTATCATCCATAAAATACTTGAAATCAAAGATACATCCAAAACTAGATTCCGTCTATCAACCACGGGACGTGTGTACTGCTCACCAGTTCGCTCCGTCCTTCTCTATGGCTCTGAAACATGGCCAATACGAGTTGAAGACATGAAAAGGTTGAGTGCTTTCGATCATAGATGTCTGCGATCTCTCTCACGTTAGGTGGTTTAATAAGGTAAGTAATGTTGATGTTAGGCGTAGAGTGTTGAGCAAAGAGGGAAAATCAATCGACGAGGCTATAAAGTTACATAGATTGAGATGGCTAGGTCACGTGCTGCCTCAGGATGGTCGGGGGTGGGTGCCTTGCGCTGCGGGTTGGCCACCCCTCCGCACACCTCTTGAAATGCTCCCATATGACCGGGCGTCTTACATAGCCTCTCCTGAGGAAGTCCTACTCACTGCCTTCACGTGGCGGAGGTGTTTCTCACCAAAGTGAGAGGGCGAAAGCGGATGCCCGGCGCTCTCCACCGGGTTGACTGTCCATTGGATGACAGTCTAGGGGAGATGGCTAAACCTTGATTTCAAACCTCCAACGATTGGCGTATGAAGCTCACTGGAGCTCACCGGCAGACGTATGGACAAAGGGCTTGTTGGTTTTCCTGGATATCTGGCCCCATTCAAAAAGGCGTATGAACCGAACTCCGGTCATCGGCTGCCAATGGATAGTGGACTCCTTACTCCACTCCTACTGCCTTGTAGGTCACACTTGGTTGTGTAAAGGCTAGAGCTGCACTCTCAAACAAAAGGCCGAGCGATGCTGGGCACATCACTCGTACCGAATTCCCATGAAACTTCATGAACTCTCTTACAAATTGCCGCGCCTGGGCAGCGATGATTCGAGACGTTCATGAAGCCGGCTCATCCTCCCGTAGGAGATAGCCGAAGTAAAGTAAGTAAGTGCTGCGCATGCCTAACCACCGCCTCCCCCGACGGGCATTGCTAGCTGATATAGGTTCAGGTTGGAAAAGAGCCAGTGGTGGCCAAATGAAAACATGGCATCAATCCATGAAATCCTTGACAGTTAAACTGAGTCAGGTAAGGAGATGCAGACTTCCGGGTTGGGGCTCTCAGGACTCTAGGAATCAATGGCTGGAAACAATAGGTGACATGGCTCAAAATCGTTGTCAATCGCCAGCGCAGATGTATTCAGTCTCTGTAATCTTTCATATTCCTTTCTACCATTACCCATTCTGTTTCACTCTTATACTTGTCAGACTGTATTGATTCTCTTCACTCATCTTCTTGTCTACCTCTGTGTGCTATTTGGAAGGTGGCAACTCGAACTGGTGCACTTCGGTGCCAATTTCTATGTTGAATCCAGACTGTCAAATCAAGTGTATGTATAAAGTAACGATTATTCTGAGGAATGTAAGTTCGTTTTCTCAAGACAAAGAATCCATTCAAATGAAGGATTTGTTACTGAATGACTTTCTACCATTTAAAGCTTTCGTGGGTTACACAAAGAGTGACAATCGCCGCTTATAAACGGTAATACACTCGAGAAAGAGGGAAGGTTGAGCGTGAGGTCATTGACCCCACTCCTACTGGGGGATTTCAAAGTTCAAAGATTGAAGGCCCTATATATTATACTGCATTCAGAAAACAAAAGAAATTTAAAAAAACAGTGATTGTAACAGATCTACAATGAATATGAATAATGATAGTGATTATAGGCGAACACACACACAGATAGAGACAAAAACTCACATCACGTAAGAGATATTCTTTACCAGGACTTGTCTCACCCAATTTTATTTCTTCACATAAATGAGCTAATAGAGATTCTTGTTTCTTCAATTCTACATCCAATTCTTCATTGGAATCGGGTAATTCTAGTCCATGGATTAATTTCAACGGAGGTATATACGGTCTTAATAAATACACAGGATGAGGAAACAACCAATGCCATGTGCTTGGATCAATATTTGATTTATCAGGATTAAATGCTGGCAGCTTTGGATCTAATTTACATAGATCCAAGGAGAAATCTTCAGTTTGTTAGTTTAAAAAAGGCATTGCAAGAAAAAAAGAATCGGTCAAGAAACATGAGAATAAAAAAATAGCAAACTTTATTAAGAATATGTAATTTATAGTGTTCAAAGAAAAACTATTAAATTCAAGAATTTATCATTTCGGGAAAAAAGACAACTTGTGGTCACTTAAAAACACTGACATACATGTTAATGCGTTTGGTTCAATACTTTGACAGAATGGAAACATTCAGGTGAAGAGTGAAAAAAGTACATCTTCGATTCAATAACACATTAGGTTGTTTGTTCTATCTGCACAGTTTTGATTGAAGGCTGGTTTCATCTCGAATTGACATCAGTTAACGATCCCTTTAAAAACCTACAAGTACAGAATAGTTGTCATGTCCTACTTCGAGACGCTTTAGCAAGGTGAATTTACGAAGCCGTTATATGACAGTCAAGTTTTGAAGTGAGTCTGTTAGCATTTGACAATTGAGTTAAACTCTAAAAGACACATGGCTGCAAAGTTTCGGGATTCCAATACAAAGTTAGCCAATAATAAACTAATGGGTCAGAAAAAAATTGTTGGATTTATAAGGATCCTACTTCTCCACGACAGATTTCGTTGATTTATAACCGTTTCGGCGAAGAAAATTTTATTATTATTGTCACCCCCTATTACTCAATAATAGACTAGTAACCATTTTTGGTATATATAAATACTACTGTACAGCCTCTGAAGATGATTTCGTCGATAAAGAAAATTTTCTTTGCTGAATCTGTCTTTTATTTTCTTCACGACTCAATGGGTATTTTCGATGATTGAATAACCGTTTTTTCAGATTATATCTCCTTGTAGGGAAATCGTATTTGGTGTGACATAGGTTCTTCAAGGGATAGTAAACAAACACCTGGGAAGGAAGTGTATGATACCCCAATACAAAATGGGGCGAAACCAAAACGTTCTTATATCTTAGTAATGCATACTTTGTCTAAAATCTACACATTTACTGTTTATCTTTGCACTATAATTTTAATTTCCAATTCATTACGAGTTAGCGGAATTATACTGGTGATATTACTGAAATTCATTCTGAATATGCTTGTGATAAAATTTTATGAGAAGTAAAGATCAGAGATAGAACTATCTTAGGAAAATAAACTTCACAGGGAACATATAGTGTTGGTGGACGACAACGCCCAGTCCCTAAGTTGATTCAGAGTTTGCATCTAAAGAGAAACTTGTCAAATATTACCTAAGTAAACAATTTTACATAACACATTCAAGGAAATGTTCCGGAGACGTGACTCAATAGCGTTAGCATTCTACTTCCAGTCAACTGGTGTAGAGTTCGAATCCCACTAGACCAAATTCATCTGAGTTAACTAATCGGTGTTATCAAACGTCACGTAATAAGAGTTTGAGTTCCAATTAACATATCAATGTTACTTTTGCTTTATTTTACAATAGTACGAAACCGAAGAAATAATCCTACTGATAAGATCAAGTATCCATTATGCTACAGGTCATTCTTCCAATATTCATAATCCATAATGGAGAAGATTTGCAGCTTAGGTGAGAGAATTTGATTTAGCTGTGTTCCCTGAGCTGGTTGATTTAATTGAGAAGCTTCCGTTAACCTTCGAGACAACATGTTTTCGTATGAAACGAGCTTACGTGAATTCTCTATGACAAGAAAGTTCAAATCCCAAATGAATGGATTTGATAAACAGAGTCGTAAATTAACAACCATTCACAACGATAGTCGCCAGCAATTGCAACGACAGAAAACAAAAGCCAGGAGACAGACCGCTTATTGAGATAATAAACAGATATTTATAGATTTTTATGTACATTATTATTCGTTATTGTTAACAGAGAAGCAATGTCTTCTGATTGGTTGTTTTCCTGCTGAAGGTTATTCTGTCGTTACTTTGTTGCCGTTTCTCAAATAGTCTGCTAATCGTATCCGCCCACGCTAAGTTTGCTGTCATCGATTGTTGAGTTAGTCTCTGTTGTTTTTTCTCATGACCAAGATTTTGGACTTAAAATGCTGTCTACCAATTCTGGCAGGCAGACAGCTTTTATCATACAATTATATTATTCACTAAGAATTCAAATAAATTCAATTTTATACAAAAACCTGCACTGAAGAAGTTATCCACAAAGACAAAAAAAGTTACATAATTGAATCCACCAGCTCAGGGAACACAATTCAATCAAAAACATTCATAATCCATCCAAATGAAGTCTTCATCACAACTTTCACATCAGAAAAGGAGAATAAGTCGACAAAATGAAAAGTAAGTCCGTTTAGACAGTTCAAACCGCACAGCGAGAACCTGTGATTCGAAATTTAATTGCGCATCTAAACTTCAGAAAGTGAAGAAAACAAGTATCCAAGGTCCTTACCATTGTCACTACCGAGCACAGAAACATGTCTCAAGGTGAAGTTTTGTAGTTAAGTCCCCTAAGAAACAGTATTGCAACAACAGAAGACAAGGGCCAGGTAACAGATCATTTATTTAGGAAATCAACACATATTTATAGACTTCCATGTACATTATCCTAGATTATTTTAAGCAAACAAGCACCATCTTCTGATTGGTGGTTTCTCGCTGAACGTTAATCTTCAATCTTTTTGTGGTCGTTTCTCTAAGTTCAGATTGTCTATCTGCAAATTGTATCCGCCTACGCAAAGTTCGCTGTGATTGATTGTTGAATCAGTCTTTGATCATATTTTTCTCACGACCAATACTGAGGACGTTAACATTGACACAAATTACAGTGTAGCAATTTGGGTGGCAGCCAGCTCTTACCACAGTGTTACGTTTTCTAATCCTTAGTAATAAAATTTATAATGGAAATTTGTTAGAATTAAGTGACCTACAACAGATTTCTCATTAGCCCGGACTACGAGTCGTATCTATACTATGTGAGGTTTGATAATAATACCGAATTGACTGAGCTGAAGTAGACGGAAGAAGATTCGAACCTGTAAAGCACTGACTGGAAGTCGAGTGTTTAGGCTAATGAGCCAAATCTCTACTTATCACAGGAATTAAATAAAACAAAACAAATAATCAACAGAATAGCAGTAGATATAAGTGGGACAATTACAAGTAAAAAATAAAAAAGGTTAAGAAAACTTTTATTTAAAAGAAGACAATATACCTTTCGGTGGCGTAGGATTCAACAAAATCGACAATAGACGATGACTAATTCCTAGACACGGTGACAGGACAATAATGATATTGGCTAATGTCATACGGTTTTCACCAGCTCTGTCAATAATATGCATCATATGCTGTATAATCCAAGCTAGTAAATATCGATTGGACACCGGCAATTCTTGATGTACTAAAGCAGACAAATTGTGATAGAATTGTACAGTGTCTGTGGATAATGATTCAATAACATTACTCAAGCGTTTTGTCAAAATTGATTCGGGTAGACTACGTAAAAATTGTTTGATAACACTGGCTATAACTGCGGGATCATGTGGTAGAGTTGACTGTGGATAAACTGATGTTGCAGCATTGGGAGCAATCAACGATGAAGTCGGTAACAGATGTTTCGCAGGTGAATCATTACTGCCGGCGCCGACACCTGCATTGCTACTGCAGCTACCAACACTTGCCATTGGATTTTTAACACTGAAAGCAGTTGAAATGAAACCGGCCGACGGTGGTGTAACTACTCCACGATTTTCTGAAATTTTGGGAGACAGTATTGAATTGAATTCTTTAGCTCCTGTATAAGCTAGAATAAGGATGGTGAAAAATGGATTAATATTTAGATGATAAACATGCAAGGCTCAAGCTGACATTAATAGCTTGAGAAATTTCTTTTGAAGTAAAGATATCAAACATTCAAATTGAATAAGAAACTTTTGTCAACAAAATTCGAAGCTTGTAGAGCAATACAATTATCACAACATTGCTATGAAATTAGCAAAATATGTTGGAATACATGATATTCGGAATAATTACGGCCTTATTTATTAGAATCACAAATGTATGAATGATAAAGGCGATAATAACTCATCATTTCAACCAGAAGTATATGTTTGTCTGTCTGTCTGGATTCAACATAGAACTTGGCACCGAAGTGCACCAGTTCGAGTTGCCACCTTCCAAATAGCACACAGAGGTAGACAAGAAGATGAGTGAAGAGAATCAATAGAGTTTGACAAGTATAAGAGTGAAACAGAATGGGTAATGGTAGAAAGGAATATGAAAGATTACAGAGACTGAATACATCTGCGCTGCATTGACAACGATTTTGAGCCATGTCACCTATTGTCTCCAGCCATTGATTCCTAGAGTCCCGAGGGCCCCAACCCGGAAGTCTGCATCTCCCTACCTGACTCAGTTTAACTGTCAAGGATTTCATGGATTGATGCCATGTTTTTGTTTGGCCACCACTGGCTCTTTTCCAACCTGAACCTATATCAGCTAGCAATGCCCGTCGGGGGAGGCGGTGGTTAGGCATGCGCAGCACGTGACCTAGCCATCTTAGTCTATGTAACTTTATAGCCTCGTCGATTGATTTTCCCTCTTTGCCCAACACTCTACGCCTAACGTCAACATTACTTACCTTATTAAACCACCTAACGTGAGACAGAGATCGCAGACATCTATGATCGAAAGCAGTCAACCTTTTCATGTCTTCAACGCGTATTGGCCATGTTTCAGAGCCATAGAGAAGGACGGAGCGAACTGATGAGCAGTACACACGTCCCTTGGTTGATAACCGGATGTCACGCCTACGCCAGAGATGGTGTAAGTCAGCGAAAGCAGCTCGAGCTTTTCGGATCCGTGCTGAGATTTCATCGCCAATCAGTCCGTTGGTGCTAATACAACTTCCCAAATAGGTGAAGTGGTCAACATGTTCTATCACTTCACTCCCTATCACTAAGTTAGGGGTTGACGTGGTCCAGTCCTGTAGCAGCATCTTACATTTTGCAGGGGCGAATCGCATGCCAAACATACGAAGATTGCTGCTCAAGGTGTTCAGAAGACTCTGCATTTTGTCAGCATCCTCCCCTAACAGGACTATGTCATCTGCATATTCTAAGTCCATAAGATTATTCCCTGGTAACAAGTCGATTCCTAAGTCATTACGTTCAGTTAAGGATACTTCCATCAGCATATCTATGATGAAGTTAAACAGAAATGGGGAAAGTGGACATCCCTGTCGGACACCACTGGTTGTTACCAATTCAGATGACAATTCCCCATAAGCCCTTACACGACTACGTGAGTGTGAATAGAGTGCCTTGATTAGTGCAATGTACTTTCTTGGCACTCCCTTCACAGTCAGACATTGCCATAGTACCTTTCGATCCACGGAGTCGAAGGCCGCCTTCAAGTCAAGAAATATGACAATTGTTGGACGCCGAAAAGTGTGTCTATGTTCTAGAATCTGTCGAAGAGTGAAGATATGATCTATGCACCCTCTACCTGGTCTAAAGCCTGCTTGATTTTCCCTTGTCTGTTCCTCCCGAGTTCTGCTTAGTCTATGCATGATTACTGAGCCTAGGATTTTAGAGACTATGTTCGTTAGGCTGATCCCCCTATGATTATCACACGAGGACTTGTTTCCCTTCTTGAATATCGGTATAATAAGTGACTTACCCCAGTCTGATGGAACTGTCTCTGATTCCCAGACTTTGCCTAGTACCTCAGTTAATCTACAAACTAGTATGTCACCCCCATATTTAAACACCTCCGGAATAATTCCGTCGGGTCCTGCCGCTTTGCCTCGTTTCAAATTACTGATAGCTTTTGTGACCTCACTTACAGACGGCGGACCAGTGTCTATATCCCATTCGGGTGTGTTCTGGATGTCGGGGAGGTTCAGTGTGGCTGTAGGCAAGAGTATATGTTTAGAAAAAGTTTATTCTAAACATATTGTATGGTGATATTAAATAAACAAGAAAAACAGAAAATTACAAGGTCAGAGTCCTCTCAACTTCTTTTAAATAGATATGAACAGCTAATTTTTTTACTTCATGAATGCGTAGTAGAGCATAGAGCCTCAAAACTGGAAAGAGCTTCCATTGCAATTGATGAAGATTCACAAGCACATTAAACAATATGCTTTCTTCACTCAGCTTGATTTCCACATTTATCATAACAATGAGCATATTATCGAAGACCTGTATCCCCGCAATGTGTTCCACCGGTGATGCTCACACACAGGATGGACTAGGACAAAACAAACTTATATGAGGTATATCTGCCATTTAACGACCACATGGTGAATAAAACGGAAAAGATTAGTAGTTTAGGTGAATAATATTGGTGTAGCTGTGTTTTCTGGTCTGGATGTATGTACTTGAATATGTCTTTTGTATCAAAGATGACAATTTCACGAACTAGGCAGAACTAGGTTATAGACACCTACTTGATACTTATAATGTTAGTCTTAAATTTAGAATAAAAACCAAACAAGGTCATACATTTTTTTATAAAATCTTAAACTCAATAGAAATTATTGACGTGTCAAGGAATACTTATAATCTAGACATAACCATATATAAATATTAAGATGAGGTGACTTTTTTCTGAGAAAATGTCTTTCTGTGCACACTTAGTCTTCTAGCTAGCTAGTGTAACTATTTACTTCTACTCACTTATGTGTCATTCTTTGATAGTGAGTAAAGTTTAGAAAATTTCAATGAAGAACTCTAATAACGGTCCCAATAGATTAGAAGAAATATTGACATTAGTAGAGCAGGCAGTGGTTTCTTGTATCGCTGTCAGCAAAGCATTGCTATCATCACTGAAACACAAACTTGGCATATTATGTGCACCAAGATATTAACCAGACAGCCCGGACTCCCAGACCGAAGCAGATGGTTGTCTTAGGAGGCCGCCTCGAGCCTTGAACTTCAAGTCTGAGTCCTAAGGCAGTGGAGCGACATCAGAAGCTATGACCCCCATGGTTTGTGGCGCCCGAAACAAGTTCACACGCCATTCCATTCTATCGGCTTCTGAAGTCTATGTACACCACAGTTTATCAACCAGATTATTCCAGCCATACTAAGAAGACTAGCAAGTTAGTAAAGAAAATAAACATGACTTATGAATAAAGTATGATGAAAAAAGCTGTGCATCGGTGGAATAAGGCTTAAGAGGCTCGCCGACCATACACATGGTCTGGGGTTCGATCCTCGGCAACAGACGCACTCCCTTACCTCGCTAAGCCAGAAATAAGACTGGTAAAGAGAAAAAATTGGACATGAGGCTAGCAAACTCAACCTGTAAAATAAACACTGCTACAGAAACTTCAAGCCACTAGCTTGAAGCCCTATGTTCCACTGCGGAACGTGAAGGAAAAAAATGAAAAAAAGCACTTAATTAATTACTGAATAAAGTGAGGTGCACACTCAGATTATTGTATTTTAAACAAGTGAATGCATGGAGGTGATGGGTTGACTACAAGAGATGGAGATCTCCAGTATAAAAGTCCAACAAGATGACATCTGTTTTATAGATCTATGATGAATTTTTAATTCTAATGAATTCTGATTCACATAACTTTAAACAAAAACCAATGTAGGCAAACTCAAAAGTAATCAGAGGCAGGTGAATGAATCCCATAATTTGGAATAGTCATAATCTAATCCAGTCATTTATAACACTGATCATAAGTAAGTCAAACTACAAATATTTTATGCATAGGTGAAAAGACATGCTCATAACTGCTGATTGTGTGAAGTAATGTACACTACATATATTTTCTGTAGATTCATTCAATAAGTCTAGATTTGATTGACATCGACTGTAAATTATGCGTCAATCAGATGTTCAAGTAATTCCAATTTTAGAAAACTTTCCACTATTTACACAGCTAGAAACTATTACTTAGATATTTCAGATACCAAGGGATGCAAGGTTGATTTATCAAAATTGAGTGAAGATTCTTCAAGGTTGAAAAAACATGCCATATTGATGCAGAACAACAAGCATAAAACATTGAGGACAACAAAGACTCACATCAGAATGACCAGACAGAAAGCTGCTACCTTGACTTGGTGGTCGGGCTTGCACATCGCGATGACCCAACAAACTGTACTGACTGAAACCAATGTTCCTGCAGGTCCTACCATACCAGGAAGCTTCTTAGGATAGCGATTAGACTAAAAGCAGTTACTGGCATTGTATAAGAATCTCTCTTACACTATGATTGGGGTCTGAGGGCGAGGTCGTACTGCTGGGGAATAGGGGTGTAACAGCAGTGAGGTATTTCCCTCAGATGACCAGCATGCCAGCTATGCTGTCTCTTCACTCCAGAGGGAAGGGGTTAGTACATCCCGACTTACCCTTCAGTGGTCCGTAAACGACAATAAGTTTACTAATACGGAACCAATCCCAAAACCAGTTCATAGAGGCCGTGTGTCACCGACCGGCCTCAAGCAGTTGTCCCTTGAACTCTGGGGTCACGCAACACAAACCCTCTTTCTGTTTCAGGTACCTGAAGAAGGAATGTTCACGTAGCACAAAACTTCGTTTTTGTCGTGCAAATAGTTGAGGAATATATATATATATATATAAACAAAACATTTGAATAAACTAACATGAACTTAAATGTCGTGTTTTGCCTTTGAAATTGATATCTGTGGTACCGATTAGAAAGTGACTAGAACGATGTTTTGTAAATACGTCTTGATTATGATAAAACGTCGCAGAAGTTGGTGGGATATCTGGAAATTCTTGACCATTATCAATTGAAGAAATAACTGCTTGGACTTGCGAATGAACGCCAGGCACCTAAATATAAGAAAGAAAAAAAAGCAACTTTAAAAACAAATAGTCATAAAAGTATAAATTATTTGACTACAACAATATCATATTGACAATAACCAAAACTAGATGGAATGCTGAACAAAATATGATTAGTAGGTTTACTACACAAATGAAACGGAGTTTTTTATCAGCAATTTTTGAAATATAACAGTTGAGTAAGCAAAAAAGTCATTTTTCGTAGGCAAATGTTGCGGTGCACTATTAAATTAGTTACGGGAGATGCGGTATTCTACAAAACACAAATATAAGTTTTGATAAAGCAATAAGAAGACGTAATTTGTGTGAATAGTGTGATGTATTTGCGCAACACATTCCGAACAATCTGATCACACAAGGACTTGTCATAGGAATGAACACTCAAAAGGTGAGAAAACAGACTTAGGTCAATAGCATATTCCTAAATGGCTCCAGAAACAAATGGAATTTTTAAAAAAACCCATTAATAGTGAGAACAAGAGACCTAGCTCCTCTATTGAGAAACATATTATAGAGACAGGAAATAAAATTGAGGTTAACATACATTTTAAACCTATCTATAAAACGTGTTTGGGGCGTATCCTAAAGTTTGTGAAAGCCCTAGTAATAAGAAAGTTTAAACCACCTTTATGCGTTCAAAAACAATTCGTCATCACATTAAACCTTCCTTGGTAAATTTGATATAGCAGATGTACTATTGCCTTTGTTTCTTGTATTAGTGGTCTTCATTGTTATTTTGACCTTGAATAAGTCCTTTTAACTTGACCTAAGTACATTTTCTCACCTCTTACCTCTTTATTAATTTCATATATATATTCCTATGACAAGTCCGTGTGTGATCAGAGTGTCCGAAGTGCGTTGCGCAAATACATTACATGATTCATATAAATTACGTCTTATTGCTTTATCTAAATTTATAAAGGGAAATAATTGTTTTGAACAAAAATGAGTAACAAAATGTAAAAATATTTTCGAAAATAACAGCAATATGTTGTTATGGTATGATCGAGTGTAAATATAACAAGATATGACGAATGATAACTAGACGACTGGTATTGCTAAGTAGTTAAAATTCGCTGACCCGAAAAGTAATTTAGAAGACCCATACGCCTAAAAAGGACACGTATATTATTCCAACAAGGGCATATAATCGTAACAACAGAAGACAAGGGTCAGGCAACAGATCGTTTATTTAGGAAATTACACTTATTGATATATTTTCATGAACATTATTATAGCTTATCCAAGCAAACAAACAGTCTTCTGATTGGTTGTTTCTCACAGAAAATTAACCTTGCATCCCTTTGTGACTGTTTCTTGAAAGTCAGATCATCTTTATGCCAACGGCATCCGCCTACGCAAAGACTGCTGTGATTGGTTGTTGAACCAGTCTTTGTTCATATTTTTCTCACGAACAATATTAAGGACTTGAACATTTACGTAAATTCATGTCTACCAATTTGGCTAGCAGCCTGCTCTCACCACATAACTACCACAGAAGGGTGTGAATGAAAGTGTGTCAATTAATTCTACAGTACAATAGCGTAACAAAATCTTTAACATATACGAACCAAAATAGATAACAGTTTTTCATACTACCAACTGGATTCTGATTAGCTGCAATGTCTTGTGACAAAAGCCATTCATTGTTATGTAGTTGACTGACAGACAAGAGAGACAGTGAGTCATAACAAACTAACGATCAATATGCATACAGTAAACCGTATCAGACTGGAAAACAAAGCATATATCATGTGACTACATATCGAGTACTAAACGATCAACAAGTAGTATGGTTATCTTTTTGATGTCACCTAGTAGAACGATGAAAGCTTCGCAAATTAACCATCCAGTTCAGAGAACACAACCACATCAAAATCATCCACCTGAGCTACAAATCTTCTCTATCATATTATGGTTATGAGACACTATCTGACTTTCGACCACAGATATCGTCATTTACTCAGGGTTACCAGGGTGTTTCGTAGCGTATATTTTGAGCAACATGAATGAATGTTGATCATTTGACAAATCTGTTTAGAGTCGTGTAGATTTGTTTTGTTTTTCAGTCAGTTTTAACCGCACCCAGTGGATACTTATACAAAATCTAAGGGTTCACATATATATATGAAAAACAAGTAGAATTTTCTATAAAAAATATGAGATAACAAAGATTCAGTCGGAGTTTCGTTGATTGAATCTGAATCTATATGAAACACAAGAATTCAAACCGTCTGAACCTTACCATAATTCCTGACATGATAACCAGTCACTAATAATCAGACTAAAAAAGGCATAAATGAATGAAGTTAATTAAAACCTCTACGTGATAATGATACACAGTTGAAGTTTAATAATTATCTGTGATATATGTATGTGTTTACCACAGTAAAAGCTATACTGCACAAAAGACATTACATTAAACAACTGAATATATAACTGTGCTGCCATAGATTTGCAGGCAGCTGTCAAGTTCATGAAAACAAAGACACCTATAAAGACAAGTTAAACAAAATAAACATAATAAAACTGCATATGACAACAGTAATAATAATTACACGATATATGCCTTCTGAACTAAGACCATATTGTTCGATATAGTCAATACAATGACGGAAAAATGCCGGTAGCATAACTTCGTCATGACTTGGATTTCTGTTACAAGCGACATCTAAAGGAACTCCGAATATAGGCTATATAAAAAGAAAGAAAAAGGAAGTATAAGATCAAACTAATTGATTTACGTAAAACAATAGAAAAGGAATGCATTATATATTGAATAGCTAAGTTATTAGACTTTGAGAGATTTGACTAATTTCAAGGTAAACTTTAGTATGTGAAAAAACCCTTCTAGTTTGCTTCCTTAACGTCTTTAGGAATGCAACCCTGAGAAGTTGAACCATGAACTGTATAGTAAATTGATAAAAATTGGAAACTAGAGGTTATCTCGATTGTGATGCAGTTAGCCAATGGTAACGTCTTTTACTTTGCCTTATCACACACGAATGCTACTGAAGACGACGAGACTTGATGAAGAAAGCTATCCGATACGCAATAATCAATAGTGTCGTTTGCCATTAGCAAACACCTAATCAATAACTTTAGAACAATCAGGCTTTATTACATTCAGGTTGTATTTTCATGCAGTATAAACTCTCAGTAATTTCTGTGGCTATGGGTGATACGGGTCCGATTCCCAGAGAGAACATACGTTCCTTTAAAGTTGCAGATACGTAGAATATATATATATATATAGCGGTAAAAAGGTTAACGCAATTTGATATACACCTTTAATGACATTTAAAACTAATCTTTAGTAAAATAATTAATTTAGGCTCAAGAAACAAGTATTCCAACATATTTATTTTAACAGTATGCGACATGTTTACAAGCAATTATTTATCTAAATGCCTTTGACACATTTTATGTTATGTCGGATGACGTCAACATGTATTTCGATGTCCGAGCTGCATGCTGAAAAAAGCCAGTCGCGATGCTTTATTGCATAGATTTGTAATGCCAAGGGGAAGTTTATGTCTACACTACCGATTCCTCACTGGTCATAAATTTACTGGATAATGGACATTTGTTTGCATTTAACGCGCTATTGTGCTTTGGTTGTAAACAGATACAAAATCTTTAAGTAGCTACAACAAGGATACACAAAAGCTAATCAAGGATACACCTTGAGCTGCAATCCACGAATGTTTGAAATGCGATTCGCTCCCGCCAAATGCAAGATGATGTTACAGGACTGGACTACATCGACGCCTAGATTAGAAATAGGGAGTGAATTAGTAGAACACGTTGACCACTTCACTTATATGGGAAGTACCATCAGCCAGTGCCAACAGCTTGATCGCTGACGAAATCTCAGCTGAGTACGGATACAGAGGGCTAGTTCTGCATATGCCAGTTTACGCCATCTCTGGCGTAGACGTGATAACCGACTATCAACCAAAGGGCGGGTATACTGCTCATCAGTCCGCTTCGTCCTCCTATATGGCTGCTAATGAGATATGGCCATTGAGAGTGGAAGACATGAAAATGCTGACTAGCTGTCTTTGATCATAGGTGCCTGCGCTCTATTTCCCGTGTAAAGTGGCATAATAAGGTGAGCAACATTGAGGTTAGGCGTCGAGTTCTAGGTAAACAGGGGAAATCAATCGACGAGGCTGTGAAATTACATCGACTGAGATGGTAAGGACAATTGTTACGTATGCCTAGTCATCGCCTTCCATGACGAGCAATGTTAGCGGATATAGGATTGGTCTGGCTGGAAAAAAGCTAGCGGCGGTCAAACAAAAACTTGGCACCAGTCAATGAAATCCACAACAGTTGGTCTAAGCCACGTAGGAAGGTGTAGACTTCCAGGCTGGGGTCCTCGAGACGGTAAAAATCTATGGTTGGAAACAATTGGTGACATGGCTCAAAGCTATCGTTCTCAATGGCTGGCTGGCTCAGATGCATCCACTCCTTGTGACTTATGATTTCCAATGAAACTGTTTTGTTCTTCGTTATTACTATTCCTTTGTCTAACACCTCTGTTTACTGTCTCTATTATGCTTTTCTTGTAATTTCTTCTCTTGCTTTGTGTGCTATGTGGAATATGGCGACTTGAACTTCCGCACATCGGTGGAAAGTTCTATGTCGAAAACAAACAGAAAGGCAGACAGTGTTTTTAGATCAAACAAAGACGCATATTACCTTTAAGATTGGATAAAATACTTATAGAAATTGCATAAAAGACCATCTGGATTGCGTGTTATTTTTTAAATCACAAAGAATTCACCTTAGTGACAATTTTTACTGCTTTTTCACCACTCAATACTGTTTTATGCGAATGCAATTTCAAGCCTCGTTTCTTTTTACTTTTCACAGGTTGTTGTGCTGTTGCCGGTATAGGAATAGCAGTATCCATATTAGATTGTTCAGACACCTTCTTTTGCTTCAATTCTTTCTTCTTAATTTTTCTTTTGGACTTACTATTACTGATATTTTCGGCAGTAGGGACAACCGATAGTGGACTACTAAGTTTGGCATCATCATTAGTGACAATTTGAAAAGACGTTTTCATTTTCGACGATTTATTATTCAACAAACTGGTGGACGAGATAATACTCGTTGGAAGAGTAGTAGTTATATTAGTGGTAGATGAAACATTGGTAGTATCAATATCATCCACGTTGCTTTTTTTATGCTTCTTCGACCTAGACAATCCTTTAAAACCGGATTTGCTTTTCTTAGCTGATTTTTCCGTTAAACTGGAAGACAGCATCTCTATTTAAAAATGAAAATATATTTTTTTAAATTGAAAAAAGATGTGTAAACTCGTAAATATATATATATATATAAGCGACTAGGTTAATAAATTTCCTGTTGAAAATCTTTACACCAATCTACTTTCCCCACTCTGAGTCCCGGAGTAGAACATAGGGCTCCAAGCATTACTGAAATTTCAGTGAGAATGATGCTGTTTGTTTTTTCCTAACCTAACACTCAACGTTCACTCTTTTTACGGCTTATAACAAGTTAGCCAACTAGGTGGAGTTTAGGAGTGCATTAGTCGGAAATCAAACATCAGCTTCCAGTCTGAGATGTATTCTATTATTAAACTGCGGACATAACACTGATCTTCTTTATTGTATTTTATTGACGTCAAAAAGACATAGAACAATTTAGTTCCATCGAAGTGAGGAAAAGTTTACACCATAAGACATACTGATTAAAATACTTCCTCACAGCATTACAAACAAACAATAATATATGTAAATCAAATATATTCAATACTTACTTTTTTGTTCTACAGGAGACTAAGGTATGCACGCATTAAACAGACAAAACCCCACTCTTCATTACTTCAAATGATTGTATTTATATAATCAGCCAAATGCGATTTTGTAACCATTTCTAACCCAAAGAGAATCATATTTCTTCATATAAATAAGTTTGAATTTAATACTGAAAACATGATTGAGATACAGAAAAAGGAAATAAACAAACAATGAAGATAGCCGGCTTCAGCTCAATGAACACGAGAAAAGTATATAGTGTAAAAAACATTTCGGTTATGCATTGAGAGGATAACCGTTTAAATGTTAGGTGCTAAATTCCAAAAGCTAAAAAATTAACCAGTCGTAATTAAGTAATGGTTTGCAAGGATTCGATTGATTTCAGGATAACATTATAAAACTGACAACCTGGGAGTACTGAATAGTTGTTTCGGCCAAGTTTGTAACTCCTCATCGGTACGCACCAGGAAAGCACTGTGTGCGCCAGGAGTCATCTAAAAAAGGGGATCTATTCCAGAGGTCTACGCGTATTCATTTGACTCTTAGTGATGATTTGAATCTACAACCGAAAATTCGATGAAATTTACAACTCGTGATTTCGAGTAACCTAACCGCTTATTTTAATATACAAAGAAGTGATCTGAATTATCTGTTTCTTTTATTCGTATTTTAGAGTACAATTTGCAAAATGTGTATAGTTATTTAAACCAAATTCAGATCAAACAGTTTGAAAGAAACGAGGCAATGACAATGTGATTTTCACTGCTCAATGGATGTAGAACAAAAAAATGAGGACTGTTTTACTGTTTTCTTGTAGGTGATGACAAGTCAGAAATTTACAATATGACGAGTTGAGCAGTATTCTTTTCCGTTCTAAACACATAAAAGGTAAGCAGAATATATGCGACAAGGTGAGCTTTATGTGTTATAAATGTAAGAAATGTTAATTCAGGTATGCGTACAACTAGGTGTAATTCTTATGGCAAATATGTCAATAAAATTTCTTCGTGACGGTTAATTGAAACCAGAGAAATTTGTATTTAGCTTTCTCACAATCACAGAAAAGAATTTTATTCCACGTTGTAGAAGGCTAGGCCGTTATATTATAACATATTCCATATAATTTGCCGGAGCTTATCTTGGAAGACTTTAACGTTATCACAGGAAGAATAGAATAGACAGCCAAATCCTGATGGCATGTTTCCCCATGACAATACATCTTACTTCCATGATTCAACTAACAGAGTGAAAGAGAACACCAACCAATATAAGAGGAGTACAAACACTGTGATTAAAAAAACATCATATTACTTACTACTGAAAAAAACATTTGTAGAAAGTGGTTTTGCTTATCACTCAGTCGTCGTAAGAATTTAAATATTCACAAACAGACATCTTCCACATCAAATTGCAATGCCATTCATAAAGTCATGCATCAATCTCATACTTCTCAAAACTATTCTCATCATCAGAACAGAAAACACTAGTGAGTATTTACGAAAATTTATTTATTTCAAAAATATGTGATTTTGGCAACAACAAAAAAAAGTTATTCTTACATGAAAAAACGAACAACATACGCAGAGAGAATAATGGGGGGAAGACAGAAGAAATATTCAAAAGGAGCACGTAGGGTGACCAAGATCGAAAGCTAAATTGTAGAGATCAAAATGTAATGAAATCTGTGTTATCATCCGTCGCTAATTCTTTGTTTGTATTTTTCGACTTGTTATATACGTGTTACAACCCGCTACTACATTGCTCGAGAAAATGATTTATATCAATGTAGATTGAATTTACTTACTCGTATAGCAAAAAAGTAGGTAGAAGGGAAAAATACGTTAGAAGAAAACGAATAATAAAAGCAAAGCAAAAAAAACCAAGCAGAACAGTAATTTGTATTGTAATGATAGTTGAGATTGTAGTAAGCAATGTGAAAAAAATTGACCAGAATCCCACAGGTTTTTTGCAATCTTTTGAAACCATCCAAAAAACCCAAGATCAAATAAGCTGGGTAACAGCCAATGCAACTACTATCTAGTAAGGACAAGATACAAGTTTTCGGAAATAATAGAGATACAGCGGGGAAACAAGAGGGATCAAATGTAGGAAAGTATGGTAAGAAAAGAGTAACGGGGGATTGGCAGGTTATGTGAGAATTTAAAGAAAATACCACAACACAGTTAACTTCAGGATACAATGTACACCTTTAATCATCTTTGCTCTACTGATCTTTTTAGTAAGTGCAATAATATATATATATATATATATATATATATATATATATATAAATCTGTGGAAAAAACGCCACAAGTTGGAGTAGAGGTTATAAGGAGGTGGAAAAAAGTGGATGCCTTCAGGCTGGAAAGAACTTTTCAAAGATCCTGCACTCACAAAAAAGGATCACCTCATACAGTACGCATGTTAAAATTTACGTATTTTCTTTGTAACTTAGAAAGTGGACAGGATTATGAGAGTAGTAATGATAATAATCGTCGCAGATGATTCAATTGGTCAGTTGTTCAGTGTCAATTTGGTGTTAACGTTACAAGTGATGAAAATGATGATGATGACGATGACTATAGCAATAATAATAATAATAATAATGGTGATAATGTTTATACTGTAAATGACAACTGAACCAGTCTCGTTTTTTGATTAATATATACCGTATTGTAAGTTCAAAGGTGTAACCAATTCAGATGATGTACTCGATGTTAACTGATGACTAACCCATAATTTGTTGATATGTCTATATTCTGACTCCACAAGAAATAGAGGATTTCCACGGCTAGATATTAAGCAGAAGATTACAGTTAACAATGAGAAATTTAATTATATACCAATGGAAGCATAAACAAACAAACAAACAAAATTTTGATAGGTATTTGAACAATAAAAATCCCCTCGGAATTGCTAAACATGTCACGGTTCCCCTGTGTAGGCCAGTAATCAATACGCTACATTATGGCAGTGAAGGCGACATCGTTAACAAGCTGAAGAATAACACAACCTTATATATACCTTGATTTAAATTAATGGCTTTTAAAAAAATAAGGACGCTGGATTTTCCTCTTATCTTGGGTTGCAAATTTTATCAAGTGAGTACATTGAAGACCCTAGCCCGGGTATAGTCCAACGTAATTTAACTCCTGAATCGAATCTCTACGACTTTTTAACTATAAAATAGAATTTTTTAAAGATGTGACTCATTACCTTTTGCACTCAACTTTCAGTTAGTAATTCCGAAGTTCGAGTCCCGCTATACATACTTCCAAACTGAGTCACTAAGAGTTGCCATCAAACCACGTCTAATAGCCTAAAATCTCAAAAGTCAGTTTCATATAACTGGGTTCGTGCAAATATTTAAATAGAAGAGAGCACAGTCATTGCGAATCAATAACATATCGTATAAGACAATGGTACTGTAATAAGTGTAAAAGAAAATTACCGTAAATCTGGATCAGTTTCACCAAAAGAATCCCTGTATGGTGCAGGCACCTCTGTCATACGGCGAGCTTGATCTGATAACATGATTACACGGCATGAATGAATACGTAGTAAGAAACTATAACCAGAATGGCAACGTCTTGAATGAGCTTGCATACGATAAACCGCGAATTCCTGATTACTTCCACTAGAATTAACATTTCTGTTGCTATTAAAGTTCGAAGATGTTAATGTTCCTCCAATAGAATTAGATTTTTGTTCGAACTGACGACAACCATAGCAAAGTAAACACGCCAAGTGTCCACAAACAAGACATAAACTTAAGTCGCTATGTATATGACCTTCAGCATGACAACTGTAAAAAGAAAAAGTCACTCAGTTTATTGTTAATGGCCATACCACGTAGAAACGAAGTTCTATTAATTCACAAAGACAAAAAAATCTTGACAAATTTTAAAGACATGATTCGCTGACTGCAGAACAGTTCAGGCAGAGGGACAAGAATATTTGAAACTGGTAATAAAACTGTGTTCTAGCACTATCGTAATCATCCACCAGACATCAGATAAATATTTAGTCATCTGAACTGAGATTCAATAGTATTTATATCGCTTCTACTGACAAATGACGTAAAAAGCAAAATCAGCTGTCCATATCAGCTATGACCAAAAGTTAGAGAGTGAATCAGATTCCCAGAAGGTTGTGTATAGCATTCGCCAAATGAATTCGAAAGATGTGCATTAGACTGAACTGATATCCAAGAAAACACCTGTATCTTTTTACACGCAGAGATGGACGGCTACAACAACTGGTTTTATCAAGTAAACTCCACATACTTTGATCTTTAATGAATGAGTCCGGACTAAATTGGAAAGGCTTGCTAACCGATTCCCGAATACACTACGGATACTGCAACTTTGTTTCAAAAGACTAGGTATTATATACTTTAAATTTTAGCAACAGTTACTAAACTGAGAGCGGTTTCAGCCGGCGTCGATGCAGTTGCAGAAAAAGTCAACAAAATCTTTTCTAAATAAACGACAGACAATTTTGATGTTGATAAAAATAGACCTCAGTGCTGATAGTATTTTTTCGTATTCAAAAAGACCGCGCATTTCTGAAGCAACTGAATTAGAAATTGTCTTTTTGAGATTGTGACAAACTTAACTCCTGTCTTCCAGAGTAAAGAATGGCGGCATCATCAGAAGTGCTAAGTATCCTTAGAAGATTTCTCCTTGAAGATAATAAAAAAAGGCACAATTGACAGTACGACTTCCATCGCGAGCCTAATTGTTTCCCAGTAAACGAATTGTTAAATCATTATAGCTGTACCAAATAAGGTCTTTTGAAGTACACTATTATGCTCTGAATAAACTACCTTATATCCTAAAAGCATATCAAAGAACACGATAACTAGGTAGTATGGTTATGCATGCAAGTGTACAAGGTGATTGAAAATTTAAAAAAAACGTGGGATTATAACCTTGTTATATTTATATTTCAGAGTAGTCTACACACTTCATATATTATGTGTTTCTTCGGATAAATAAATTCCCTATTTAGTGTGTCCTGTTGGTAGTCTACAGGCAGATTATATACGTTCACATATTATTATTATTTATTATTATAACCTTTAATTTCTAGAGGAACATAGGGCTTCAGGTATGCGTCTCCATTGCCTTCTGTTTTCTGTCTACTTTTTCACCCCAATCCAAGTCTTCCCACATGCTTTCATCTCCTCTTCACATGACCTCCTCCAAGTCACCCTTGGACAAACTCGACGCTTCCCTTTCGGGTTCCACTCGAGTTATGGCTTGTCTAGTGAGGTCACTTGATGGTTTCTTCAGAGTATGGCCAATCCATCTCCATTTCTTCTCGACTATTTGTCTCACAATTGGTTCCAGCTGGGTTGGTTCGCTCCCAGAGATCCCTGTTGCTGATCGTTTCTGGCCATCTGATCTTGAGTATTGAGCAAAGACAACTGTTAATGAAGGTCTGAAGTTTGATGGAGATGCTCTTTATGACGCGCCAAGTCCGTGATCCGTAAATTACCACTGACTGACTTCACATTGGAGTTGAAAATCCGGATCTTATTTTTGATGCTGAGTGCTGTTGACCTCCATACAGACTTAAGTGTAATGAAAGCCTGTCTTGCTTTTCCGATTCTGGCTTTGATATCCTCGTCAGTTTCGCCTGTAGTTGAAACGATGCTTCTCAGGTAGGTAAAGGAAGCTGTTTCTTTCAGGTTCCTCCCATTTATGCTGATTGTTGTCTGTTGTTGTTGCTGCTGTTGGTGTTGGCCAGGAATCTTCATTACCTCTGTTTTATCTATGTTCACTTGAAGTCCTATCTGTCAACTTGCTGCTGATTTTCGCTTGCATATCTTCCAGTTTGTGGGAAATCAGACATATATCATCGGCGAAGTCTAGATCCTCCAAGTACTTTCTTGTGTGGGTCCATTTTATGCCTGTCTCCTCGTTGGCAGATATCTGTCGCACTGTCCAGTCCACCGCCATCAGAGAAGTCACTGAAGATAGTAGGCAGCCAGCTATTCTTTCTCCTGTCTTCACTTCGAAGGATTCCGTTGTCTGTCGCATTATCCAGTCTACTGCAATCAGGAAGATCATTGGCGATAATAGACAGCCTTGCGCCTCACTCCCGTCCTCACTTCGAAGCATTCCGTAAGTTTCCCGTTGTGGATTACTTCTCATGCAGCATTGTCGTACAACTGTTGGATGAGACGAATAATTGTCGATGGCACTCCGTAGTAGCGAAGTAGTTGCCAAATGACCTCTTGGTCGACGCTGTCGTAGGCATTTTCAAAGTCGATGAAGTTGAGATAGAGTTAGAGTCAACTGTAGTCCAACATTCTTCGGTCCACCTGACAAAAAAATAATGAAACGTTTAAAATATATGATGACTAAATGAAGTCCTTGGAAAACACAAAGCATTCGATGAACTCAACTACCATTAAGGCGTGTGCTAATGACAAGCATGTATAAGTAGTTAATTGCATATGATGCAATGAAAGTATACTGAATAGCAAAGTGATATATTATGCTTTGAAGAGAAGTAAGAGATTTTCGTGAAACAATATACAAAAAATGAAAGGAAGACAAAAGGAACACATTACGCAGAACATATCCAAATCGAGATTTCAATGTAGGGTTCAGACATTCTGTCATAACCATAAATCATTTCTGCAAAGAAAACAATCTGCTAATAAATGCAACCGTGTTCTACTGTCACACTACAACAACTACTGAAAGATGAATAACACCAGTTATTATAATAGTTGTACAAGTAAATGACAAAAGAATCACGCTTAATAATTCACATTATGCATTAAAATTTATACAAATGAATAAGTGAAAATATGGTAAAAGAAAAACTCTACTTTGAAATAATCAACTTACTCCATATCCATAGCCAATAAAAGGAGATGAGTATATTCTTTTGGTAAATCTATTAATCTTGGTAAATGTACATTAGGATAAGGTGGTAATAAATTATCAAGTAATGAAGATTTCATATATCTTGAACACAATGAATTGTAGAATTTACGACTTAATGACTGTTCTCCAGTTAAACACCAAATAGTTACTAAACGTGCCAGCCATAACGATTCACATAGCATAGAAACATTTGTAGATTGAATAGACATATTTGCTTCTGATACGCTACGCAGCGAGTTCAAATCCGATGATGATGGTGACGGCGATAGTGGTGATGACAAAAGGCTCAATAAATCACGAGGAGTTGATGGTAAACCTAAATAGGCTAAGAGTAGACTATGTTCATGCATATTATCTGCAAAACCGAAAATAATAAATAAAATGAAAATTGACCATTTAATAAACTCATAGTGCATAAACAGGAAACCATAAACTGAGCCATCCTATAAATATAAAACTACATAATATCCTAACTGTTCTAATTCCTCCCAATTCGTAAAATGCAGTGCCACAGCAAGCCAATGGTTATTGGTGAGTACTTACCCTCACACTTAACTTGGTGGAACTCAACGGCCCACGATTTTTCACCAGAACTCCAGACAACTCCCTCTGGTAATATTCAGTCGCTAGTGAGTAGTAAATTAATTTTCAATTTGATAAAACGAGCAATGAAACATACATAACATAAATCCACATTGTATAGCAGATTTTGTAAAGCACCGATATCAGCTGCAGAAACATTTGAAATCTAGAAGTCTAGTGGACAGCTGCTAAACACAGGTATGACAATAGCATGAAAATCCTAAGTCTTTAGTAAAGAGTTGTAAATAGTGAGATCTATCAAGCCAAAAGATACAATAGATATCCACTAACGGCATTTCTCAGTGGTGAAGATATACACACTATGAATTGAGTGAAGTTAAACTGAGTTGGTAACTGGGTTATAGTGACGTGACTGGCTAATTCATTCCCTATTCAGTTATTTTGACTCTAATACGCTACAATTGCCAGAATCTCTTCCTTTTTTATTTCAAGTGAATACCTTCCATTTTTTCGCAGAATACTAAATGAAAACGTTTTATAAGTATTCCTTAACAAATGTATATTATTACAAACATAAGGAAATGCTGTGAACTGGGCAATTATCTATTTTAAGGTAAACTAAGAGTAGGCAGCTAAACTTTCTAGTGGAAATGCTAATACAAAGTGAGTTTTTAAATGCTTATTTGAGTTGATATTCACGGGCACAAAGTAGGTTTTAGATTCAGGAAGGAGGATAAAATTTTGAGAATAGAAATGTACACAAAATTACAGCAGTTCAAGTTGCCATACTTCACAAAAGCAGGCATAAAAGTTTTTTTTTAAGTGCAAGACTATTATAGACGTAAATGTAATGGGGAAAGATAAAATCACATGAATAATGATGAAAAATTAATGGATATGGGAGGTCATAGGGAGTGAATGCGTCTGTACCATTAACAACAATTTTGAGCCATATTAAAAAGCACTCTCAAGCTACTGGTTCTTAACATCTCCGCTATCCCAGGTATACATTTCACACCACCCTACCTACATGGAGGGAAACTGTGGTGAGAGCTGGACAGTTAACCAAATTGTTGGATAGTAATTCACGTCAATGTTTATGTCCCTGATATTGGTCGTGTGCAGAATGAAAACAAAGGCTTTGCGCAGGCGGACACAGTTAACATATAGATGTTCTGGCATTCAAAAAACAGTTACAAAGAGATTCAAGGTTAACTTTCTGTGAAAAACAACCAATCAGAAGACTGTGTTTTTATGCTAACAATAATCTATTATATGTACATGAAAATCTGTAAATATGTGTTGATTTCTTAAATAAACGATCTGTTGCTTGACCCTTGTCTTCTGTTGTTACAAAAATAATGGTAGAAGAATTTATAGACTAGTGTCATTTTTTGGTCTGACCACCTCTAACAATTCACCAACCTATATCTGTTAAAAATGCTCGTGGAGGATGACGACATTGAGACATGCAAGCACCGTTACGAAGGCGTAAAGACGCAGTCATTTTTTCGGTGTCAATTGATAGAGGTTGGTTACGACATTGCATCTTCAACAGATGTTTGGTCGACAAAACAGTCAATTTTATTAATGGGAATGTGCCAACTGAAATTATTCCCAGAAAATTGTGTGACATATTAAATTCGCTAAAATGCCATTCACATCGCTTGAAAAATGCTACAGTAACATGATAAATAAAGTCAATGTCAATAAGATTGAACCGCTCCACTTTAAAAATAAAAGAGTACACATGAACAACCTGACATATTATCCGCAGAAGTCGGTTGACGAAAATCAGCTGGAACATCGACACCTGTGATTTTATGCATAACAAAGGCTGCAATACGTAGGAATGGTAAGCAATTTGCACGTAGAAATAGACTCAATGATTGCGTCAAATGTGCTAAATAAGCTGGATCATTATGGGGTAGATCAATTGATGGAAGTCCAGAGAGACCGCGTAAAAACACCCACACTTCCAGTAACTTTTTATAAAAAGTGAAAGAGACAAAATATATTTAAACGAAAAATTCAGCATTACCAAAATATGAACCACAAACTGTGGAGTTACAGTGAATATGAATAATTCTGTTAGGCAATTATTAATAATAATAATAATATATAACGTCGATGAAGTATTACAAAGGTTGTTGACTCAAATGATGATACAATCAAAATCTCATTAACAATTTTACAAAATCTTCGGTAAACATCATCTGATTGTATTTAATAGATGGTTAGATCGATTAATGGCGTGTTTCGTCTAAACCTTGTACAACACCATCATCATATCAGCATAACATTGCATAACACATATCAAATATTTGAGAAACCTTATGGTGAACAAAACTATAGCAAAAAAAGGGCCGTTGGACTATACCTAGTATTTGTGATATTTTGTGTTGAAACATCAGAATATTATTTACTTACCTCAGGTAAGTCCCAGTTAACAGATTTAATAGATGCATCATCCCATGTACATGACTGTGGTATAAGATTATTACTTTTTAAATAATCTAAACAATTCATTTTAGGTTCCCAAGCTAATAGTGTTTGAACTAATAAAGCTGTGTAACATAGACGTAGTAGGTGTGTTTCATGACTATCACCAATTGGTTGACGTGGTCTACCCTCATCACAGGCAAGCAAGTGTGCTCCTAATAAAGCTGCACCAGATTCTGAAGCTATATTTGAATCAGCTTCTTGAGCTAAACGCGTACATTGACAATCACTGACACCGTTTCCCTCAAGACCTGGACGTAAATGCAATAAGCTGATAAAGAGGAATGTGATATCCACCTATATTTGAATAAATAAATAAATACAAACAAAAGTATGTTATAAAAAGGTTAACAAAAAAGAACAAAGAATAGAAGCAGATGAAAGAAAATACGATGAAAACATTTCATGAAATAATAATTTCAAACTATCTGATATGTACTTCATGGGATTTAAGGCAATTAACGGGGATATTGCGTTATGAATCTAAGGCAGCATATAGTAAAATGTAGCTTTCTTTTCACTCCAATAACTTTTATTCCACATACGTCAAATAAAAAGAAGGGGAAAAACGCTATCTAATCTATGTCCTCTATTGGCTGATTTAATTACTTCAGCTAACCATATATCTGACTCTGACTAGTAGTAGTAGTAGTAGTAGCGGCAGCAGTAGCAGTTCGTCATCAGTACGATGAAGCCATGCTTACTGGTTTAAAACGATTCTTAAAATGCACATATACCACTACTACTTTTGCTATCAATACGGCCAATTCGGCATTTCAATAAGGAGATTACAATAAATAACTTAAGGAAATATTCTTAAACCAGTAAGTTGTAATTGCCAATACAGAATTGAGCAAGCAATTAACTCTCAAACTTTGTTAACATAGCCTTATTACTTTTTTATCATTCACCTCATGCTTCCGGTATCCGTCACCCCTATTGTTGTACACAGAATCGATAAAAGATGAATCAGTAATCAATTCAACAGATCCTATTGAATCAATTAGAGGACGAGATAATCTAATGTACGAATTAAATTGCATAAAGTGCGAGAGTAGTTACATGCATCCAGTATATTTCAGTGTGCTAGGTTATCAGAATATAAGAATTCAACCGAGTGTAGAAAGTAAAATAGTAATTGTATTGCAACTAATCAAACACAGCTACAGTTCAAAAGGGTAGTACACTCAAGTGGACAATTAGGTTGATCAGTGAATCTATGTTCACCTAATCTACACGCACGCAACACTGTATCAGAAATATGTTAAACACAATTGTCAATAATATTGAATGATAAGATATTACCAAATTACATAACTAAAATCTGAAAGTTATGTGAATATCTTCATATGACAAAAAGTCTGCAATATGCTAATGACAAGAATTCGTAAGTAGTGTAGTGCGCATTATGTCTCCTACAAGAAAGCTAAATGACAGAGCACCGAACCAAGCTGAGAAGAGGAGAAATGAAAATCTTTTGAGAAATAACATATATGACACGAAATGACGACAAAAGAAAGAGAAGATGCATAACGTCTACAATGTTATCACTGCACATCAAACAAGCCAAGCAATTCTGGTACCGGGTTTCACTGTATCTGGTGTAACGAGACCAATACACTATAACCAGACACATTACCAATAAATAAATAGTACAGTGTCACTGTATTGTACCTAACAAAACTGTTCCATTATACAGAACAAGTATTCAACACTAAAACTGTGAAGAAATCCAGCTCGAAATGTGAACTGCCAAAGAAGGTTAATCAAGTATATATTTTACCCCTATTTATACATCACGTGATTAAAAGAAACAAACTAGTCTAATTGATAAGTGAATGATGAAAAAAGAAAAATAAAGTGATAATTACTTAAAACATGTATTGAAACACATACAGCATTCTCATTTGCAAAAATAAAGATTTATTGACGCCCCAACAACTTACATCCCAAAGTACACTAGTAGGGTGCTTACTCATGCTCCCTTTAGATGAATATGGTGGCGACTGAGAACATGTATCTTGTTTCAATTCTTCCAGTGAACAGTCATCATCAAGTGCTCGAGAATGAATGTTGGCATATTCTCCCGATAGTGGAATTAATAGGCGCCATAAAAAGGCAGCATCCTCGGTGGCTGCAACACTGACAGCTGTTTCAGCAATGTCTGATATCGTTGAGGGATTATTGAGACGACACCCACTGGGAACTGAATTCAAAAAACTCATAAAATTATAAGTGAGTATATGTATATATATTTATATGTGTTAGATGATATACATCGGCTGCTAGTTAGAAAATGCCACGACGTAACCGCTCTGAGTTTAATTCCCGGCTGACGCCTCATTTTTTTCCAACAAGCCTAGAAAAAAGGGAAGCTTAGACGTGCAGTTGGCAATGCCACCTCATGAAAACAACAACAGCACTACTGGAACTTCAAAAAGGATGAATATGTAACAAGAAATAAAAAGTATATTGATTCAGTCTTTTTATAACCCTGTTACCTTTCACCAATACATTACGTACACATTAGGCAAAAATGATAAAAGATTGTGACAGAAATTATCGGATGCGAAAATTTTTTTGATTACAGCTTGATTCTACACTGTATTTTTGCTACAAGTATGGAATTTTCAGCACGGATGTCGGTAGCCAAAAATTGCAGGCCGACCATAGATATCAGGTGTGCGTTGCCAGGGGATCGAACCTCGGACCATGTGCATGGTCGGCGAGAGTCCTAACCACTGTGCTACCGACGCACAAATAAGAAATATCTTTTTATAACACAACTAGTAATTTTTGTAAGAGTGATGAATAAGTTAGCTGGTTAGCTAGGAATATGGACGAAAAATGCATCTGACATAACACTTTTAACTGACATCAGTGTCTGAGCACAATACTGTCACAATAGTAAGATGAAAAAATGTGGAAAATATCAGTTAAAAATTTATCTACTCACTATCTTGAAGTTGTGATTTAGGTATAGAATCGAATGGGACACAATAAGACCACCACCACCAAAAAATTGGATGACTTCTTAAATGAGGCCAACAATATCGATGATTAGACGATTTTGAATCATTTGTATCGCATGATATAGGGCAACCACGTGAAACTACAGCATGACGTGAATGGGCTGCGAAAGAAACTCGTAATAAATTCCCAAGTCCACAAAGTCGACGTTCAGCAAGACCACCATTAAAGAAATTGTCATGAGAGCAGTTTAGTCTCAAAGTCTAAAATTGATCAAGACACAGATTAGGAATAATAATAATAAAGTGTTATATGCTGAAAACGATATTTTTGTAAGTATAAGGTAAGAAAAAAGCGATGAAAATTGTTTTATATATTAAAGTGCTACACATAATCTACTGACAACACAAAATTAGTTATACATATTAACGTCAATCCATTCGACGTAATCTCATGACCCTTAATGAGTAGAGTATTGTGAACTGAGATTTTATGACTTCTGACACTCAAAAGACAGATGGTTTGATATACAAAAACAGGAAGTCAGATATTACCTATTAACCTAGGGATAAATTCCTTGAATTAAGTGTGTCTTCTAATAAGTATTATTCTCATCTTCAAATTAATGATGTTCTACTGGGATTTTAGCTTTGAGGGCTTGGATAAGTGCCACGAATTCCATCCCAGCAGCTTCTATCCTAGGAAGTGTTTGCTAGCCCTGGGATTGAGTAGCAAAAGCAGAAAAGACCAGTTCATGAAATGTCGCTGTGCGATGAAGCATAGTTGTATTGAATTACAGTCCTTTGATAAACCACAAATCCTCCATAGTGAGATCAGAGGAACTATAGGACTCAATGACTCTACATAACAAGCGTGCTACGATTGGCTACTTTTACCTCCTTCTGAAGGCGATACAAACTAATGAACGGTCTATTGAATCTTTTTATTAAGTAGGCTTCCCTTTTTATACTATTGTTCCTTAATACTTGTATTTCTCATTTTTTATATTTGCAGTTAGTTATTCTATACGATTCAACACTTTGTGCTCATGTTGTATCATGCTTTGTTTTAAGTCAAAAAACCCTGGTTCACTGACATCTTTTTAAAAAACACACGAGTCAACAGAAACAGAACTACTTACTCGCTCAGATACAATCAGTGTATACGCTACACTGTGTCTCAATGCTCTCCAGTCCGAAGAAGCTAAGCACACAACATTACGTGCAGCTTGAATAACACAATCCACATATTTTTTAAGAAAATCGTACGAACTAATAATTCCCCTATAATCATTCGTGCAGGCAGTCTTTCTTTCCAGCTCAGCTAATGTAGATTTTGAGGAACTTGGAGTCGTTGCTGGTGGTGGTTGCGACATAGTCGTTGTGGTATATGGGAAACTTGCACCATGTGCATGTAGACATGTGTATAAGTTCAAAAAATCTGAATAGAATAATTCAATAGCGTCAGATAGAGTTTCAATAGGATTATTTGATGAAAACGGTAGTTGGTCTCTAAACGACTGTTCTGTATTCGGACTAGTTACTGAAGGTGTCACAGAATTACCAGTAACAGTAACTCCAGTAGTGCCATCGTCGGCAGTTGTATTGTATTCTGTTTGTGTAATAACTAATTGAACATTCTGATCAGGTACTGGCAGTGTAGGATTATTTGCGTACAGATTAACTTGAACTTCATCGTCAGCTTCAACATATCCTCCTTCAACTTGATTATCTTCATCAGGTATAGCAACTAATACAGGTGCATTGTTAACTAGGAAAAAAATATACCAACTGGTTAGGATTATTCATATATATATATATATATAAACAAAAATAAGACAGGCGTTGGGATCACCAAAGATGAGGAAAAGTCACTACTGGTGTCAAATACTCCTTTCTATTTTTTTTCTTCTGATATTCAAATGACAATGGAATGAAGTTGAACATTGAGGAATAATCTCAAGCTTATATGAAGTAAGAGGAATAGACATAAACCTAATAAGCGCATAGGGATAAAATCAAAGATCAAAAATTTTAAATTATACTTACAATAATCTTTCACAAACACCTATTACCTAACTTTTCTTCTTTAACTGGTGCATTGGAATTTCCATAAAAACAACTGTATTATGAAAAATAGGTTTGCATAATATACAGTATTCTCAGCATAATCTATTGCACAGTATTTTCTCTTCATTCAGGATCTTCAAGAAGAATATTAATTCATAGTTTATTATACGACGCAATACTATTCGATCTGACATAAAATAATCACTCCTGATAGTTTACTTACATCTCTAAGAAACACACACCACTGGTTTGAATGTCAACTGAAAATATTGGCAAGAGAAGGACATAATAAAACGATTAAAATAATCAGAATAAAACAAAAATTTGATGCACCGTATCGAATGGAAATTCATATAGCTCAGTGACTTAAACAGACTGTCAGACTTACAAGTTATGGTAGACTAACCCTAGCTTCATGGAGAACAGATATACTTATTTTTCAAAATGCGACATACATTTCAAAGTACATCCCTTAATGATGAAAAGCAGAATGCAACTATGGAGTGGATGAAGACACTTGATCATAGGAAGTGATAGGCTTAAAATGAACGCATTAACCAAACACTTATCACCTCATTATTTGAACAACGCTAGTTTTAAAATAAGTGAATCAGCAGTTGTCAAATTTTCTTTTAAACACAATAACTGGTTTAAGATAATTGCAATTTTACTTACCAACTACTTCCGTAACTTCGGTGCCACGTCGAATATTTGGGCGTTGTACTAGAGAATCCAATGATCTAGGCTGACATAAACTAGCTAATCGTTGTACAAAAGTGAATAAATTAGAAGTGACCAAAGGTGAAGAATGCGATGGAAGCAAATTTCTTGAATGAATACGACCATTTATTGTAGTATTATTGTTATTAGCAGAATTTGATGAATTACCGGCAATATTACTAGTATCTGAAGAACGTCTACTAGAGCGTCTATTTGTAAAAAAGTGTCGAGTCATTGGATTTAGAATACTGTTAATATTGCGTCTAAGGCTTGCACTTGCACTGTCTACCTGTGAGGTACATTTCCCATTATCACCATTATTCTCTTCTGGCTGAATAACGCTATGCCTAATTCTCTCCACTAGTGAGTGAACTAACTTTGATACAATTTCACAATTTTCGCTGACCCCTAAATCTTCTAAACTAGGTAGAGTAAGATCTAGATCGACTAGGATTTTGTCTAATGGTTGAGAAAAGAAAGTACAAAGAGACTGCTTAAGTAGATTAACATTCCGTGAAATCATATTATTGACATTCTGCATTGAATAATCCTTCAAGAGGCATGGTTCAATCATCTAATAATTGTGGGTAAACAAAAAAGAAAAACAAGAGTAAAAGAAAAATCAACTAGTGATTTTTAAAATAAAAAAGACAAGACTGAAGTGAACCGCATTAGTCGGAGTGTAATTCTCAATAAGCAATTATGTGTACTTTTAAAAAATGGTAGAAATGGTGATATGATTACTGAACAGATCATAGTTTTTTTTCAAACAAGGTGGATAAAATATTTATTTACTTACTTATTTATTTAATACAAGTCACTTGAAGTATTCTTGATACACGTTGTAAAGCAGTATATCAGACACTCAATGGTGTAATCTGGTTTTCCGAGTCAAAGGCGGGTGGATATTTTAGTGTTCATATTCACCGAAAGACAATACCTTAAAAACAATGTATTCTGAGAGGGAAAAAGCTAATTATTTAACCGCCATTACATCAGTTTGAGTCAGACACATTCAGTAAGCCTTTATAGGGAATTATTGATGTACTACTAACACAAGTCGTACATGTGGTAAATTTGTACATTGTGGAATACATTAGTTAACTATTATTGCATTTGAACACTTATTTACCAACAAAGAAAAACCACTGAAATACAATTATAATTAACTACTACACGTCAATAAGTCATGTGTCTACCTCCACTACACAATAGTCAAACGTAGACAGGTAGTCATAAATACTTCAGTTTCACGACACAGTCAATGATATTCACACACATGTTCTACAGTAGAAGTTGAAAATCCCCAAACATTATACCGGTGGATCACTAGAACCCACAGTCCATTAAATTTCGTTCCAGTGACTCAACGATTAATGGACTCTCCTTGTAACCTGAAGGTCCTGTAGGGTTATGGATGTTTGTTGCTGGATTAACAAGTGGATAGATACTGAATACTCAATAACTGAAGCGCTCAACTTCCACCTAGTGGTTCCAATCCCCCTTCAACTATTTCAAACTGAACAAATGTTAAGTCCCGGGCCTCAAACAAGAAGTCTAGACCACATTTCGTTTAGAGTAACTAAAGTGCAACTAGCCAACTAACTAACTGTAGATTGCTGATTACGATAATTGGAAATTATTAACTAACAGCTTTTTGTATCTAACACATTTGGATAATCCGCAGTCTGAAAACACAATCAAAGATACCTTTTTAAACACAGAGAGGACTCAAGAATAGTTTAAAATTATCTGTTTTGTTAAGAATTAGACGTCTTTTGAGTCGATAATATTCACCGACTCAACATTATGAAAACATGGATATTATGCAGAAGTTATCATGATTACCTTTCAAGCAGTCGACTCACGCCTGCCTCCCATAGATGGCCCATGGTGTGTCCACGACCACGTTGGAAGCAGCTGCAGTCATCTGGCTCTTTAAGAATACCAATGTGACCGGCCTTATGCATCAGTAGTCCAGTGGTAGGATGTTCCCCAGTCACACCAGGGGTTCAGGTTCGATTCCCAACAGACCCAGACTTAGTCTACTGACCTTGGGACAAAATCAGGATTGAGTGGAAGACTCGAGAGCATATAGTGTGAAAACAACACCATCACCACTGAAACTTCCAAGCTTGAAGTCTCATGTTCTCCCAGGGAGAGGCAAAAAATGAGAAGGATCGAAGGCATGGTATGAACCATAAGAACCTTATCCTACTGTTAAGTAACTTAAAAACATGCAAATCACTAATGACAAATTAACGCAAACAGGAACATTATCAAAGTCGAATCTGATCATCATAAGGTGACTATATATAACTAATTCACAAGTCATTAGGTAACTTTGAACATGAAGCAAGTACTCACAGTGTACAAAAATATAAACCATAGAATTACGAAACCACTGAAAAATAAGGAAACATACCGTCGGTTCTTCAGAATTACCAGCAGATGTACATTCAGTGAAAGGACTGCAGTCCGACTGAAGATAATCACCTAGTACATAATCCTTGGAATCAGAAAATATTTCCAACCAACGTGCTAGACTACACAACCATGAACTTAATGGTCGAAAATCAACATTATTGGGATTTGATTGACGATCTCCTGAAGGTAATAATCGTAAAGATAACCATTCCACTGGTAAATCTGAATAGACGGGACCTAATATTGGTAAATCTAGCGTGGATATGCACTTGCATAAAGGACAGCGGAAGTCAAATACCAAAATAGATGAATTTCGACTAGTAATGAAAACAGTGATAGGAAATATGAAGAGAAAAGAAGAAAAGAGAATGTTTCAGCATACTATTTTCTGATTTTTAAATAGAAAAACTAGGGGAATACTGATAATCAATTGACATAACGCAGTGGGATTTAAATATATATATATATATGTAGTTGAGCAATAATTAATTAGTTAACTAATGCACTCTAACAAGTAAAGAGGTGCTTGTTTTCAACAGCTCAATAAGATTCAATCTATGAATCAGAATGAGTGATTACTTGCTAAAAGGCAAATAATGTTATGCCTAGTCATTATTGCTAACAGGCGTCTGTTTGTCAAGTTCCAAATAGGGTCTATTAACCCAGAAGGGTTATTTTAATTATAATTATTATTATTATTAAGCTAAACAGATGTGTAATTGTCACAACGGACAAAAGAAACATTATTGTTCAAAGTGAAGTAAATATTCAGAATTAATCAGGATCAACAGTTGAGTCATACACATTCTGTTGGTACAATGTTAGTCAACCGGTTGAAACACAGTTTTTATACAATAAAATCTGCAACCGCTTATCGTGTGAAATAGCTATAATACAAAAAATAACTACATTTCCTGTTAAAATTCTCTTTCTACCTAAAAAAGCAAGTCTTGTTTTCTCGTTAGTGTTGGGAGAAGTATTCGAGCAAGAAGCTAAACACTACTATGCAGCGAAGTACTACATATGTAGGTCGATTCGTTACCAATCTGAAATAAACTATTACACTGCCAATTCAGTGCCAACTACCAACTAATGAACACTATCAATAACAACATAACCCGACAATCAGTGACTAATAGAGGTAAGAATATTAGGCTTGTTTGAAATTCACAGTATTATACCTAATACATTTTAATGTAGCATAACAATGACTTTGCAAAATTCTAATGCAAAACTGCTAAGAGTTCGTGTCTGCATTAACAATGGTAAATGAAATATTCAAAGTCGAAAAATTTGTACATCTAGATGGTTATGTGAATGCTAATGAAGACGTAACGGATGAAGTTTCCTATCATATGGTGAAGGCCAGAGATATATATACGTCAATCTGAATCACCTATGATACTGCTTCGTAAATAAAACTAGTCACTCACCGATTTATATGATCAATGCGACCTTTTAACTGTCTAGCATATTTTGTCTTACAAGTAGCATGCATTGGATGAGAACAGAAGGAGAGGAATGAACCCTCTTCGGCAATCGGATCGCGACTAGATACAAGAGGACGTGGGTGCCAAGGATCTAATATCAGGCGACCATTATCATGCGAATCTGACATCTGTTGCGCAGCCAACACTATATCATCTATTCCAGTATAATCACTATCTAGAATTGAATAATAATAATAATAGCAATAATACTAATAATTGTTGTTGTTGTTATTACGATCAAAATAATATACATGAAGTAACAAAATAAAAGCGTTGAGATCTCCCCATTAATCTAACTGGAGGGTCAACAAACGATGCTCAAAGAGAAAAAGAATATGATAATGAAATACAGCGATGTATTTCTTCTTCTAACTTTCAATAATATAGGCGATATTGTAATTCACACTGCGACATTCGCCTCAACTCCACCACCTGACCCAGTGATGTTTAAAAACAAATTAACTGCAAAGAGATTATGAACACTTCCACATTCTGGATCTTCTTTCTATGAAAAAATTTAGCTATTGATGATTCTAGTTTTGAAACAGCTCAAATTTTTTACAAATACAATAACAATTATAACTGTGACATTACAGAACTGTCAGCAGTAAATATAGCCGAAACAAGTGATATTACATGAACTTTTTTCCTGTCAACTTTAACAAAAATTCAATAATTCCACTCAACTAAAAAAATGTTTTTAGCGTCGGTGATTCAGAGGTAGAATTACCACCAACTATGTACGCGGTCCATGGTTACATAAATTACCAGCTGATTAAAAATATAGTCAATAACAGTGCACACATGTAAACTAATAATTAAACGTACCGATATCCATAGAGTATGAAGCTTCAGAAAGGTTATCATTCTTCACTTCTAAACACCGTACACCACAAATTAACTCAGGTAACAACCCGAATCCAAAAACTGATGATCCACGAGAAGCGGCTATAGCTGTGGTTGCCACTGAAGCCAGAAAAGGACGAAGCTGAAGGAGGAAAAAAGTAAACAGATAAAAAGAGTCAATAAATTATAGGGATATTATGCAGAAATATGACTGCATTTATAATAAATAGCTTTTGACAGAAGGTAACACTTTTACATTATTATCTGACATAGTGACAATAATTTTTATTAATACTCAAAATAGCAAATAACAGAAGATACCGCAAAAAATCACATAATAAACAGAGAAAAATGAAGTGGGAATTTGGCAGCAACGAAAGATAAGAGAGAAGAAAAATGTTCGACTACCCACCTGTTTTCTGTAGTTATCATCTTCCAAGTCAACACTGTCTTCTGTTTGTGACTGATTATCAACAGATATTGACGCTTGTGAATCAATCATACGATTCTCAGAGGATAAACGCCTGACAACGACCATTGTAACAGGACCCTCCAACCAACCAATTCCACGGGAAGATAAAACTGACGACCGACACACATGCGCAGCCATTACCATCCGACTAGAGACTTGTTCTGGCATTTCTTCCTAAAATATTGAAGTACAGGTAAAAACATGAAGGAAGTTACTTAGAAAAAAGACACCAAAAATATCATTAAAATGTTACTATCACTTTTAATACTACCACCGTATTACTAACATACAAAAAGGACTATCGTGTAAATAATGGATAACCACTTGTTTGTGAGAATATAATATGCTGGGCTATGTGTACCATGCATCAAAATGCGAATTATATAGGTGGATATTTACTGAAACATTGTATGATAAAAACATCTCACCAAGCAAAATGTGTTGGAATCGAATAGTATCTGTATCAAGAATGAAATTTGTTTATTTAATTCCTTTGAGTTACAAGTGGGAAGTTGGACTTCAAGCGCTTTGAAGTTTCAGTATCAATTAAATTTTTTTAACAGGGTGGAATGGTGAGCACCACTCCTGACATTTCCTTTTACCGGGTTAACTAAAGATCAAGCAAAGTCAGCCGGGAATCGAACCCGGGGCCACGTGCGTGGTAGGAAAGTATTCTACCACTGAATCACTAAACCAAAGGATGCTATTAAAAAACTGAAATCATTGTCTATAAAATTTCATGAAATAAATCACTGAAACTAATGTGATGTTCCAATTGTCGTATAATATAGAGGTATTACTCTTGTAGATAATAATTTAGAATAATGAAATGACTCCCGATAAAGGATGAATAATGGGATACGGAAATGATTTATTTGCAAAACAAAACCTGTTAGTATGTGTAAGGATGAAAAAGTAACTCCCTTGAAACACTTCATCAGTAACTCCAATTCTAAGTATCGTCAATCGACAGTGTTCTTCATTTATTAGAAAATAAAATTTATTCAGTCATTGAATTATGGGATGTACACATTAGATTAAATTAAAAAGACGATTGTAGTGAATAATATTTTCCTTTCAACGAAGTTATCAACTAGATAGCACATTTGTGAATGTATAGCACAGTTCGGACCGTGCTTCGTAACTAAATCTCCGGTTATTTTTGGTTCTCAGTGAGTTTTTAATCCTTATTTGTAAATTTGTTATCCGTTATAATTTGCCCGTCGACAAGAAAAACACGAATGCACATCCTAGTTGATGATTTCATCGAAGAGAGTAATTTCTTTCGCTGCAACTGTCTTTCAATTCAGTTCTATTCAAACTTTAGGAATATTTTTCTCGATGAATTGAAGTACCATAATACGAAACAACTGTGAAATTGCTCCTCTATTTCTATTGGTCCTCTTACTGATGTTAATTTCTGACGAATTTCACCTTGAAATCAATCAAAATTAACAGGAACACAAAACTTAATCTTTGTGAGGAGTCTGAGGATTTTAATCGCTTGTAGAGAAGCTGACAGGATTAAAAGTCAAAGCATATTATATGTAGCTTATATAACCTAGATATATACTACAACAGAACAAAAGATATACATTTAAAAAATTGAGAGGAAATGCGGTTCGAATAAATTTTAAAAACACCAGAGGTAAACCTACCAAACACAGATTGCAAGTAACTAATTCTGCATTGGGGGCAGCTGAAGTACCTCCCGGTGTTGGCGATAATCCATCAAGTATAAACGCTGCTCCACCAAGCAATCTTGTTGGTCCTAGTGCACATTGCTGGACTGCACTTGCTACGACAGGATCAGTTTGCATGGCTTGCTGATTACCATTATCATTTAGTTGAGGGTCATTGGCGTTCATTGATTCACTCTATAAAAGAAATAAATAGAACGCATTCCAATACTAATGAAAGAGCTTAATTGCTACAACTAAGATAATAGAGCCGTAATAAGTCGAGGGGGGAGAGAAAAGGGATGAAAACATAAAAGCACAAAGAAATTTGACATAAGACACTTCGACATGGAAACACCATTCATCTACGTGTCACATTTTGCTACTCTTGTATTCTCTGATGTCATTTTATGCAAATTCTTGTAGTGTATTAATAACTACAGAGTATATAATTCTCTCTCTCGTTCTAAAACTACGCCCAACATTTTGTGCAAAAAAGTTGCTTCGTGGTAGTCAAATGTTAAGTAAGTCCATGTTGAAGTAGGCCGTTCTCATCATTTTAAAAAATCTAATTACCAAATATCTTATCATTGCAAATTCTTTTCCTATATTGGCTAAAGGCATTCCTATAAATAATTATTCCTCCATTCTTATAATTAAGTACACTTATTTGAGTCAACGTCTTACTGTATACGAAAATATAAGGACAAAAAAAGAAGTTCATAACTGATCAAACAACTATAGCTACAACAACAATGAATATAACCTACTTCATTTGCTGCTGTTTCATTCTGAGATAATGAATTCATAAAATTTTTTTGCATATTGGACATACGCGCCATAATACGTGAACGTCGAGAGCGAGCTTTTTCTGCACGATCTTGTTTAATAGCTGTATTACACAGCTGATAAGGTGAAGGCTTCTAAATACATTAAACAGATTAATGTCTAATTAACAATCATATCAGCAATGTGTATAAAAACTATGAAAATGTTCGAATTTCTAATAATACCTTAATAAAAACAAAACAAAAGGTTAGTTAATAAGTGCAAGAAAAATTCTATTAATTACGATTGGATAGGAATATGCAAATAATGTAAAAGCCTTTCACAGTAACGTTACATGTTTTTGAAAAATCTTATTCCATTGATACTGGTGGTATAGACGGCATTATAACCAGTATTATACATCTACACTTCCAGTTATATCTACTATAAACTAATTGGGTATCCGTGTAACATCAACCAATTAGGCATCAGTTATTTAAAACGTGATTAGGGTGCATCCCATGAATTTTGGCCAATAGGTCTCAGTTCAAATACTCTTCCACTGATCTTAGACTTGTTTGTAGAAAAGTGTCATCAGGCATCACACATAACGAACGTAGTTTACATAGGCTGGTACATGAGAAGTCTGCCCCGGGTAAAAGAGTTCTTATCGCCTGAGAAAGCAATGATATTAGCTTATGTATCGGCTATAAAAAAGTCAATACTTGGTTTGACTAAATGACAAAGGACTACTAAACCATTTGAAACGATGAATAGTCTAAAACTATCAAAGTAATCGAATGCAACACTTATAAATTAAAGACAAAACTAATAATATTACGAAAAAGATATAGTACGATGTACAGTAAATCATTGGATACAAAATAATGGAAAGCGGTAGGAGCAATAACAACTGGGAAGCTCTTTTATGGGAAGAATTCACTAGCAGTGCTATAAATTGACTCTGAAATATGTCAATAGTGATTCTCAATATTACGTGAGTGTTTCAACCATGGAAGTTATATTTATATGGACACTTCATAAAATCAAAAGACATAACGTAATGACATACATTTATTGTTTCGGATGGAGTTTGATCACCAGTAATATTTTCAACAACTTTACTCCAATGATTCAGAGTCCATCTGCAAAAAACATAATGTAGATTCGAATATATGAAGGGTTAAAAGTTGATAAATTGACACTGATTATAATTTAATAAACTCATTTCAATATCTCTCTTATTTCTTATATTTATGATTTATTACTGAGCATATTGATAATAGAAATAGCCTAAATGTAAACTGCTAGAAAATATCCCTTTTCCACCGACCTTTCACCCTTTATCTACTACGGATTACATGACTTTTGGAAAGTAACCGTGTACATCATCTATAAACAGCTGACAGGAATACAGTGAAATACCATTGTAGATCTATTATACTGCAAGACACCATATACTACTAACTAGTGTGAGAGGTGTGTGTGCTCACCAGCTATATTAAAGGGATTCTAAACACTGTAAGGCCATTTTGGTCGTCAATAGTTTTTCGGGTTATAGTCAGCTCTCAGGGCCGAATCACTTTACTCCAAATGAATTTTGACTCCTTTGTAGACCCGCATATCCACCAGTCCAGTTGTACGCGAAATATGTTCATATTCACCCTCACTTTTATGAGGAACAACTCCGCAACATGAAAACAGAGTATACGTATTACCTGATAAAGGCTATGAATGCGTTGCCATATAAGGACATTTCAAGCGGAAAACCAGTCTACCCACCCTCTAACGCAGCAGGTCATCTGTGGGGACTTTATATTTATTGATTTATTTATTTATACGCATAGAAAACTTGGTACAATATGGCACCAAGAAAGATGCGCCACACAATAATAATAAAACAACATAGATCGAAAAAAGGAAGGAAGGAAAAGAAAATATATATATATATATATAAATATAAAGTACAGAACGGATAAAGAACTTCATCTGGAAGGAAAACAGTCATGCTTAACAAGTTCAAACAGTGTTCGTTAGCTATCATCGGGAAGGGAAGAAAGAAGGAAATCGCAACACATTCGCCACTGATTACGATTCTTGGCCATATCCGATAACGTTTCGAGCCATCGATTTGAGCTATCTCTCGGACCCCAACCAGGGAGTCGTGACACACCAACCGATGCTAATCTAGCACAAAAATCCTTCATCCCACGACGCCACGTCATGGACTGACCACCTCTCCGCCTTTTCCATCCCGTCCCAGGGCTAGCGAACAGAGACCTGTACGGAAGCCTCTGGGGTGACATTCGGAGCACATGTCCAAGCCACCGGAGCCGGTGTTTCCAGATGACGACATTCAAGGAATAGTGATCTCCACTTTGTTCAAACACACGCCGCCGAACCTCAGAATTACTCACGCGATGATGCCATCGAACGCAAGCAATCCTGCGGAGACAGCGGTGATCGAACACGCAGAGTCGCCGCACATCCTCAGCTCGGAGAGGCCAGGTTTCACAGGCGTAGAGCAGGACAGCTCGCACCGAAGCATTGTATACCCGACCTTTGACAGCCAGGCTAACGTCGCGACGGCGCCAGAGGTGGCTCAAGTTGATGTATGCCACCCTAGCCTTCATTATACGGTTGGAAATCTCATCCGTCACCCCTCCGCCAGCACTCACACAACTACCCAGGTACACAAACTTATCAACAACTTCAAGCGGTTCACCCGCAAGAGTGAGTGCAGGTACAGGCTCCTGCCAATCTTGTAACAGTACTTTGCACTTAGACGGCGCAAAGCACATACCATACTTACAGACACTGATCGCCAACTGATTAAGTGCGATTTGGGCAGCCTGCATGCTATCGCACAGTAAGACGATATCGTCTGCATACTCGAGGTCGAAAAGTCTATCTCCAGGTAGCAGATCTACACCACCTTCACGCACATCCTTCAGAGCTGACTCCAGAATGTCATCGATGGCAAAGTTAAAGAGAAACGGAGAGATTGGGCAACCCTGTCTAACCCCACTGTTGGTTGGGAACAGTGGTGATAGTTGGTTGTATGCCCTCACTCTACCTGAGGTGTTTCTGTATAGGGCTTTCAGGATGTTAACAAATTTCTCAGGTACACCTCTCTCTAACAGACAGTTCCAGAGCACAGTTCTGTCCAACGAATCGAAGGCAGCCCTAATATCAAGAAACACAACGATCGTTGGCCTGCAATACGTGTGGCGGTGTTCCAACAACTGACGAAGGGTGAACACATGATCAATGCATCCACGACCTGAACGAAACCCAGCCTGCTCTTCGCGAATCAATCCTTCACGTATTTTGCACAGTCTGCGAAGCAAGACAGCAGCCAATATTTTAGACGCGACTGGTAACAGACTGATACCCCTATGATTGTCACACGAATTACGTCGACCCTTTTTAAAGATGGGGACGATAATGGCTTCGTTCCACATTGATGGTACACTCGGTCTCTCTGAACAACCCAGTTAGAGCCATTGTGAGTCTCGCCACCATCTGTGGGGACTTTAACAAAGTATACTAGAATATTGATAAATTTGGAGGTTACAAGTTACACGATAACGTTCACTTCAGAAGAAAAATTTCTGGTAGACATTTCAATGTGACATTGCTTTTGAATGAACGTAGAGTACTAAAGATTAACATCATGAAAACTGTTAACCTTATTTTACTGAACTGCTAGACGAAGTTTAAGGTTGAAGACAGACTACTGTCACTTGTTAACCAATATCTGTTTTGTTACAAATTACGAGAACATGAACTGCGGGGACTCAGAGCAACAACCGACTCAGGAATAAATAGCCTTCAACAGTAAAGAATACAGATGTAACAACAGGAAAATTGACTCACCTTATCAAATCTGATTGTTCATCGTGATAAGAGGAATTCAATATTCGCAGAAGTCTGGAAGTTATGCAATTACTGAAACAGAAACAGATATTTGTCAGAATGTTGTGGAAAGAAAAAGCTCAAATCTTGATCGCAATATAGCTCAGGTGGCATGTCGAACCTCGAATATCAAAATAACAGATAAATTCTATCTACTGGTGCCAGCCAACTATAGCGTGAAATCTAAGACGATTTCCTGTCGATCTACTATTGTTAACATCCAACATCAAGACAAAATGTGAACGAATGTATACGATAGCGTAGTACCATACAGCTGGCAGACTAAATGAGACAGAGGCGTTTCAATCGCTGCACTTAGAACTTGATAACTACATTGATTATTTTCAGTCAGTATGCATGCCTAATCCATCCATGCCTAATCAACTTCCTTCTACAGAATCTAGTGGTAAGTCGCTGCTTTAAGAAGGAGAGAAAACTCATTGGTATAAAATATACAAGTCCGTATTTTATTATTCATAACATTAATGAACAATATAAATTCGTAACGCCGTGTAATCTCATGTATTACTCTATCGGCCAGAATTGATGTGTGATACTACCCAGTTGGTTATCAACCGATGAGAGCGAGTTGAGATCAAAACATGGGGTATATCGATAAAAGTAGGTATGCCCATAGGTGCCCTGTAAATGTAAATACTATCACTGTCAGAAAGATTGTGACTATAGACAATGTGGACATGAACAACAGACACGCTAGTTGAAGCAAAAGGGATTAAATTAAGTGATAGATATTACGCATAAACTATTAAATGTATTTCTGCCTGGACCAATACCTATTACAATTTATCCTACTAAATTGTGACTTTTCGGCACTTTATTCATGAATTACCGGTGGTCTTGAAGATAAAAAGAAATAAAAAGGATAACTTCCAAATCACTTTTAAAAAAATATTTTGCAAAACACATCGAACTGAAGTGATCTACTTCTGTTGGAATATGCTATATCCGACTGTGTTCTTTGATATTACTTTCAGTTGCATTTTGATGCTGAAGATGGGTGGGCAGTGAACAACAAGACGCATGTATTTCCTTCTTCAAAACATATCACCTGGTAGTGAATGATGACACCACCTTGATTTCAGCATTCATTTCAAAACTGTAGTGTTATCTATATAAGTTTACTAAGTTACAAGAGCTATCTGTCGAGCAACAAGCATAACTTGTTGTTACTGGATGATTCTGCATGTTAATGAGTTCACTTCAGTAAACAAACACCGAACAATTCAACTTTTTTTTGTCAGCTCAGTAAGTTAGTGTTTTACTATAGTATTACTTACTATATTAGGTCTTCTTATTAAGAACTACTTTACAATAGACGTGAGACATTATTTAAATAATCGAAGAAAAGTAAATATACTCATATGTAATTAGTGCATGAATAGCAAACTTACTCTTCTAGAGCAGCGGAGATTTTCAAATGATCATCTGGAGATGGTTTCAACCAATGATGCGAAAGTGCTAATTGCCTCAATTGAATATCTGATTCATTTTCTACTGGTACACGTGCAACAGCTTCCAGGAAAGGATATCTGCCTGTTTTACTGGAAGAATGAAGAAAAGAGTATATCTATAGAAAACTAATAGTTTATTCTGTACTGCTCAATCGATAAGAACAGGACTATTCTCCCTGCTCATCAATCACATAACCATTAATTATCAATACTTACTTAATGATTATTTGATTTAATTATTCTCTCCAAGGACTATTTACTAAAAACACTAATATTTTAGGGATCTCGTTAAAATATAAACAACTGATTACGCCTTTTTTAAAATTCCTATAATTATCCTGTCATAAAAATATAAGCTACCGCAACGTAATATACATGAATACTTTCTTCTGATTTCATCCAGTTAATATGAATAACTAAACACTTGTGAGTTGATACACAAAGTTAAATTATTTTCGGTGATAACCATATAATTTGTAAAGTATACTAATGTTGGTAGGAATATATGGAACAAGACGGCAGATTTATATCACTAAGATTCTTAATAAATCTAAATGTCTATAGCAGACCGATATTCACGGGTAAAAAAAGATTAACTGTTTACAAATGCGTCAATTACTCTATTTTAAATTTTAAGATCAAGTATGTTTTGATGAAGTAAACCTGATAAGAGGATATTCAAGGTTCGTCAAAGGATACAGACACCATATTCAACTTACCTTCCTTCTAATTCATCTTCATATAACGCAACAATAATTAAATGTAACACGAGATCTAGTAAACTGTGTGACCACCATGAAGCCGCTGTACCATGAGAATTAGCTATTTCCAATAGTGTTTTGATTAAACGTACAAAAGTAACAGATCGCAGAAGTCTTAGAGGACCTGGACGAACAGATGGTATAAAGCTATGTAAAGGGCGAGGTGGGGGTGGTGGGATAGGTAAGTTCTTCAAATCTGGATTGTTCTGTTCTTGTATCCACTTCTTTAAACATTTAGAAACACTTGCTTCAGCCTAAAAAAATAGTTTCAAAAAGTGATACGAAGACGGTAATTTTCGATACAATAGCATAAACCTGATTAAAATGACAAACATTAATTGTTTAATGAAGTTCAGAGCGTACTTGAATAGAATACAATACTCCTGGTCAGTGAATATTTACCTTAAGTGAGACCTCCAATCTACTTGAGTGCATATGCAAATAATCACTTCATGAAAAAACTCCATCCTAGCAATAAAAAAAGCAGCGACGAAATTAGATTCGTTTTTTCGACTGACAAGTACCTCATTCCTTAAATATATACACGTAACTAGTTAGTTTAGTGAAGCTAAACAAAAATTCATCAAAAAGCTTTGCTTGAGGAAACATTCCACTACAAAATAACGACGACAAGTGGTGTCCGTCAGAAATGCCCATTATCCCCTTTTCTATTCAACTTCATCATAGATGTGTTAATGGACTTAACCCTAGGTGACTTCAGCGACTCAGGGATTGACTTGATACCAGGGAATAACAGTCTCGTTGACTTGGAAAATGCAGACGATATAGTCCTACTAGGCGAAGACGCTGACAAAATGCAGAGTCTTCTAAACACCTTGAGCCGCAATCTACAAATGTTTGACATGCGATTCGCTCCCGCCAAATGCAGGATGATGTTACAGGACTGGACTACATCGACGCCTAGTTTAAAAATAGGAAGTGAAGTGGTAGAGCACGTTGACCGCTTCACTTATTTGGGAAGTACCATCAGCCAGTGCCAACGGGTTGATCTCTGACGAAATCTCAGCTGAGTACGGATACAGGGGGCTCGACTCACATTTGCCAGTTTACGCCGACTCTGGCGTAGACGAGATGTTCGACTATCGACCAAAGGGCGGGTGTACTGCTCATCAGTCCTCTCCGTCCTCCTTTATGGCTGCTAGTGAGGCCTGGCCATTGAGAGTGGAAGACATGAAAATGCTGGCTAGCTGTCTTTGATCATAGGTGCCTGCGCTCTATTTCCCGTGTAAAGTGGCATAATAAGGTGAGCAAGATTGAGGTTAGGCGTCAAGTTCTAGGTAAACAGGGGAAATCAATCGACGAAGTCGTGAAGTTACAAAGACTGAGATGGTTAGGACATGTTTTACGTATGCGTGGCCTAGTCATCGCCTTCCTCGACGAGCAATGTTAGCGGATATAGGATTGGTCTGGCTGGAAAAAAGCTAGCGGCGGTCAAACAAAAACTTGGCACCAGTCAATGAAACCCACAACAGTTGGTCTAAGCCACGTAGGAAGGTGTAGACTTCCTGACGGGTTGGGGTCCTCGAGACGGTAAAAATCTATGGTTGGAAACAATTGGTGACATGGCTCAAAGCTATCGTTCTCAATGGCTGGCTGGCTCAGATGCATCCACTCCTTGTGACTTATGATCTCCAATGAAACTGTTTTGTTCTTCGTTATTACTATTCCTTTGTCTCACACCTCTACTTACAGTCTCTATTATGCTTTTCTTGTACTTTCTTCTCTTGCTTCGCGTGATACATGGAGTGTGGCGACTTGAACTTCCGCGCATTTGTGCAAAGTTCTATGTCGAAAACAGACAGACAGACAGCTGGACGACAGTTGTCCGACTGTGACGCAGGTTGAGTCTGAATGTTGATCTACTGTAGTGCATGTTAAGCCTTTAGAATCACCAATGTCCCTGTAATCTTGCCTCAGATTATTTACAGATAGATGACTTTTTAATTAAAATGTAGTGGAGAAATTCATCTATATCAATCCCTATATTCTGCATTTAAACCAGTGTCTGGAAATCTTATCTTTCGAAAGGTAAAAGTTGTTTAGTTTTCTTATATATCAATCTATGAGACAATCCTATATTTCATGTGAACTAATAATACTACAGTCATCCACAATGAAGTAAGACCGAAAATATTTGAACCTATTACCTCCTGGCTAACAAAGTTCAGTGCTAAAGCCAATGAACCACATTTCACGAGGGTAAAATGTGTATATTTTAATTCTGTCACTGAGGTAACTAAATGTTTCAACCTGAACTGAGTATATAAATAAAACAAGATGTTACACTTCTGTAATAAAGGTTTCAGAGGACTTTTTATTAATGTAAAAAAAACTTAAAAAAGTTCAGATGAATGGACTGGACTACTTATCGACTGTACAATAGGTGAAGTATACTTACTGTTGTTTGCTCTGGTTGTCGATACCCCCAGTAGAATCGATCAAAACGATAAGCCAAAATTTCTGGTCGCAGACTAAACAGAGTGCGACCATTAACGGATGATTGAACTGCTACTTTACGTAATATTTTAGGTAAAGCGTTTTCCATAGCACGTTTATTAGCGCTTCTAGACACAGAAGCAGGTAGAACAGGTCTTGGGCCAATCTCCATAGAACATGATGCTGTAGACTGCGATTCCTCTGATGTCATTTCTGCGTCAGAGTCTTTTGAATGATGTTGTTGCTTCAACACATCCAACTCCTCAGTATTAATTTTCATTAACAGACAGCTTGTACTTTGATATGGTAACATAGATAATAATTCACTATAGCTCAGAGGTTTAGAGCATAGAGTATGTATGACATCACTGATTAGGTTAGGATAATAAATTTCTGAATCCATATCAAGGACTATATCATTTAGGCAATTAGAACCAATACTACGATTATTGTTGCATAAATAATACTCCTTAGTAAATTGACCAATTGAAGGACGTGACCGATTAGTAATACAAGAAAGTAATACACGTAACAACATTTCAACAGCTTGTACACGACCAGGTCCAGGCTCCTTTGATGACGCATCGCTAAATTGGTGTTTTTTTAAACAAACAAAAAGGTGGATGGAAACAAACTTATCAGTAGCAGTAGATTATTTAAGGTTGAAAGCAATGTAGTTACTTGTGAGTAGTACAACATTTAATCAAAAACAATTATTACAGTGAAGTTGCATTAATTACGCTATGCAGCGTACAGAAAAAGAATTGTGTGGCATTACAGGCTTTTTTATCACCTAGTTTATGAGATGCTCTGGTTGACTGATTAAAAAGACAATGGGGAATTGTGAGCAAAAGAGAATTAATTCAAGTTACTAAACATTCAAATAGTATAATGAAAAAAGCAGGGCATTAGGAATTTCAAACAGGATAAAGGAATGAAAATATTTGAACCATTGAGAACTACTCCTTGTCAGAACGAATGATTACAATGATTCTGAACATTTTGAACAAAACTGTAGAATTGCTATCACACTGGCTTAGCCTATTCGTATTGATTATACAATAGAGTACTCTATTAGAAATAGCAGTAACAGTCAGAAGTAGTGAATATTGAGTAAGGAATAACAATGGGGATGGTGAGGAATCGTGTACTAATGGAAACGTATAGATGACTGATGTTTTCAGACAGTCTGTTCACAACAGAAATATGTATCATGTACTCATATACAAAATGAAAATCTAACGAACCTTCTCAAGTAGTTACCCAAATGAAATTTATGTACTAAACGGATGATAAATTCATCCGGCGGTAGTACACAACTCGCTATTTGCAATAGCTGAATATCACGGTCAACTAACTCCACACGCATTGAAGGATTGAACAGATTTGTGATCTGAAAGAGTTAAATAATAATAATATGGATGTTAATTTGTCAATAAAAGAGGATTACAAACGAAGTATATTAATATTATTGTCATTCAATTGTACAATGTTGTATAGACTGTATAGTTATTGACTGTGCCGCCAAAATCAAACCATACTGCATCCACCAACACGTGTAGCTTACATAGTATAATAGAATCAATAAGCTGGTAGTCGATGGTCAAGTTTCAAAAATCGATCGGCTTGAATATGTAATGAGGGTATAGGTGGTCTTAGAATCTCTGTTGCTGTATTTTCACTTATGTTTACCTTACATACATCAGCTTTATATAACAAACGGAATAATCTAATGTTATTAATCAAAAGAGTAAAAAGAATCAGAAAGAAATGTGCCGCCTATGAGGAGCATTGATCTAGCAGTACACAAGTGAAAATTTAAAAGTGAATGACTTGCTTATAAAATTTGTAACATTTGAACAAAATTGGAGTAAAGGTGACCTCTTGGTATTTTGTGACCTCGACAAAAATTTAGCATGAGAAAAACAAACTGAAACCGCTGTCACAGTTCACAAATATACATTCACCATAATAAAAGAAATCAATTTATAACAGGTCGAAATAATAAATAAAGCATATTCATACTAGTGAGGCGTTAATCGCTACAAATAAACATAATACTAGCATACCAATAAATCTAACCTACTCTGCCATGATTGTCATGTGACTAATCGTTGTCTTCATATACACTCGCACCATTCAACGTTAACTTTGTACCAGTGTTGTCCTTTATCCTCTTACATGTACATAAATCTGATTCATTAGTCCCTTTGTTCTACACATCAATATACTATTCGGTATGTGTTTGTTCTTCTTTGAACGACAGTTGTTTTTCTATTGTCACCTTTGTGTGACTGTATTATTTCCAGAAATAAAGTTTATGTTAAGTTTTAACTATAGCAAAGACTAGACTCTATGATGTCACCATTGATAATGAAAAATTAGATTTGTAGACAAATTTATTCCTACAAGTATTATTGGTGCCTAAATTTTTTTCCTAATGTGGAGATACGAATGAAGCTCAGAAACAGAATGTTGAACTGGAAGAAAGGTAGTATACAATATCCTAAGTTTCCTGAATAATAATAATAATATGCACCTAAATAAGATAAAGAATACATGCCCTCTTTACACATGTACATATACACAAACCTACTACTACTTCTACTATTATTATTATTATTATTATTATTATTATTATTGTTAGAAGGTCAGAATGACATTCACATTGAATATGTATCAAATTGAGTAGTTTTACACAGACAAGAAACGTGTTTTTAACACTAATTTTTCAAAAAATTCAATAAAGTTATAAAGACGTAATAAATAATAACATTATGAAGTATTATTGTGGAGATAATATGGTGAAATAGTATCACGATCAATTGAAACATTTGTGTAATTAACGAGTGGAATAGATAAGATTAGACTATACAATAAGTAAGGAATAAATTGGTGTGTGTTCACTTACAGACTGTTGTGCAGCGTATCCATTACGCACCCACATTTTAGCATTATATTGAGCACAAAAAGCAAAAATTTGTAAAGGTCTTTCGATCAGCAGATTGAGAAATGCCTTCAAATAGTGTGAATGGGATAATAACAATAGCAATGAGCATGAATTTCGTAAGTGAAGCAAAATTATTATATATGTATTAATTTGTAACACCACAAACAAAAACCGGCTACACGATTAAATATGACCTGGGAATAACAATTTTCAGTTCATATAAAGCAGGAATAATGCACGATAATAACCATGTTCACGTTTAGTGTACTGAGCTACAAACACTTTAGCTAAAAACACTTAAAATACTACTCTGCTACTTTATTTATTCCTTCATGCTCCCAGTGGAACTTAGGGCTTCAGGCTAGAGACTTGAAGTTTCGGTAGCAGTGGTGTTTATTATGTTTACGGGATGGGAATGCTAACCTCATGCCCAACGTCCCCTCTGCACCAGTCTTATTACCAGCCTAGTGAGATAAACGAGTCCGTCAGCCGGGGATTGAAGCCCGGACCACCTGTGTGATTGACGAGCATTCTACCTCTGCTACTACTACTACCACAATGGTTCAAACCTCGATGCATGAGAGCGGTTGAAAGTTGAATCGAAATTTCACAAAATACAAACAATCTGGGATCTGAAAACACGAAAATTCGATTTGTATCACATAATATTTCTTATTGATTTAGGCATTTGTCTTACATTTCGCAGTTCGCATATTTGAAATAGGATCCCCCTATCAAGATATGAATATTCAGAAGGTAATGTACCAACCAACATTGACAAAAGACCTGGAACTCAGTACAAATAGTATCAAAATGCATGATTCTTCCTCTCAGAAAACCATCAAAAAATCATGCAATGAAAGATAGATACCAACTGAGATGCGGAGGGATTTTATACTAACAAGTTCCCCGCGCTTAAATAAATGCAACAGAACTGCAGTTAAGATATTATTACTACATAGTGTTTGTAAGTCACTGAAAAACATATCCGTAACAAATTATAAACAAATTATCTTTACAGAAAATTATCTAACATATAGTAGAAGCATAGGCAACATCTCAACATCGAATAATCATCATAATACGTATATATATATATATATATATATCACTTTTAGAGGGGAGAGATAGAGTTATACCTGATCTAATAAACCCAATTCTCTGAAAGTGAGGCCCATTTCCAAACCATGTCCATATAGGCTTGCCAAGAAACGTGGAATCGGCTGTATTGAACTTATGCGATATAGTAATACATCATAAATATATACTTCAGTAGTCACACCAAGTGAATGGAAATGTATTTTATCAGGATTATCATTTGACTGGGTATTTTTGCTATCCTCTGGTTTCTCATCTATAGACGATAGCGCTCTAATACGGAATCGTCGGTCCATTATGCCAATTCGCATTTCAAACGCCTGTTATTACATGGAGTACACGGGGGAGGAAAAAAGTGCGAGATCGTTATGGAATGTATATGATATGTACAACAAACTAACAACACATAATAAACAGTAGTGACAGCTAGGAGAATTTAAGAAGACAACTATTCCTACCATCTAAATTCGACCAAATCAATGCTGTATTCAACCTTATGATGTAGCCTGAATTAAGTAAATTTCTACTCAATCGAATAAAGTCCGATTAACCTAGTACTATTATCATTTAGCCTTATATATTTCGTGTGTCTAGTACTTCCATACATGAAGAGACTGTAGCAATTGAATGAGCTGTACATCTATTCTAATCTACTGGGTAGATTATACCAAGACAACTTAAGTGTTTTTGCACTACCGAAGAACTGAAAAGTCCACTTGAGAAGCAGCCAACAGCCAGAATCACCAAGCGACCTTAACTGACTGACACAAGTAATTTTTAACCAATAACTTTATATCATAACACTGACGTCTTAGCATATTGAAACCATTTCAAAGGATGAACATTTTTTCAAAAATCGATTTGATTCCAGGCAGCACATACTTTGTATATCTGGAAAATAAACCATCCGATAAGCATATAATAGCAACCACTCAGTAATCTACAAATACCTTGTTTTATCTATTATATTTATTCGACAGACAAATAGGGTGTAAAATGATACAAATAAAAACCTCAAAAAATGTCTTTTACAACAACATCAGCGTTGATCTCATTGCATTTCATTTTCTTTCAGCTCAACAGCATAAAGACTTATTATTGCTTAATTATTACAGATATTCTCAAAATAAATTGATAGTATCAGTGAAATAAGTAAGCGAACTACATCATGGGTTTACCAGTCACATCGCTTTGTATGTGCGAGTGAACAATCATAATTTAAATGTGGAGTACTGAAAAAGATGAGTGAATTGACGACAATACATGTATCTGAAGCGTGTGTAAACACACATGTGCTATTTCAAAATTGATAATTATTGACCATATTCCCTAGGTAAACAGAAAAATAATACAAATGTTTAGCCTAAAGAAACAATTCAAAAAAAACTAGTCCCTGGTGTGTGATATTCAACACGCTACTCTGACACCGTATATCACATCTAAAGCTTGCCACCTACAACCTGTGCACATAAGTGTGAACTGGAGAACACGCAGATTTGACCAGAATTCTAGAAATCTGACTGTTGATGTATGCTGCATTTTGAACACCTTTATAGAAAATACCATCGCATTATTTGCGCAATTATCAGTTCAAATAGCATGTTTAATGTGTTTATCTAGGGATGTTGTAGCATCAGTGTCCGGCTAAGTTGATCTGGGTGCCTCACTAAGCGCTAGAATTAAAGCTACATGACTAAAATGTGAAACCAGAAGATTATATTAGAGCAGATAAGTGCCATTTTGTCACTAATTCATAACCTATTGAGGTCTGAATTCAACAAAAGATGAAGTGTAGCATCAAAATGAGTAATTTAGTCAAACAAGCACGTTTAACAAATTTTGTAATACTAGCTAGGGACTTTGGTATAGGCTCATGAGTTTAGGTGTTCAGACGATCACACGTCAGCTCAAGATTTGCTCCTCTTTCGGAGTAATAATTTCCGAAATTATCATAGTGCTATAATGACGTGATCTCCAACCTAACATCCCAACCTACAAGTCAAGTAGTAAACCACTGTCTTCATAACATGGTACACTCTTGATAATAGGTGAGTATAGGTAGAGTCAGGAATTTAGAGGCAACATCTGTACAGTAACTCCTGTTACTCAATTGATATCCATCTATGAAATCATTCAAATATTATATATATGTATATATTATATATAATTTCAGCTTACCTGACGAGCTTCACATAATACCAGCTTGTACAGTTCATAATCTGAACTGGCTACCTGCACAGTTAAGCCAAGTAGACTTATTAATACACTCATGATATAAAACCCGCTGGCCCATTCCAACTCTTCTTCCACATGAGCTTGTGTCTGACGTTGCATACCGTTCATATCCTGTACAATTATTATTATTATTATCATTATTATTATTATATGTACATCCAACTTCAATAAATTACATTGTAAAAAATTGTTTCAAGTAGAAAAGAAATCCGTCAACAAAATCCAGGTAACTTAGTAGTCATCACAATTTTCCAGCATTCAAGTCTCATTTATTGTATTCATCATGGCTGCGTGGCTTAATTAGTCGATCATCAGCCAATGGATTTCAGGTCCGTTTCGTAATTTACCGTAGGTCACTCGGTAGGATTATTAGTCCTCATACAATAAGTGTGGTTCATAGCTCGGTGAGTGGAAAAATCTGTTCCGATGGAGTCAGTTCTGACTTGAAGGCTAAACATGTTGTCTGATTTCTGTATTTGACAAACATAGATCGACAGTCTACTGTCAAAAATGACCAATTCAACGGAACAAAACACAACGATACAATATATTCAAATACTTGGAAAGAAATATTAACGTGAAATCTTTCTCATCGTGTTTGAAAAATTAAGCTATTCGGATAAGGCACAAAAAAGTATTTGTTACCTTAGTACACTTTAAGGATGGTCAGAGAATGAACTGACCTGCACAAAAAGAGAAAGTGAACTTTATGCGTAGTGTGTATAGACTACAGTGGAAAATAATGTTGAGTGTTGAGTATGAATGTAGTACGCTAGTAAATCAGGTCACTTATTAATGTACACTTTCAATTAAAATGTTTTATATACCCTGAAAGAATATTCACTGTCTGTTTGTTTTCGACATAGAACTTTGCACCGATGTGCGGCAGTTCAAGTCACTCCATGTAGCACACAAAGGAAGAAAAGAAATGCATAATAGAGACAGTAAACAAAGGTGTGAGACATAAGAATAGTTACAACGAAGAACGATATATTTCATTGGAGATATTCACTGGTTTTTCGAAAAGTGGAGAAAAAGTTAACAAGTGAAATCGAAGATGAATAAAACTTTTTGTATTACTAACTCCCTAAAACTAACTTATGAACTCCATAATCAGCAACAGATTTTCTGTTTAGAGGCAGTGAACTATACATGTAGTGTGGTGAGACCTGTCTTCAAGCCAAAATTGTAGACAACAATTAACGTCAATGTTCACGTCCCGAATCAGGGTCATGAGAAAAGCAATAACAAAGCTTAACCTTGAGAAAACCACCAGTCTATCACAGCGGAGTTAAAGTATGGAAAATAAATCACAGATATATGGCTTGACTTTTCGAGAAACGACCACAGAGATAACAAAATAACCTTCATTAAGAAAACAACCAATCAGAAGAAGTTGCTTCTCTGCTAACAATAACGCTAATAATAATGCACATAGAAATCTATAATTACCTCTTGGTTTTCTTAATAAACGATCTGTGGCCTGGCCCTTGTCTTCTGTCATTACAATAGTATGAGAGATGAGTATACTTTCGGTGCGTCGGTGGTAAAGCGGTTAGGACGCTTGCCGACCATGCACATGGTCTGGCGTTCGATCCCCAGCCACAGACGCACTCCTTTACATCATTAGGCCAGATATAATGCTGGTAAAGAGAAAAAGTTAGGCATGAGGCTAGCAACCCCATCCTGTAAAATAAATACTGCTACAGGAACTTCAAGCCACTAGCTTGAAGCCCTATGTTCCACTGGGGAACGTGAAGGAAAAAAAATTGAGTATACTACCAAGTTGCGTAGACCAAAGTAGGAGAAGTGAGATTCGAACTGAGGGATCCGTTGACTGAATGTTAAGTTATTACTATCATTCTCATCATTATTTTATTATTATTACTCTACGACCGCTTATTAATAACACTGAGTTTTCATATAGATTTAATAAAAACACTTTATGGTCATTCCACTAGTTCTTGTCCACTCTACACAAATACATTAATTAGTCATTTTCTCACTTATTACACCATCCTAACTTCTGGCCCCTTTTATAATTTCCAGTTAGCCACCCCTTCTAGACTACAAATCACATCACATAACAAGTCCTCGAGGACAAATTTTACTAGTATGCGATCTGTCTTATGAATTCTCTGTTAAATATAATTATGATTGCACAGCTTATAAAATGATCTATCGAAAAAAAAATTATCTTTGCTGTTCACATCTTTTTCTTATGAAGGTGAAGTGTCCCATCTTTATCGATACTGTTAATTTGTGCTACATCAGATAAATAAACCAACGTAGAATTATGTTCCGGATCAATTCTGTTCTTTTATATCAAACATGTTAACTGTTTTATTGGAAAAAAACACCCAGAGATTGGAATCTTAACAACTTGAAATTCATATCTTATACAAAGTAGAAAAGAACAGATACGAAAATAATAGGAGTACAAGATAAGAGGATCACCAAGATGACTAATCGTTCTACCTTTCTAACTGGAGATTGCAATTAACAACTCAACTGATAACTTTGTAACGACAGAAGAGAAGGGCCAGTAAACAGTATCCCCCCACGCAAGGCTGCTGTCATTGGTTGTTGAGTTAGTCTTTATTCTTGTTTTTTCCCATAACCAAGATTTGGGACGTGAACACTGACGTAAATTGCTGTCTATCGATTTTGGTTAGCAAACAGCTCTCACCACAACTTTACTCGTGCTGATTCACAACTTAAATAATTAGGTATAAATTCTTGAACAGAAACACATAATTTATTATTCTTTTGGGTTCCGAGTGGAACGTAAGGCTTCAATAACACATCTCCACTTTGTTCTATTCCCTGGTGTTTTCTTCATCTGGGAGCAGCATTCCCTATAATCTCTCATCTCCTCCTCGCACAATCTTCTTCATATCACCCCAGGACGACCCACTGATTGTTTCTCATTGGGATTCCACTCAAGAACCTGGCGCGTGATGGCATTCGATGGCCTCTTTAACGTCTATCCGATACAATAGTACATCAAAGAATCTCAAAAAGATGCCATACACATAACTCAGTTTTTGACTTTCTTCCGGTGTTACACAAACACATGCGTAACACTATAAATATGACGCAGAGAGAATAGCACATGTGATCATGGAACAAATGGAAAAAAGATCGTTGAAATAGTTAATCTGAAAGAAATAGTACAAATAAAGAATCAAAGGAAAAATGCTACACATTTAATTAATTAACTTACTTGTACAAAACTAAGCATATATAAAAGTTTCCGTATATATTCCATGTAAGACAATCGTGCAGCTTGTGTCCACCAACTATTTCGTGTCGTTGTTGATGACGATGAGATAATTTCATCGTTAGCTAGCGGTCGGACATTTGTTAAACTGGCCAGAATATAATCAACATCATGAATTACGCCGAATAATCTTTCAAAAGGATGAAACAATGAACGACCTAGTGTGTTACCAGCTGGCCATGCTAAGACACGTGGGTTTACGTAAGAACAGTTGGCTGGAGACATTGCGCGAGTAGATAAACCCCATTCGAATGGATTCAAACGTCTCAATAAGTCAAAAGCAGAATTTAACCATGAAATATTTGCATCATTATTTAAATTTGAGACGGTTAGTTCTTCTTGAATATCTACTTGTATATTTTGATAGGTGGTTGGTAAATAAAAATGTGGTAGTAAAATTGAATTAAACTCAAATGCACTAGCCAATCGAGATAATAATCGACTAAGGACACTGTTGTGCTCCAGCAATTGACGTGCCTATAGTATACACAGATGCAACAAATTATTATTATATTATTATTATATTTAAAATAATGAAGGTATTACTGCATATAATTTTCAGGTACAAACTTGTCGTAAGTTTTGAAATGATAATACAAGCATTTTAACACAAAATTCTATACATTGATTTAAGTACTTCAGTGATCGGATGCTCGTCAGCTACATACACGGTCCAGGATTCAATTTCTGGCTGACACACTCCCAAACTCATTTATCCGTAAGTGCGATAAAGACGTAAGGTCATGCTTGAGGTTAACAACCCCACCAACTAAAAACAAACACCACTGATACTGAAACTTTAAAACTCAAGCTTGAAGCCGTATGTCTTATACAGGACGTAAAGGATTAAAATAACAATGATATCCTTCTATTGATTATCCTTAACATAGACAAATTGTAAAGAGATATGACCAAAAGTATCAAGGATAAGTAGACTGGCCAAGAGTTTCAATAAAAGCTTTCCTCGGTTAGGGTCGTTTACGATGATTATCAAATTGAATACTTCACTAACAATTTGATCCACTGAGGATTACTGCCAACCGTAGAATGAAAGCTGAATTGTCTAAAAAGGCAAATTATGACGTACATTTTCATTTTATCCCTCAGCTATTCCCTCTTTTTTGTTTTTGTTATAAACCGTCTCTCGAAACTCAGTGTATATCTTTTGGTAGGTTATTACTAATCACTGTTCTTAATGATAAATTCTGAGACCCATGAATATCTATCCACTTCTGCTTATATCTGATTTTATCGTTTAAAAATTCGAGAATACTGCACTTCCTACCTTGAAAGGTATTTTGCTTTTGTAGGTAATTGTCTAATGTCGAACTACATTTTGTATTACAAGTCACTGGCTTTTTCTAAACTCAATACAGAAAACCAAATAGTTTCATATATAGCTTGAAAGTGATTTGAAATTATTTAAGTGAGTTAAGATCAGTGGGTTTAAAGATGACTGATTTTAAATCACTTGTAAATGATGTCATGTCTACTACTGTGATTTTTTCCCTGTATTTCATTACTTGATTAGTGTAAGTTGTAAACCATTTATGAATACTAATCAAATGGTCTTACAAATTTACTATAAATAACCATTTTTTCCTTTCGTGTCGGTTGTAATGATCATAAAGACATTTTAATAATTGGTGTTTTCTTAATTTACCACCTTTATGTCTAGTTTTAGGTGAATAGAACTCATAAAATGTATTTTCTTATTTTTTAATCTTATGTATAATTCTATCATATTTTAATTTGATAGAAAAAAGTTATACAGCATCATTTAATGATAACGTTTCAAGAACAATTTATTGTTTATGACCATATATATCTACGCAGGAGATGAATATGAAGAAACAGTTGTTATATTGTTATATAAAACGAAGAGAAAAAGTTCAACAGTGAATTAGCAAATATATTATAAATATGTTTCAATAGGAATTAAACAACAATTCCAATAGCTGGTGTAGTAGCCGGTAGTAATTTTCATCGAAATGTTACCGAAACGAGGAACTTATCATTGTGTGTAAACTAGTGAAATACAATTACAATTTATTTGATCGATTCCATTATGCTCAGACTTTTTTTACTGCCATTAATGCATTGGCATTTATAAAAGATAATGCACTCCTATACATATTTAGACCTCAAATTGTTTGTAACGGCGAGCTTAGTTAAGTGTATAACAGACAGAGGGCGAAAACTCTAAGAAGTACATCAGCAAACCTAAACAGATAGAAGTGTTAGTGCTATTCAATAAATTCTTTAGGTAGATCAGAAAAAGCTAACGTTAAGCGGTGACAAAGTAGTGAAACTATTACTGAGATAAATACGGCTAGACGTGAGTCCGAATAGCTCAGTAGTAACCTCCCTGACTGCAGCACTGGATGACGCAGATTAGAATCTCAGAAAGGATATTTGTCCCAAGAAGGATGCAGATACACCTTGCTGCTAATAAGCACAAAGCTTAGGTGCAGAACTTCCTGCCAATTGTCTTCAAAGATATGATATCAGATATGGTATATATACTACGCCAGGATCGTAAATACTACATTATTCCAACTGATTCCTATGATTACCATAGAATTACTATCTGTGGCGATCAACAATACACAGCAGATTGTGACTGGTTCATGTATTATGCAAGCTTCAAACTCCACAATTCAATGATGAAGTACAACTAAATCAGGGGCCTATACTTATTGGATAAGTCACAGATACTACCTAATCTCCTAATGAATTATGATGTTACAACCTATTTTTTGAATAACTCTAATATTATATTATACTTTGTGACTTTTGATTACATTATTTCTCTACCTTTTATTTTAGTACTACGCCGACAATTAGATATCAGATATAACGACCTGGACTGTAAAGTAACAATTCTAACGGTTAGGTCGATAATATCTGCATCTACCAAAATTATAATGGAAAAAGATCTATAATCAAGTTATTCCCTATTATCCAGAGTAATCGTAACATCGATTTATAATAACATCCTCCGTTGATATGATTCGTATATCATATTCACAGCTTCTTCTTAGCTAGCACATATCCCCAATATTGACAACTCTTCAGTTAGATATAGTATAGCGACGCTATTGAAAGGTCAATCTTATCGAACAGACGTATTCATCTTTTGACTTTGATTAAGTTTTGAATATTTAGACAGGTATGTCATTTTCTGCCCTTTTCTAATTCTGCACCGTTGAAAAGGAGGATAGATAGAAGCAAAATCTTGCTGTGGCAGTTACCGCAGTATCCTGTCTATGGCGGTTAATTTTCTAGCCAAAGATACTCTCTATAAAATGTTAAAAACTCGCCAGTATAAGTAGATTATAAAGATATTTAAAGAGATATACCTATTAAAATACAATTCATGATATGATCTATCTTTCTATGGCAAAAGCAAGTACAGGTTTATGGGGAATTAAAATATAATTAATAGAACTTACCAAACTGGTTACTGTATAGAATTGACAACTCAAACTGCACAGAGTATCACCATCCAAATGATCATCGTATATATGATTTTGAAGTAACCTAGTATACAACTACATTACAAGAGTAAAAAACAGAAGAAAATATTAGCAATGATAAAAAAAAATATTATGAAAGTGAAGAGAAGTAAATAATACTGCAGTCATAATTCAAACAACAGACAATAAGAGGATTGAAGGAAATTTGAGTAAATCAGGTATTTTATGACACACTTATGTGCCATCGCCATACAACGAGGGTAATCAAATTGAAGTTATATAAAGGCTGTAGTTAGGTTTACATAAACAATAATAGAAATGATGATAGCTTAACCAAGAAAAGAAGTATACCTTCGTTAGTAAACAAAAATTTGTAGATGCCGACTGAAGGAGTTACCTACATTACGCCAGATTTTGTGCCTTACAGCCTAATACATGATGCTCAGGAAGGTTTCGTGTGCTTTTGGAAGTGTGTGGGCGGTTGTTACTTCCCGGCTGCCTACACCGTGGAAGTTGGTTGCGTGACCGCAGAGCCCAGGGGACAACTGCTTGAGGCCGGTCACAAGCGGCCTGCTTTTGTTGGTTCTCTTTTGTTTGGTGTGTCTCAGTAGCATATTTATCACTTCTGCCCTGTGACACGGGCCCCGACCGATCCGGCATGATATTTTGTGAATTTGTTTGAATCATAGCATTGGGTTGGGTAGCTGCCTTTTGTCTAACCGCTATCCAAACAACCTTCCTGGCATGGTAGAACCTCAAGAGACATAAGTCTCAGCCAGTATAGTTTGTTGGGTCATTGCGGCGTTCAAGCCCGACCACCACGTCAAGGTAGCAGCTTTCGGTCGGGCCTAATACATGAAATCGCAAACGTGTTTTTAATTCGCTAACACATGAGAGCTGGTGCAGTTGAGAATTTCGTGAATTAAATTGAGACTATTGAAGCACTATCTTTCGCATAAACCAGTGAGTAATGACGCTGTTTACAAAATTATTGGTGAGACTAAAACTGAACTTAGGTCAAAACAAAACTAGTTATAGAGTGTAAGTTCAGAGCACTCAACCAAATGAGTTATGAAATCCAGCTATAAATCAGGTTTTCATTTATCAAGGGGATTGCTTATCCATCAAGCGAATCAATATTGTATAACTGCCCTACTAGTATTATCAAACTACCATAAGTATCTGTAGTTTTCTGACAAATTCAGTCACTAGTAACCAGCAGTCAAATGATAACAAACAACAATATAAAAAAAATGTGACTGTTCTTTGAATTGTTTACTGCAGTTACAACACATAGACATATTAAAACAGATAATGCAAGAATTTATATCAAGTTCACATGCTCACATATAATATAGCTAATAAATAACTACAGATAACAAGGTTAAAATAAAGTTGAAATCAAAGATTAGTGAACACCTTGAAAATTACTGCGAATATCAACTGATATGTAGATTTAAAACAAATACTTTATCTTGTTACAGTAAAAGGAAAAACAACGTCACATGCGAGAAAAAAATGTTTTGTTAACTTCAATTTTTATATTTATCAACGTCATCAAACAAAAAACCAAATGCAGGACAAAGTAGAGTGAAATCTCGGCACAGAAGTACATCGGTTCAAATTGCTACACTACCCATTAGGAGACAAAAATAAGAGAATAGGAATAAAATGAGCGGCAGGCAAGGAATTAAGAGCTTGTTAATCTTCTGAAGACCTTAGTCAGGTAAGCAGTACCTCACAAAGTGCTTCATATCAACAACCAATAACATCGAGGACTGAAGCCATATTCTGACCATCACTAACTCCTTTCTAATATAACCCTGTTCATCGAGAAAGGTAGCGGCTAAGCATGCCCGAAGTATGTTTCAATAACCCCCAGACAATGACTCACAACGTTCGTAATCTACGACGTCTAACCTCATCATGCAACACACGCAACGCGAAGATTTGGACGAAGATACTTATGGCAAAATATCCTGTTTTGAAAATATATATATGTATGGAGCATATTAATAAATTTCCTAGAAACAGTTTCGTCGTTGAATCACTTGCTTTCTCCTTAAAATGTCCTAACAGTAACTTTCCATGAAAAAACCTATAATCCTTTCGTATCCTCTGCTTTCACCGATTATATCTCACAATCTTACAGTAGGACAGAAGACTGGCAGTGCATTTTTGCTTTCATAGATAACCGGATACATATGTTGACAAACGACTGTATTTGTAGCCATTTTGTCTTTGCAAAACTCATATTCACATTGGAGAACTAAATTTTCCCATAGACAAGAGTTATCAACTTGATAAACAGTGTAAGACCTCGATGCAACAATGAAGGCGTAACTTTATCAAAAGGAATGATAACGAAAATAACCTAGATGACTAAATACATCTATAGCAAGCTTAGTAGTATGAGTTGTATACATGCTAGTATGAACTTTAATCAAAACATTTAATGGTAGTCTGAGCGAAAATGATATTTCCATGATTTGATAATATGCCTAAAGGACGGACGTATGCAACACGTAAATCTTTACAAAAACAATTAACAACTAATACGTATAAAATCTTACTCTGCTAAATTTAATTGCGAACACAGCGCGATAGAAATTATCCTTCAAGAGTACACTCATGATAAGACGTAACATTTCTTGTCGAACGGCTGAAAGTTTTAAAAACAATAATAATAATGACATAAAATGTTTTACTTGTTTTATTTATATGATTATGTTTAATGAGTGAGAATATGGATTTAAATTCGGGTTTCGTATTAGTGAGATGTGAATAGTTTAGTTACAACTTCACAGACAACATCATAATTTAACTCGGAACTAATGATTAACGTAGTGGAGTTGAGTGAAGTTGTCTGTGCATTACAATGTAAGGTAAAAACAGAAATCGCAATGAGATAAACAAATTTTAACATATCTTGAAAAAGGACTTATAAATATAGGAGGATACTTTAGATGGTAATATAGGTGCATTTGAGTGATCCCAAACTGTCACTCTAAATCTCCAATCTGTTACTGACGTTACTTCATAGAGCCTAGTTAACACTTCAGTACGTCAGTAACACTAAAAGTGTGAGACTTCAAATATAAGTGTTATGTTTAGACACAGCAGACTTCAACTATCGTTTAACATCACTCCAAACCGATGCACATCAAATGTCCACAGGTGATTTTTGCTAAATCCCTACAACTTTTATGAATCCTCCATGTTCAATAGTTACACAATATAGAGGAAGTATTATTACTGCCTTTTTACAGTTAAATAGTTTACGATACACTCTATTTGATAGCAAAAGATACAGATATTTTCGATATTTTCGCTGATATAACTGGTTAACAGATAGACTGGTGATCACTAGACACTGAGTCTAGTATGACTGGTTGTTATGAAGCTAAATAGTCATAAAAGTTATCATCCGGCGACCGATTCGCATATAACTGATTGTATAATGCTTTAAGCTGTCTTATTTTATAATGGCACATTGCAATAGCAATTAGAAGATAATTTAATGTAAATTATGATACCAGGATGTGTGAAAAATCACAACAAAAAAGGAAAAATAAACTAAACGAGTAAAGATGTAAGCGGTGTTGTGATTTAGACGAACCTAGTACACTGATACATGTGAACCATTACGTCTGATTCCTGCTTTTTAAATATTTATTACGTATTTTCCTACAATTAAAATCAAGCTTATAAAGCAAAACATTTGCCACAGTATCCACAACTTACAAAATAAATACTCAGATAAATTTTCTCAGAGGAAATTCTGTATATTTGAACTCTTTGAGAATGAAATCAATCAACATGTAAATAGACTAAGGGAAAATTAAAACAAATATAACTTACATCTCCATGATAGGCTATGACGAGCTAGAATAAAACTTAAAAATGAATCATCTTTAACCATATCACTATGTGGTAGAATAGGCAAGATATCTGGTTGTGTAGATTTTTTAACAGCATTATCAATTTCAGGGAAATGACCCAATATTGCATGACAAATAACAGGTCTTAAACTAGGCACTTGATCACAAAATCTACGTAACCAACGAAGGAATAGGGAGAAAAATACTTCTAATGAATAGATGTCTGCATGTTGAGCTTCACACTTTAACGGGCGTGAAGACAGACTTGTAGAGGTACGCTGAAAAGCAAAGCAAATAAAATAATACAAAAAAAAGTAAGAAAACCTTTTTGCTTTATAGAGAGATGTTTGTAATTATGTCATGGACATATGAAATATATATGAGAGTTGATTGTATAAACATGAAAATGTAGGAGGTTCTAGACAGTCCCAAGATAAATACTAAAAGCTCTTTGTTAAAGTACAATGGTAAGTAAGATTTTAGAAAATCTCTGCTTATTTACAATAACGGTCACCATACTTTTTCTGAATAGATGATTCCGCGTAACCAGTGAGTTTAGGAGGAAAACAACCATGAACAGAGATGTGTCAAACATAAATTTTAGTATTCTAAGTTTCCAAATGGATTGAACTGTTTTGATTCGTAAGTAAGACACTAACATTACACAGAGAACAAAAAATTAAAACAAATACTGTCTGCCTGCCTGTCTGTTTTCGACATAGAACTTTGCACAAATGTGCAGTAGTTCAAGTCGCCACACTCCGTGTAGCACGCGAAGGAAGAGAAGAAAGTACAGGAAAAGCATAATAGAGACAGTGAGCAGAGGGGTGAGACAAAGGAGTAATAACGAAGAACAAAACAGTTTCATTGGAGATCATAAGTCACAAGGAGTGGATGCATCTGCGCCAGTGAGAACGATTTTGAGCCATGTCACCAATTGTTTCCAACCATAGATTTTTACCGTCCCGAGGACCCCAGCCTGGAAGTCTACACCTTCCTACGTGGCTTAGACCAACTGTTGTGGATTTCATTGACTGGTGCCAAGTTTTTGTTTGACCGCCGCTAGCTTTTTTCCAGCCTGACCCTATATCCGCTAACATTGCTCGTCGAGGAAGGCGATGACTTGGCATACGTAACACATGTCCTAACCATCTCAGTCTTTGTAACTTCACGACTTCGTCGATTGATTTCCCCTGTTTACCTAGAACTCTACGCCTAACCTCAATGTTGCTCACCTTATTATGCCACTTTACACGGGAAATAGAGCGCAGGCACCTATGATCAAAGACAGCTAGTCTTTTCATGTCTTCCACTCTCAGTGGCCAGGTCTCACAACCATAAAGGAGGACGGAGCGGACTGATGAGCAGTACACCCGCCCTTTGGTCGATAGTCGAACATCTCGTCTACGCCAGAGTCGGCGTAAACTGGCAAATGCGAAACGAGCCCCTTGTATTCGTGCTGAGATTTCGTCAGAGATCAACCCGTTGGTGGCTGATGGTACTTCCCAAATAAGTGAAGCGGTCAACGTGCTCTACCACTTCACTTCCTATTTTTAAACTAGGCGTCGATGTAGTCCAGTCCTGTAACATCATCTTGCATTTGGCGGGAGCGAATCGCATGCCAAACATTCGTAGATTGCGGCTCAAGGTGTTTAGAAGACTCTGCATTTTGTCAGCGTCTTCGCCTAGAAGGACTATATCGTCTGCATATTCCAAGTCAACGAGATTATTCCCTGGTAGCAAGTCAATCCCTGAGTCGCTGAAGTCACTTAGGGTTAAGTCCATTAACACATCTATGATGAAGTTGAATAGAAAAGGGGATAATGGGCATCCTTGACGGACACCACTGGTCGTCATCAGTTCAGATGACAGCTCGCCGTAAGCCCTCACCTGGCTGTATGAGTACGAGTAGAGTGCCTTAATCAGTGCAATATATTTTCTCGGAATTCCCTTTACAGCCAAGCATCTCCAGAGAACTTCTCGATCGACAGAGTCGAATGCTGCCTTTAGGTCAAAAAATATAATGACTGTTGGACGCCGGTAGGAATGCCTATGTTCTAGAATCTGTCGGAGGGTGAAGATATGATCAATACACCCTCTTCCTGGTCTAAAGCCTGCCTGGCTCTCTCGTGTTTGTGCCTCCCGAGCACCACTCAGTCTACGCATGATTATTGAGCCTAAGACTTTAGATACTATATTAGTCAAGCTAATCCCTCTGTGATTATCACAGGAAGACTTGTCTCCCTTCTTGTATATGGGGATAATCAGTGACTTACACCAACCCGATGGGACTTCTTCTGATTCCCAGACGCTGCCTAGTACCTCAGTTAATGCAGACAGTAAGCTGTCTCCACCGTACTTAAATACCTCTGGAGTCATTCCATCAGGTCCCGCTGCTTTGCCTAGTTTCAGATTGGTGACAGCTTTAGTAACCTCAGTTAGTGACGGAGGACCTGTATTTGTATCCCATTCAGGGAGGTGTTGGATGTTCTGAAGGTTGAGTGTGGCTGTGGGCCAATTAAACTGCTCCTCATAATGCTCTTTCCAACGATCCAGTCGTCTATCCTGAGAGCTAATTATAGTGCCATTTTTTTCCGAGATTGTTTCACTAATGATTTGTCTTCTCCCACCCGTTTCCCTGATGAGTCTAAATAGTTGCCTGGTGTTGCCTATCCTCGAAGCTTTCTCCATCTCTTTGGCTTTTGTCACCCACCACTGTTCACGGTTTTTCCGGAGACCTTATTCACAGCTTTGACAGCTGTATCTATGGCTGCCTGGATATTCTTCCAAGCTTCTTCAGGGTGAGCACACCTGTCGAACACAGATATGTGTTTAGCTAGTTCTTCCTCAAATACGGATTTAGTTTCCTGATCGAGCTGGGGACGTGATGGTTTTACCGCCAGCTGTTTCCTACGTCCGTTCAGTCGTAAGCACACCCGAGCGCGGACCAGTGCGTGATCGGTATCTACGCTCGTGTTCCAGAAGGAGCGACAATCTCCTACCGACCCACACCAACGATAGCTTATTGCTATGTGGTCTATTTGTGTCCAGCGTTGGTTTGATGAAGGGGGTCTCCAAGTCAAACAGTGTCTTTCCTTGTATTTGAGGTTAGTGCTTACAAGAAACAAATGATTATCAGAACAGAACTGTAGGAGACGGTCACCGTTGTCGGTTCGCTGGCACGGAACTCCATAGGTGCCACCGACACCCTTCTCAGATTGACACAATTTCCCTACTTGAGCATTAAAGTCACCAGCTAGAACGACTATGTCTGAGCGTTTAGCCTTTCTCACCAAACTAGACAGCTTTTGGTAGAACTCATCGTTCGTTTCATCCGAACTGCAGTCAGTGGGGGCGTAGGCGGAGATTACGAAAAGGCATCGGCGAGTAGTGCAGTCCTTTCTCCTTCTTACTGATCCGTTCAGGCGGACAGCACACATTCGGCTATCTACCGGGATCCAGTCAAGCAATGTCTTTTCTGCCCTAGTACTCAAAGCTATCCCTACGCCAGCTAATCCTCGTGAACTGGCTGTGGTATCTCTTGACACCCTCAGGGTGAATTTTGCAGATCCAACCTGTTGGCCAGGTGGGGTAAGGTGAATAACGACACTTGGGTCTTGTATGCGTGTTTCTGAAACACAGCATACATGTATGGCTCGGGATGCCAGGGTCTTGGCTAATGATGCTTGTTGTCCTATTTGGCAAAGTGTCCTAACATTAAAAGCTCCTATATGAAATTGGCGGCGTGGCTTTAGGAGGCTGTCGGTGGTGGTTTTTTGGCTTCCATCGTTTTTAGTGGACGCAGAGTGGAGAGGGAGTGAAGAGCTATCAAGCTGAGGAGTTGCATCAGTGGAAGGAAGGCAAGATGATAGAGATGAAGATAAAGAAAAAGATGAGTGAGCAATAGAGAGGTTTCGCGTGCATTTCGGATTGTGAGGGCGATTGTTACTTCCCGGCTGCCCACACCGTGGAAGTTGGTTGCGTGACCGCAGAGCCCAGGGGACAACTGCTTGGGGCCGGTCACACGCGGCCTGCTTTTGTTCGTTCTTTTTTGTTTGGTGTGTCTCAGTAGCAGATTTATCACTCCCGCCCTGTGACACGGCAGCAGGAAGCGCGGTCGTTGTTAATCCGGGCCACGGCCGATCCGGCATGAAATTTTGTGTTTTTGTATTTATCATAATGTTGGATTGGGTAGCTGCTTTTTGTTTAACCGCTATCCAAACAACCTGCCTGGCATGGTAGTACCTCAAGAGACATAAGTCTAAGCCAGTATAGCTTGATTAGGTGATTGCGGTGTTCAAGCCCGACCACCACGTCAAGGTAGCAGCAGAACAAATACTAGTCATATATAAGCTGAAAACCACATAAGAAAAGAATGTGGAGTGAAAAATAAAAATGTATCTTTTAACACGATAACGAAGATTTGTAGAAAGTAAAAATGTTTTCAAAAGATTTATTATTAGGCAAGTACTTAATCATTTTTTGGGGAGATTACAAAGAATGAATACATTCGCACCAGTAAGAAAGATTTTGGTGCATATCAATAACAAGTTTAAGCCACGGGTTCTTAGTATCAAGGGGACTCCAGCCAGGTTAACTTGAATCAGTTGTGAATGACTTGATATGATTATGAGCAATAGTTTGTGCTCGAAACGTCATCAGTTAATATTACCGTATAACACTGTGATTTATTAAAATAAAATCTTATCTATAGTGAATTTGCTCAGCACAAAATGGCTGGGCAAATAATAAGTCGAACTCAGTGATAGGCGAACAGATAAAATTATACATCACAAAGAAGTTAACCATCCATTCAAATTATTAGAATTCATAGAAGTCCCAACATAATAATACAATCAGAGTAAGATGACTGAATAACCTACCATCAAAGCTGATGCTAAATTGGCAGCTTGTGTTATAGTAAAATTCATTTGAAGGACTGTACGACCATCGCAATTAACAAGTACTGCATGATGTGTACCTTCCTGGGTCGTACAGTCTAGAACTCGTCTCAACGTTTTGATAACCTAAAATTTCAAAACAAGGACAATGAATGAGTCACCAGCCTTATTAATTTTTAAACATTAGCATCGCATAACGAGACTTCAATAGTACCTGTTCATAATTGTGATATTCATTGTTATAAAGTAGTACCAGGAACGCTCGGGAAGCAGCAGTGCGATCAGAAGCTGTACGCATAGGCCTTGGAGGGAATAATCTCGGATGATAAATCCTAGCTCTTTCCAACTGAGCTAAGCACCGGGCTTCAACATCGTGTAAAGAACGATGCATAGAGGCAGTTCTCGGCCAATTATCATATCCTAACGTTAGAGCATCATCTACAGACAAGACAAGAGGAATATGAGACATTGGTGGAGGCCAAGACTCCCATACACCTTCATTGTCCAATGTATAATCAACTACGCCGTCATCTGTAGACCATAAATCATCAATTAGGACCTTTTCTTCTGCAACACCTGTTTCTGATGAACTTTCGGTTATTGAGCTACCACCTTTACGTAGTTGACTGCTCAAAATTTCAGTTGTTAAACGATGCGTGCCCTGAAATGGAAAGGAACCAAACCAATTCATTTGAGTTTTGATCACAAAAACCATTCATGACTGGCAATGGAAAAGCAATTTAGAAAATAATTATATTAAAACTAAGTTCATACGTTAAGTTTATCCTATTTCTACGGTCAATACTTATAATGCGACTGAAATCATTTCCTGCGACATTCTAACATTGGACAGCTTCAAAGAAGAAATTCAACACTTCATGCCCAAAATGAAATACATACAACTGCAAATCTACTTGAATGAATTCTTATTCAGCGATACCCCGAATCTTGAACCTCAAGATAAGGAGAAGCGTGCTGATATTTTATGATTAACTTTAGTTCTCTAACCAACCAAACCATAATAACAAATGGAGGTGAACTTCTGGAACGTTTTGCAAAAGTTGCCAGAATTACTCACAGTATTAGTTACAAATCGGAAGAATTTCAACGAAAAGGTTACACAAAGATCACTTATAAATCGGGTGTTCAGTGTCTGTCCATATACAATCATTGAATAATTTCTACATCAGAAAGTATCTATATATCTACCCAAAAAGCATAAGATCACTTATCAAGTCTGTTGGGAGGGTTATTCACTTCACTAGCGGTGCAACAGATAAATGTGTAGTGATTGCAGTGCGCAGACAATAGGATGAGTCTTATGAAAGTTTACCCTGCTGAAGTTCTTAATCTTGTAGCAGTTTTTAAATTACTTCACAACCAACGCTGTCGAAGGCATTTTCAAAGACGCAAAAGTTGACAGGCAGAGCTGATTTACATTGTAGGCTGCGTTTGATGTTGCGTAAAATTGCAATTTGATCCCCTCCTGACTTGTTTTTCCTGAATCCACTCTGTTACATGTGGAATTTTTCACTCACTACATCTTTAAGTCGCATCATGACAATGAGACTTAGTACTTTACTTGAGGTGAACAGTAAAACGATGCCACGTTCTACAGAAGTGTGACAGGGTAAACTTCCTTCCAACCTACATTTAGCTGCATTGTCTTCCACATCCTCTGAAGTAGTGGAGTGAGTTTATCTGTTGATGTCTCTGGATTCGTTTTCAGTGATTTTGGGGCACTCTTTCTGACCCTGCCGCTTTCAAAAACTTTACAACCTTTAAGACTTCTGTTTCAATCGTAGAGTTGGTGCTCACTGGTAGTTCTCGTCTTGAGCTGGTATTTCTGGACGGCTTGTAAGATTTCAAAGATCCATGAGCCGTTTTAAGTGACGAACCTGTCATTCCCTGTGTTTCACTCCTTTGCTGATTGGATTTGCTTCATTATCTCTCACTGGCTTCATCTGCGTCCATCTCTACCCGGGTGGTCATCCTGTTATTATTTGTTTGATATGGTCTTCTCAGGTTTGTTTCACTTGCAGCCAGTTGTGCTTGACTTGCTGGTGCGTCGTAGAGGTGCTTTTGTCCTCCCTAGCACTCTTCTTCACGTCTTCGTTCAGTGCGCTGCAGATATTATACTCAGCTTCTGCTCTGCTTCTTCATGTCTTCACTGCTTCATCTTCCTCTTGACTATTCTTCTCTCGTGTATCAGAGAGATTCCAGGTGTCCGTGGTGAGCCACTTATTGTCCTGTCCCTCCTCCTTGTCGCCCATGATATCTATACTGGTTTCTGTCCACATCGCTTTCACTGAGTTCAAGCGTTCTCTCACGAACGTCTTCTCAGAGATGTCGCTTAAAATTTTTGACTTCTTCCTGATTCCTGCAGTGGTGTCCGTTAGATGAAACCCATACTGCTTTGTGTATGCTTGTGGTTGTACACGCTACCCCTAATCACCAAGCCTTCAAATGCGCATAAGTGTGCAAAGAGTTCGCTGCTCTCATGCATTTTAGCAAGAACCTCTCGACCTATGATGAGTTGTCTTCCGCATTCAGATCACCAGTTAGGATTTTAATGTCTTTATCTAGCTGCGGTCCTGTCCATTATAACTTGCAGATGTCAGTGGAAGTCGTTGCGTATAGCACCCTATAACTGTAACCTTCCTTTTTGTTGATTTGAGAAATTGATTTCCACTGTATGATAGCCAGGCTACCATGTTATCGATGAAATCACCAAGGCCACACTCTTGGTGTGATCGCGGTTGTCATCTGGGTGATTGCCGACTCGTTAGTTAGCTATCTGGAGAATCCACTTCCATTCGATCTACTTTCACAGATGCGAAACACGTCTATATGATATTTTACTTCTGATATCTGGGCAATTTTTTAGCCTCGAAACTGTTGCAGATATTTCCTGTTCCCATGCCTGATTTTGCTTTCATCAAAAGAATGATAGTAGTAATTTAAATTAGTCGCAGATTTACTAAAAAATGGATAGCATGGGATCGCACACGTAACACAAAATTGGTTTCCTAAAGTAAAATCACTTACTGAAAATCTTCGACTTAATACAATATATGCAACAAATGTTTATAGGACAGAATTACTTTATTACCACTTTTGGCTTTTTTGAAATTTGTAACGGGAAATAAATGTCTCCAACTATACAATGGATTGCATAACCGATCGATCGCAGAAAGTCTACCAAGACAATTTAACATGTAAACTCACCAGTGATGTTTACTACAGAGGGGCCATGTTTCAGAGCATAGAACAGAAATACAAGAGTAAATCCCGTACACTCGACCTTCAACTTTCACAAATGCATTCTGACAGCACTAGGGCAAACCAAACTAGGGTCTGCTCCTCTGGCTTTCGATAAACCATTTGAAATCTTATCGACCATACTCTAATCAGCTCTTACACAACTAATAAGTATAGACTTTTATGGTAATTCTGACGTTTCATTTGCGGTAGTGAATGCAGTCACAGGTTTCTGCCAACGTCGTAAAAGTTCTATGAAACTATGATAGTACGAGGCACATATTGTACATAGGAAAATCGATCACTATTCGGTTAAGTGTAAATGCAGCAGTCTACATCATCATAAGGTAACGTAACATCCTTCGCATAAATATATTTAAGCAATATCCTTCTAATAATTCAAGGGTAAAACAACCGTGCTTAAATCAAAAGCTAGATGAAATGATATCTAGATCGAGAAATTTAATTCCGGATTGTAAACAATTGGTGGCAACGTTCGCATATCTTAGTGAAGAATACCAAGTATAATGAACATGTATGTTTTGAACATGATTCGGTGTAAGTTAGTAAGTCTTCGATGACCATCTTCACAACCTAGTTCGCAACTCTTTCAGCGGTCAACATTCATGACTACAAGCGCCATAAAGTGAAGGACTCATCGTAAGCACACTACGAGGGAGAAAAACCAATAATTCTCATATTCTGACGATCAGTGGTGATTTGAAATTATTACTCAGAAGACTCACTTGGATTAAATCAGTAAGGCAGAGAGCTGCACTATTCAGTAAAGGCTTCAACAATCTTCCTGTCCGCCTAACAACATCTGGTGGGAGACTATTAATTCGTTGACGAAGATGGTCAAGTTCAGCTTTTAGTTTGACATCAATATCATTAATATCGTCTAATTTAGAAGGAACAACTTTCTCCTCGATGTCCCCGCCTTCAGGATGTTCTGATGAACCTTTGTGCAGCTCACACCAAGCATCTGACCGCCAAGCTTCAGGATCACCGCAATCACAATAGCCAACACCAGATGACGTGCTAATCTATAAAGGAAATTATGTCACATAGCTTAAGAAATTAAATGTGGTTCAGATACAAGGCATCAAAAAATATTAGTAAAGTAACGTTACCCTGACAACATGAGCCGATTTGTTGTATGAATTGTATGATTACAACTTTAATAATGAACTATAACTGCATTATTGACTTCAACATTTCACTTACGGACAAACGTATGATCCATAAACGATTTTATATAAATAACATCATAAACAGTAAAAACATCTTGACCTTGTTGTGTTCTCTCAAATAGATAGCTTCATTGAGAGGCTACCAATATATTTTAAAACATCTTAAACGCCAACTTTGAAATCTCATTAGGAGTTTCATTAGTATTAAGTACTGTATCAAAAAATTGCGGCAAATACTGGAATCACAGAACACACACATAAACTCCTATTGTTAGTTTCACTCAGAATAAACATTGCCAACAGTAAATCTTAAAAGATTATATATCACTGGGTTACAACCAAAGAGTTACTCATTTACGCGTACTAAACCAATTTCAACTCCCTTATTATCCACCTACATACTTAAATTGTTCAAAACATTTGTGAAATATTAAAAAATACTGTCATTGAACATACCTTGTAGTTATGCTTCATATGTGCACTATTGAAGAAACAAGCTCGACACAGAACGCATGTTGGATCCATAGCACAATCCCTATAAAATACACGCGACTATGAAGTTACTTTTATCAAAATGCACCCAATGGTTATTTTTCAGTTGAAATGAAATCACGAGTTAAAGTAGTGAAACTTTACCAATTAATTGTAGCTGGCCGAAGCAATATACTACTAGTTTTAATTCCTTCGTTCCTCAACATAACACGGGAAAATATGCATTGAAATGGATTGAGAGTCACGAAGACATTCAACGCCTAGACAAAATCAGGGTAAACTGACATTCACTACATGTACTGATAACTTGCAATGCAACATTAGAAAGCATTGAAATGGGGATAGTGGGCATTTCTGACGGACACCACTAGTCGTCACCAGTTCAGATGACAGCTCGCCGTAAGCCCTCACCTGGCTGTATGAGTACGAGTAGAGTGCCTTAATCAGTGCAATATATTTTCTCGGAATTCCCTTTACAGCCAAGCATCGTCAGAGAACTTCTCGGTCGACAGAGTCGAATGCTGCCTTTAGGTCAAGAAATATAATGACTGTTGGACACCGGTAGGAATGCCTGTGTTCTAGAATCTGTCGAAGGGTGAAGATATGATCAATACACCCTCTTCCTGGTCTAAAGCCTGCCTGGCTCTCTCGTGTTTGTGCCTCCCGAGCACCACTCAGTCTACGCATGATTATTGAGCCTAAGACTATAGATACTGTATTAGTCAAGCTAATCCCTCTGTGATTATCACAGGAAGACTTGTCTCCCTTCTTGTATATGGGGATAATCAGTGACTTATACCAACCTGAGGGGACTTCTTCTGATTCCCAGACGCTGTCTAGTACTTCAGTTAATGCAGACAGTTAACTGTCCCCACGGTACTTAAATACCTCTGGAGTCATTCCATCAGGTCCCGCTGCTTTGCCTCGTTTCATATTGGTGACAGCTTTAGTAACCTCAGTTAAGGACGGAGGACCTGTATTTGTATCCAATTTAAGGGAGGTGTTGGATTTTCGGAAGGTTAAGCGTAACTGTATTATTATTACAATTGTTCCCTTGGGTTCCTAGTGGAACATAGGGCTTCAACTGCACGTCTCCACTTGCTTTTGTCTTCCTTCTGCTGTACTTTTCACCTGCATCCATGTTAGTCCATACTCTTACAACTCCTCTTCACAACATCTCCTCCATGTCACCCTTGCACTGATGTCCCACTCGCCGCATGCTTCCCTTTCGGCCTGGTTTTACTCGAGCAATGGCCTGACGCGCACGCGATGTTACTCAGCGGCCTCCTCAGCGAGTGTTCAATCCATCGCCACTTTCTCCTGCATATTTGTTGGTTGGCGATTGGTTCTTGTTTTGTTTGTTCCCATAGCTTATTGTTGGTGAAAAATACCCATATGGACATTAGGAAGAAGAGAACATGAAGTTCAAAGATATCTTTTCGGCGATTTCATTCTCAAAAGCTGTACAGTCGCATTTATATAGATTATTTTACATGGATACAATTATTATTTGTTTAATTTCACATAGTAACGGAGGTGATAATAATTTTCAACTTGGTATGAAAGTTTGAAGGTACGAATATACATTACAAGGGGCTTAGAGACAAGATTTCATAGGATTAGAAAATAGTCACAACGTATGCAAATAATTAATATTTGATAACTGGAGAAATAAATTTAAAGGCGAATCAAAGGTGAATCCTAACTTTTATTTCAGGCTCAAATTATTATTTCAAATTTTCAGTTATAAAACTAGTTATTTTAATTTTGTTTCCATGCTCCTCCTGATCACACTTGTAATCCATTTAGAATAACAATTTTACAGTTGTATTCTGATCCTGTGTAATTTTTTGTTTCTATGCCTCTTGTAATCTATATTCATACCTCCTAACTAACATTTCAAGTTGAAAAATTTAAATTCAATTTGTTTCCATGCTCACTTTGTTCACACCTGTAATTCGTTCTATCCCTGCGTTTCTAAGCCTCTTGTAATTCATATTAAGTCGAAAATAATTATCACTTTTGATTCGCCTTTAAATTTATTTCTCCAGTTATCAAATATTAATTATTTGCATACGTTGTGACTATTTTCTAATCCTATGAAATCTTGTCTCTAAGCCCCTTGTAATGTATATTCGTACCTTCAAACTTTCATACCAAGTTGAAAATTATTATCACCTCCGTTACTATGTGAAATTAAACAAATAATAATTGTATCCATGTAAAATAATCTATATAAATGCGACTGTACAGCTTTTGAGAATGAAATCGCCGAAAAGATATCTTTGAACTTCGTGGTCTCTTCTTTCTATTGTTAGTGATTCTTTCCGGCCCGGCCATCCGATCTTCCGTATAGAGCGAAGGCAGTTGTTGATGAAGGTAACGTCTGCAGCAGGCTGTTGGAAATATTCTTTGTGACCCGCCCGCCAAGTTTCTATACAGAAGAACTGACTTGACGTTTGTATTGAAAATCCGAACGAATTTTGTTGTTGATGCTGAGTGACGAAGATTTCCAGATTGATTTCAGGTTGATGAAAGCGTTTCTCGCCTTCCCGATTGTCGCTCGATTTGGCATCCTCGTCCGTTCCGACTGCCTGTAGTTGAGACAATGCTCCCTCCGTAGATAAGTGAATGAAGTAGCCTCTTTCAAATCCCTCCCATTGATGGTGATTGGCGCTGGATGTTGCTGCTGTTGTTGTTGGTTGGTTATTTTCATAACCCCCATTTTGTCTATGTTCACCTGGAGTCCTATCTTCGCCGGCTGCTTCTTCGACCAGTTTGTCGGTTTTCGCTTGTAAGTCTTCGATTGTGTGTGACATCAAACATAAATCATCCACGCGCGAAATCCACGTCTTCTAGGTTCTTCACGTCGCTCCAGGATACTCGTATCTTCCCGTTTCTCACTCACTGTCTGATGCATAATCCAGTCGACCACAATTAGGAGTAACGTTGGTGATAACAAGCACCCTTGTCTGACTCCTGTGTTTACTCCAAACGCCTCGCTGCGTTTTCCGTTGGGAAGGACTTGACATGTGCCATCGTCGTACAGCTGTTGAATAAGGTTGATGAGTATTTGGGGTACGCCATAGTACTCGAGTAATTTCCAAATTACTTCGCGGTCAACGCTACGCTGTTCAAGGCCTTCTCAAAGTCTATAAAGTTGCGGTAGAGGTTTGATTGCCATTCCATGTTTTGTTCGATGATGATGCATAGAGTTGCAATTTGGTCAGTACATGATTTGCCTTTCCTGAATGCAGTCAGCTTGTTCTGGTCGGAGTTCTGTCTCCAGTGCGTCCTTTATTCTCTCCAGGATGATGCGACTCAGGATTTTACTCGGCGTCGATAGAAGCATGAATCCCCCCCCCAGTTCTTGCAGAGTGAGGTGTAAGTCGCCCTTCTTTGGTAGTTTCACGAGGTAACCTTTCCTCCAGTCAGTAGGCACCTTTCCCCCTTCCAGACCTTTTGCAATAATGCAGTTAGCATTTCTGAGCTTGGCTGTAGGCCAATTAAACTGCTCCTCAAAGTGTTCTTTCCAACATTTCGGTCATCTATCCTGGGAGCTAATTATTTTGTCATTTACCTCAGAGATTGTTTAACTAATTATCTGCCTTTTACCACCTGTTTCCCTGATAAGCCTAAATAGCTGTCTGGTGTTACAGATCGCCGAGGCCCTTTCGGTCTCTTTCGCTCTTGTCGCCCATCACTGTTCACGGTTGCTACGAAGATTTCTTGTTAGTTTTCGTTTGAGTAGCTTTCGCTTATCATCATATTTGGAGCTCGCCGGAATCATTCTTCTTACGTCAATCAGTTCGGATGAGGCGGTAGAGATCCAATAGCTCTTTTTTAACTTTTGGCTTTAGCCTATTAACAGTTTTTACAGTTGTCTACAGCTAACTGTATGTTGTGCCAGCTAGGCTTTCTCAGTGGAAGTCCTGCTGTCGACCTCAGATCCTCGTTTCGCTATTTCTTCCTTAAATAGGAACTCAGTGTCTCGATCCAGTTGGGGACGTAACTGTTTCGCTGACGTCGATTTATGTCCGTTAAGTCTTAAGCATAAACGTGAGCGAACCAGAAGGTGGTCAGAGTCCAAGCACGTGCTCCAAAAGGAGCAGCAGTCTTCTAGTGTAGCTCAACTGACTGATGAAACTAGATGCAGAGATATCAATATGACCTGATCATCTTCAGTCAAGGCTTCTCAAGGAGCTATCAGCTCATATATCCGGCCCTTCGACCACGATCTTTAAGCTCTCTCTCTCCTAAAAGGATTATTACCGCGTGACTGGGAAGACACCATAGTAACCCACCATCCACAAAGGAGGGCCAAGGCAAAGCCTTTCAAATTACAGGCCTATTAGTCTCACCAGCACTTTAATCGAGACACTGGAAAGAATCATCAAGAAAAGCACCATGGCATGACTGAAAAACAACAAAATGTTACCCACAGCACAGCACGGCTCCCGAAGAAACCTCTCATGTCTGTCAAATTTTCTCACTGCAAGAGAAAGCTGGGTCAAACCAAGGGACAACACAAGACCCGTTGACGTCGTCTTCATAGACTTCAGTAAAGCCTTTGATAGTTCCTCACAAAAGACTACTCATGAAGTTGGAAAGTCTTTGTATCAAAAATATTACTAAACTTGATCAGGGAATCCCTCATAAATAGGAGGCAGGTAGTTAAGATCAACTTGAAACTTTCCTCTTTGATAGCAATGCGTAGCGGAGTGCCACAAGGCACGTACTCGGACCTCTCCTATTTATTTTGTATATCAATGAGTTATCTCTGCTCACCGACTCCCCTATGGTCCTATACGCAGGTGACTAAACAAAATTTGGAGAGCTGAAGGGCAACATTGATACTTCTACGTTGCAAGAGGACCTCAACGAACTGTCAGAGTGTTCTGGGAATGTATGCGCCCGATAAATGTGCAACCATGCGAATCGGACAAGTAAGAATCAGCTTCTACGAACTAGGGGGAATAATACTTCCATCAGTTCAAACTTACTTGGACTTGGGTGTACTAGTTAGCCACGATTTAAAAACTACAGCGCACTGTGGTGCGGCGGCTGCACGTAGTTTCAGATCCTTATGGGCGATTTGCATTGCCTTTACTACAATTACCAGAGTTACGTTCACCTACTTATACACAACCCCCGTGAGGTCAAGACTAGAAAACTGTTTCCAAGCAGCCAGTCCTTATCTTGAAGGGGACTCATTCTAGAAAGGGTTTATAGGAAGGCAACACGTATGTTTCTCGGCATAACTACCTTATCATACGAGGAATGACTAGACAGTTTAAATCTCTTCAGCCTGTCATACCGTGGGCAGAGAGGAGATTTAATCACAATGTTTGACATTTTAAATAATGACTACGGACCTGAGCTACTCACTCTTTTCCTCCCCACCAGGTCGGAACACCTTAGAGGACATAAGAGGAGAGTTCGACGGCTAGGAAGAAATCATGCTACTGTTGAATACTGGTTCTCACACCGAGTCATAAACTCTTGGATCGGACTCCTAGAAGAAGTGGTGTCTGCAGCCTCAACTGATTCATTTGATAAGGGTTTGGAAAAGGATTAACATAGGCTCCAAACTTTTTACCCTCGACCACGGTTGAGGATAGTCTGAAACTGAATCTTCATAGAAAACTAAAGGAAACACAAAAGCGAAGGCAGAAACGTCTCAGACAGATTACCTGCAACAATAGGTTGGTTCATTAGCTTGAAATATTCGACCACATATTCCTTGCTGGGCTGGAGCCAATGAGCGCAAGTGACACTCTAAGCGGTTTGCGCACTCACCCGAATCTTCTGTGCTCGTCATTATATCTCTGCCTGCAATATACTGCTCAAAACTACGGAATAGAGTCTTTTCTAGTGCACAATATTCTGATTTGCCTGACTCAAAGTCACTTTCACCGAATGAATCTGATCCCAGATTTTCAGGTGGTTTCATGACTTGAGGAGCACATACAGTGAACGCCTGTGTTCTGACTTCATCATACAGAATACGCTCAAAGTCTGCATTGTCACAAGAAAGCAAAGCTTCGGCGAACTCCTAAAAAGAGAAAACAAATTCAAACATGTATTATTTCGCAGGACCATCTAACCATCAGGACTTCAGAAAGCACACTGTAAGCGGTACGTTCACAAAATGCGCTATTTCAATGTACTTAAACCTTCAAGTCTATCATAATCCTAAAATTTCAAATGTAGCTTTCCTTCAGTTATCTCTGCAAAAACCATCTTATTAATGCTCATGACGATAAGAATTAATTTCGTTTGTTAGTGTATGGTTTGTAAATAAGTACGTATGCTTCTCGGCTTGACGTATCGATCCTGAAGTATATTTTGTAGTTCTGAGACTCCGTATTTCGACCCAATTTAGTCTGCTAGTTGTGTCATTGTTAATCTCAAACAAGTGAACTGGAAATGGAGAATATGATAGGCATATAACAACTTCATCGAAACACCCAGATAATCTTACCATTCCGGAGTCATTAGATGTGTCATTCATGCTGCCGCCTGCAACTAGAGTCACCTTTCTTGCTGTTCATGGAATGCACTAGTTGTATCTAATTACATGTATTTTCCAGTCGCGAACAAAGGTGTACGCCACTTGCTAAGAAGCTATTTTTGACATGCACCATATTCTAAGTCTACATGCAGGCACTCGACGAAGTCGTCTTTCTAGCAAAGACTATTCGGTAGACCAAAAGCAATAAATGGTAAATTGTTCCTATTAATATATACAATTTCCACATCTTAAAACGAGAAAATTCTACAGTATCTGATCGGTTAGTGTAACAGTTACGTCACTATATATGATGTAACGCTTTGGGTTTGGTTCAAACCAGGTGTTACATATCAGTTTTATTTGCGTTATTAGCCCCCATGTGCTTTACAATTTGGCATCTGTTTCCAATACCTACATAATTTCGTGCAACTATTTAGCAAGGTCACTAACACTTTTTACAATCAGGTATACCCAGCCTGAACGGGAGTCTAAAAAATAGTAAGAGATTGATATGATCCGAGTCCCTAAGATCACAGATTTTTTGAAAATACAGATAGAGTATTCACAGTTCCAGCGCCTCCATATAAATTGTTTTAGTAACTTTCTGACGTTGTTTTAGATTACGAGTGAATTGCGCAAGTATGAATTAGCTAAATACTTCACTCCAAGTAGATTGACTACTATCATGGTCGGGATTTTGTTGATATTTGATATTGTTGTTGATATTTATGCGCTTGACATTCAGTTGCTAGTTGTGCTGTCTGAGGCTTTAAAACGCAAAAACGGTAACTATGCATAAACGTCAGAAAGGGCTTGTATTTAACTTATGTGCTCGCATTTATTCTTGGAAAGTGTTGAGTTTATGGAGATTGAATAATCAAAATTCTGTAAACAGTGACAGAAATGTGTATGTGTTGGCCGTCCATAAGTTTTGTAAGTCCATGTGTATAAACGTTATTTGACCCGAAATTTCGCGAATGCTGGAACCTATCTGTTATGAGGTTATCAGAAGTTGTCCATACACTTCTTAACGAGATACCCGCGTTTGAAGTAATTTAAAATATATGGAGGAGAGGAAGGTGAAGAGCAGAACAGCCATGTGTATTCTTGTTACCTAACAAAAGTTTCGGGAGCGCTACAGGAATATCGGAAAAGGGCTTATGTCAATGGAGTTGAAGATTGAACGATCAATTCTTGGTTGTTTGCTCAAAATCAACTTCCCCAATTTTCGCGGAGGCATCAATACGACAGTCATCGTCTCATCGGTCGCTGTTCAGAAAGAAGAGTGAAACATCGTCAGAAGTAATACAATGATTTATTATTGTAATATTTGTTTTCAGACCTTAGTTCGCTTATTCCTTTTATATGTTGGTGTAACAATAAAGAAATCTAAAGCGGCAGATCAGTGTTTTGGTTTTTGCGTCCGTTATAACTAAGCGTTTCTGAGAAATCTTCGAAGAACAGCGTGGGCCCGAGCGTAGCGAGAGCTGGGCATTAACGGTTTATGAGACGTGATTGACAGTTTCTGACGATGGAAACAGATCTGGCGGATTCAAACAGTTGGTGAAAGTTTGGATAGTCGCCGTTCATCTTTCCTGGTGCCGGTCAAGTCCTCTTTGAACAAGCAATATCTGGAACTTTTTGGAATTGGGTCAAGTTCAACAATGCCTGGGTCAAAGAAGGGACAGAGTGTCTTGGATGCAAACAGGAAAGTAAGTCATGGTGACTTGTCTGTTAATTGTAACGATGTGTCTGATGTTAAGCATGACATGGTTGATGTTACTGTTTCGCCGTTCAGGGATAATAGGAACATCAAACTCCCTAAATTTGAACCACGGTGTTTTGATGGAAACCCGGTCGATTATTTACAATTTGTAAAGGAGTTTGAGATCATGTTGAGTAGTTTTTTATTAAATGATGAATTGAAGTTAATGTATTTGATGAGATATTGCACTGGAGATGCTGCAAGAGCTATACAGTGCTGTAAGTTTATGAAGCCAAAAGAGGGCTACGATGACGCTATGAGCATATTACGTCAAAGGTTTGGAAGACCTTCGATGATTGCAGGGAAATTATTCGAGGCTGTTAAGGGTAATGGTGGTCAATTACAGGATGACTCCCAGGCACTCACTGAGTTTTTAGATAATTTGCTAATTTACAAGAATGGAATGATTTCGATGAATCGCATGAGTGACCTCAACTCGAGTTTTATACTAGAAGTAATAGCAAGACGTCTACCTACTCGACTGCAAAGGAAGTGGGTGAAGATAAGCTCCCGTATGGAGGATGAGGGTATCGAGCCAAAGTTTGATGATATCCTGAAACTGGTAAACAATAGTGTCAATCAATCTATGAGCAAGTTCGCCAGTCTATTACATCTCACCCCTAGAATAGAGCAGTCTGAGATCAAAATGCAATCATTGATGACGAAAGGGCCTCAGAGAGGTGGATATCGAGAAGGCTCCATGATGTCTAGTAATGCATATAGACCTAGTGAGTGTAACAGGTTTCGTAGTACATCCTCAACAGATAAGTTACAAGATGCAAGACAAACACGGTTGTGTTTTACACGTGTGCAAGAGGTGCATACAGAAGTGAACTGTGAACCAGTGAGCAAGTTCAGTGATAAGCTAAATGTAAACTCCAGGTCTGACTCCGAATTGTGTGACGATAACGGTGCGGTGAAGAAGTCTGTAGTTGCAACTGGTAAGCCGTTGTTGAATAGAGTGTCACAGAATAGAGTTACTGCTTCAGAGTGCAGTTCTGACTCAACAAGTTTACAAAGTATAACTAGTCAGAGTGAAGATATAAAACCTTTAATGATTTGTGAGGAGGAACCAAAATTGTCTACTTCTGTTATTAAAGAGTTTGAAAATGATGAAGTTGACGGTAAAGTGAATATTCGTGATAATGATCATGATACTTCACAGTTTTCTTTGGTTGATCATTATGAGATGAGGGATATGCCTACTACTGCTAAGTTAAATAAAGGTTCTGTACAACTACAACGTGAAGTAGAATTGAACGCAGATGCAGTTCCAGAAGGTGTGCATACTTGTGAGACAGTCAGTGTAATTGATCAGCGTGTAGCCCACCTATCATCAGATGATAGTGCTAAACCCGAACTAGTAGTGAAAGACAGCAGTGGTGGTAATCTTGCAGTTGGACAACTATCTGAGAGCCGAACAAGAACAGCTTCTGATCCACCACTAAGTTCATCACCTTGTGTCACTCAGTCATCGTTGGTGCTGTCATCCACAATGAAACAGATGCCCATCAACTCAAGTATCTTGTGCAATGACTATGGTAGTATCAGTTCGTTTGAAAGGACGAATATCAATGGTCAGTTTAGTGTGGATAAGCCAAGTGTAAACGAGAGAGTTATTGTTAAATTGACTTGCACGAATAAAGGCATTTCTAGTTTCAAGTTACTATTTGAATGTTATTATCTTTGGTGTAAATTACTCTGTTTCTACACTTGGTTGATGAGATATGTCGTGTGTTTGTTCGTCATCTATATTCTACGATACAATGACATGGGCGTGTTGCCGTTCAGATTTGAGGATATAGCTGATAGAAGGAAGTCAGCAAATGAACTCTGCGACGATTTTCCAACCTAGAGCGTCAACCTGAGAAGGGTTGTAGGCGTACTGCTGTAAGTCCTACAATTCTTCAAAGGGTAGCGCATCAATGAGCAGTCCAATGTGCTTGGTGTGTGATCTTGTACATATGTTCATATTGTATATACTGAATTGATATCATCTGTCATCTAGCTGTTGGTAATTCTGTTTGTGTCCGGACGACTTCCACTTGGATCATCAACCTGAGAAGGAATGTAGGCGTACTGCTGTAAGTCCTACAGTTCTTCAAGGGTAGTTTGTCGTGGCAGAATCCACAACATTTGATGTGTTGATTGTACATATGTTTGTGTTAAATAGTTGTGTGAGTTCCAATTGATGTAATTGTTGGTTAATCTTGTTTGTGTCTGGACATTCCACAACTTACAATCGTCAACCTGAGAAGGGTTGTAGGCGTACTGGTGTAAGTCCTGCAATTCTTCAAAATAATTCCATCAAGACATGATCGGCGAGGTTATTTGTACTGTTTGTGTATACGTGTGGTGTGTCTTCGCAATTTGTGATTTTGGATTCATTGTGTTTACTCGTTGTTTTCGTATCTTGTTGTTATTGCGTAATTTTGTTAAAATTTTCGTCGTGATTACTTCTGAAGTTGTTTCGAGTCTTCTACATCCATGAATGAATTGATTGATGTTAAGGACAGCAGATGGGTCGTATACGCCGGGGAGGCTAGGCTATTGCTGAGAATGAAATGCACACGGAGATAATTGTTAGCTGCGGTCCGACACGCCGGGGAGAAAGAGTGTAAACGACTGAGGCTCGCATGCGTCACCGCTACTAGAACTGAGGCAGAATGAGTGACAAGCGATTTCAGTGGTAATTGGTAGTGAGTAGAAAAGAGGATGTGCGTAGAGTATCGTGAGGTGCTGCCATGGTCACTTTGCATTCTGCAAGAGTCATTCTAGCAAGTGGCGATTGTGTTGCAAGATGTCAAGAGGAGGTCTCTGTCTGGAGGCGCAGGTCGTCAGCGATGTGTGAGATTGTGCTGTGGGTATGCTTGTGGTG